GAAGATTCATCCACAATGAACTTGCGAGTGCCTTTCAAGTCCATTGGTTTGGACTCGTGGAAAAAGTAAATCCGGAACCTGCCCATAATCTCCGCGAACTGGCGGTTAACATTTTGCAAAATCTCATTGTCAGGCCTCAGGGTCTTCAGCAAACTCGGTGTGGTATCGAATAGTTTTTTCGGCACCAGGCTGAATAATGTCTGTATAGCGCTGCCCAGGTTCGCCAGATCAGAGCCGTTGTGGGGTGTTCCCATGAACAGGATAGCATATGTAGAGATGTATGTTGACCGAAGATGTTGGGTTTTTGGGTGCCTAAGATGCTCGCAGTATAGGAGAGTCCTTTTCACCACGATGCCACCGAGAGAGTGGCATACAAAGATGATCGGCCGCTCGACCGCACCTTGCAGCTGTATAACCCTTGTCAGCGAAGCGCAAACCTCCGTCTGAAATATCTCATCACAAACATACATTCCTATTTGCAATGAGCTGACCGGCAAGGTGCTCAGCATGGTTATGTAGTCTCTCCTTCGACGTCCCCCTTGCGAAAGAAGCGACATTTGCATCGTATCCGTAAGTCAATATCCGGACATTTTGGCCTTTCAGGGTATGAGGAAGGAGATCGCCAGGCCAGAAAACATCGGGTTTTTTGGTTGCCCATGTGTTATAGGAAGTACCGTTAAGGCCATGAACAAACACTATGCTATACCGATATCCAGCATATATAGTCAGTGACACATACATGAACTCCGGATAATACGGGGGGGCCAAGGACAAGACTCGACAACAAACAAAGCACAACTTACTCAACCTGTGGTACCAGCGGCTCGGCACAGCGGTAAACTTCCGTCAACCCAAACTCTTTTACGTCGAACCGTTTGGCGGTAGTAGAACCCATGGTTGTTCAGACTAGAAACCTTAGATTTTTCCAGAATCCACCGCAAACAACCCGGGGGGGCATCCCCATATATATATGAAATCTGGCTGCCCAGGTTGCAAACAACAATAAGCCAAGTGAATAGCGGGGGTTCTTCTGTGAAGTTCTTCGAATGGAAAACAATAGAGTGCGGTAGGACAAGCCGAAAAGTGAGGTTGGAAAGGGAGAGGAGTCAATAACAAGGCGGAGGTTGGGTGAGTACAGGAGGTATAACTAACTTGAAGCTGCCTGACAGCCGTGACGGACAGGCTGATCCCGTGAGCAGCGGTAGGTAGTTATTGAACAGCCTTCTCTTCTTGTGCGGAATCACTCAATAGCGGAAGGATGAGTCGGCATACACCCCACGCACACACATATCCATACCACACATACCAGGCGTAGCGTAGGGCAAGTGGGCAAGGTCAGCTCAGCTGTCTCTCGTAGGTTTTCCTGCCCGCGAGTCACACTACTACTTCGTACTCGACGGGGCAATCAGTGTCAGTGTTTACTATACCTCGAGGTACCCTGCACAAAGTCGACATATTAATAGCTAGCTTGTCTCTTGCTCGCCGTGCTATGCTATTTATGCTTTTGGGGAAAGACAAGCGCCCGGAGATCTCTGGGGAGAACCCCGTCGAGAACTCCAAACCCATCTTGGGCCCATCCATCCCGCCCCCACCCACAGAGCCGCACATCACGGGGAGTGCGGCACTAAAAATCACAAATCGGCCGGGCGATGCCTGTGGGTCCGGGAACGGGCAACCAACTTGCAAGAAACCTATGAAGATGCATAAAAATAGCGCAGGGCCAAGTCCTCTCTTTGATATTTAACTAGCAAATAAAAGGATGACAAAGTTGAGTTGCCGCAGCAGACAAACACCCCACCTCACCTCCTGGTGAGCCCAGGTACAGCCACAAAGCGAATCAGCCAGGGAGAAAATCTGATAGAAGGACCTATTGGCGTTTTTGGGACGTAGGATTCTCAATAATGTTGGAAGTAGGCTCCGTGATGCGGCAACGAGCTCTACAAACCAATGGATCGAACCATATCGAGGCGATCTTGCTCCTCAAATATCTCCAACCACTCATGGCCCACAGCCGAATGAATCCCAGGCTTTTTTCTATTTATTAAGAAAGCATGACATCTGGCTGCGTGCCGGATACTATTTTTCAATGCCAGCAATTTAATGATGGCTCTTTATAAATATATTTCGTCTCCGCCATTCTCCTTGTCATGCGTCTATATATATCTACGGAGAAGCGTCTGAAGAGCTGGAAATAAGCAAGACGTAGAAAAGAGGAGACAAGCTGAAAGTAGCCATCAGCTGGATTTCTGATGAGTAGCTGATGGTTGTTTCATGATTCGTTTTGCGCACATGAGAAGCCTGGCCATGACGTCAAAATTCTTTCTTCACGGTTCATACAATTTGGCGCGGTGGGATTTATCATTCAAAAAACCAGTTATCTAACCGTTATAGCCAGATATGAAAACCAGGAGGGCCGAATAACGTAAGTACTCCAAATAGTTCATTAGATGCCGACCCGAACGTACATGGGCACACTTACATGTAGGTATCCTATCCATCCCCTAAATAGGACGGCGGGGGACGAATCTGAGCTCACGTCGGGTAGTATTTTTCATAGCAGCTTATTTGTTAGTGTTTAGTTATTATTTAATGGGATGGAGCATTGTAATGCCCAATTCCTCAGAAGGGGCCAAGAGAAATGATCCTCTCTATGTATGTATGTACCTGGTATGACAAGCGATATGATATCTATATATCGAATCCACAAGAAAATGGCGCAGTCATAAATAAAACAGAAAAATTATCCGGAAGTTTGAAATGGAAATGTTGTTCTGTTGTATGCACCCCACTGACTACATGATAATATCAGGCCAACATCCTACATCTTTTCTTACTCTACACCTGGTGCATCCACACACACAATCTCAGCTGATGCAATTTCTGAACAACCATCCCTTTCATAGAGGCAAACAAACACAGTTTCCTGGCTTGCTGAAAGGGCTCCGCATTTGAAGTCTCAGTGAAACACACCCAGGGTTCCTTGGAGGGCTGGAGAGCGAGAAAGCAATTGGAAGATGCCCCCGTCGTTAGCCTAACAGCATTCTATAGGGCAGCATTTCGAAAAGTCGGGACGAGTTACTGAGTGAATGAATGGCGAAAATAACGCAAAAGCGAGTCCTTGTGGCCAGGTCTATAACACAAAACAAATGATGTCACTAGAAGAAAAAAATGTAAGGAGCACAGCTGTCCATTATGGCCCCATAAATTAATTAACCTTGCAGCTTGTTTGGTAGTCTCTCGTGAGGTTGAAATGAACTATCTTTTCACGGGAACTGCAGGGAAGCCAGCCACCTTCCAAAGAGCCGTTTGGGTTATATGACTTCATCAAATCGATTTGACTAGGCCACAGCCACCGGATGTGTTTTCCCCCATATGATAGATGCTCGTAAAGACTGCATATCTCCGCAAAAACTCATATCTGCCAGATAGATATGAACAAATCCCAAGTAAAATTCCGTACATATTATACAAGTTGAGCTCTCTAACCATTTCTGCCAAATACTTTTCTGCCTGGTTGCTTGTGGTGTCCGCACCATACAAACCGTTCCGCAATCGAGGCCCTGTGCCCCGCATGCCTCGTTTGAGGCATTCTAGAGAATATATACGACGCATATATCCCGCACGATCACCTGCCCTTAAAGCAGGGCTTCCTCTTTTCCGCAAAGGCCTTGAGCGCCTCAAATCGGTCCTCCGTCTCCACGACACCGAGGTAGGCCTCGTTTTCCGCTGCCGCCCCTTTTTCAAACCCACGAACCGCTTTCATGGCCTGCTTCAACGCAATGGGGCCACCTTCGCAAATATCCAGGGCAAGCTTGATGCTCTCCTGCAAAACCTTTTCTCTCGCTGCGCCTGGTTGGGCAGCTTCCTCAGGGCTGACCTCCACAAGTCGATTGCAGAGTCCGAGGAAGTACGCCTCCGCCGCGCTGACTCTGCGACCGGTGAGAATCATGTCAAGCGCCCGGTTCTCACCAATGAGCTTCGGTAGTCGGTACGTGCCTCCTGCCCCGGGGATAATGGCGAGGCGAGTTTCAGGCAGGCCTACGATGCTCGTCGAGCCAAAGACACGAAGGTTCGTGGACAGGGCGAGTTCCAGGCCGCCCCCAAGAGCCATTGATGAGATGGCTGAAATGGTGGGGATTGGGAGGGAAGCAAGGCTTGCGAATGTTTGTCGTAGTTGGGCGAGGAATGCTTCGGTCCTATAATAATCACATATTTAGCGGATATCCTCGGGGCTTCGTTAAGAAGAGAAGCACAGCTACGGACCATGAAACAAAATCTCCAGAAAGAAGCGAACGTTAAATATATATATATATATTTATAAACTTACTCCTCTCTCGTAAACTTAGCCCGCTCCTTCAGGTCTGCGCCGGCACAGAACGCCGCGTCTACATTGCTCGCGAGAACCAAAGCCCTCGTAGGCCCGTCCCCCTTTTCAGCATCAATATAATTAACATGCTTGGTCAAACTATCCAGCAACTGTCGCGAAATAGCATTCCGTGCTTCTGGTCTGTTCAGTAGAAGGACTCTGATATGCCCGGCACCGGGTGCGGGGATCTGCTGGACGTCAATTACAGAACCATGGGCGCTGGTGCCGACAACAGTGCTATTGTAGCGGACTTGGACAACAGCGAATCGTTTGAGGGCGAATGGAGAGAGGACCAAGCGGAGAGACATTATGAGATGAATTGGAGGCAGTGCCAAACAGGCAGAAATGTGTGTATGTAGAGTATCGGCGTGGTTGTTGTTTGTGCTCGAGTAGCAAACATTTTGAACCAGGGTTGGCTTCGGCGATTCGGCCAGGAGCGGCTGCGGCCGTACTGCGGGATCCATTCTTGGCGTCTCTACTCTGTAGATCTATGAGATGCAACAGTCCTCGCCTGCTGGAGATAGGATTTAAAAACACGATGGCTGCATGTTGTTCTATTGCTTTTCGTCCTACAATTGATCCTTGGGTGTAATATATATATATATATTCTGCTCTGTAATTGTGTTAATATTGTTGTGGCACAGCAGTTCCCAATATGACGTCAAAAGCTTTGCAAAATCTAAGGTACTTGGGTATCATTTTCAATATGTTCACTTTCATATTTTATTATACAAGATATAAGTATATATATACACGCAAGTATGTACTTGCAATCATCTTCGTTGTCCGGTTAGTACAGCCTTATACTCCCTAACCTCCTCATCTGTTGGCCAAGGCGACAAGAGCTCCGTACCCTCAATGATGTCGTATGCTTCACTAACAATAGGATCGGCAAACGATCTTGCTCTTTGGGTGGACCCAGAATTATCTGGATTATCTGGATTATCTCTCCCACAGTGGAAACTGCGAGGGTTAGAAGTAGGAGCTGCGTTCGAAGCCCCAGGCTCAGACATGCCAGATGTCCGCTCCCAACCGCCCTCCAAAAACACTCTTGCAGCCACCACGGTACGACGTACAAGTCTTTTTCCACCCATGCGCTCATCGGAAGCGAATTTTACGCCAGCCTCATATTTACTCATCAACCGGAGAAGGGTTAACAATCCAGCACGATCGCTGGCTAGACCAAGAACTCGAGCATATGCGTGTAGGAGAGACGGCGAGGTTGCCTCGAATGTACTTGGTAGCATAGCAGGAATGTTACTGCCACCCTTTTCGTTAGATAGCCCCAGTGATGACAGAAGCTTCTCCCCCGACGTCAGTTCCATCATATCAAATTGACGTTTAAGGAAAGCCACGCTCTGCTGAACCATTTCATGAATTGTCGAGTATGACAACGAGTCTACTGAGTTATCTTTCTGATTGGTGACGTTTTCGATTATTCCTAAGCCATGTTCAGCACCTTCCATGTCTTGCCTGGCCGCCAAAATAAGCCTTGAAAGAGCAGAGCAAACGATTTCGAATCCTCGACTTTGGAGAGGGACGTTGGCATCCTGCATCCACTGCAGAACACGGCAGATTTCCCACCATGATATAACACGCTGCATGGGAATTGAAATCCTGTGGCTGCTGAATTTAACTCTATCCGTAGCTAGTGCTGACAAGAAATGACTCCATGCAGGAAAATACCGTGGCATTCTTGACTTCATCAGCCGCACTGCATGAGTGAGGGCTTTAGGCCGATGAAATTGCTCAGTTTCGATCGACCGCCGCTTGGAATCTGGGGGAGAGATGCTGCTTTCTTTGTTGGGAAAAAATAATACCGGGAATAACTGCCGTATTTGCGTGTTCGAGTCATCGGCGGACGGCTCATTGAGTACAGAAAACCTACAAAGAAGTCGTATGAATGCGGCAAAAATGTCGTCCGGTATTTCAGCAAGAAATTTCTCGTTCTCTAACTGGCCTCGAAAGAGGCCGGAAACCAGAGCAGACTTCTGTTCGTCGGGCAAGTTGCTAACGAGAAGGTATCCTATACCCGTTTCCATAGACTTTGAATGAGTGAGAAGAAGAACAAGCAATCTTCCTGAGGGTTTAATGTTATGTGAAATCATTTGCTGAAGCAAGTCATCCAATGTTGGCGGTTCAGAGTGAACGTAGATGACATCTTGTGGAGAAGAGGGTTCAGGAAACACCTCCTTCCCATCACCCGGTAGGGCTTCTGTCGAGAGTTGTGAATGAGAACTTTGGGAGAGGTCATGAAAGGTAATTTTTTCGGCCATTGCAAAATATATAGCCTTATGGGGGGGAAGTCCACTGTTCTCGTAGGACAGAAAACATGCCCATGCCTCCTTTAACGTCCTTGTAGCACGTATCCGAGCAGACCAGAGATCGAAGTACCTTTCATTATCCCCAGGTTTAGTCATACCAATACTAGCTCTCGAAGAAGGCTGCGCAGGAGTTTGGTCTGAAGAGGACGACGTTCGAAAGCGGTTAGGCTTCGGAAGAAAGGTTCTCGTCTGAATTGTTGGAGTTTTATCAGTATCCCATCCAGCGTAAATGGCTGCAGTCTGCTCCCACGCCGTCATAGCATATCCGACATCCCTCATATGGGAAATAGATTTCAACGCCCTGCTCTCGCTGCCTTCATTTCCCCTTTCGAAATCGATACCGAGCTTTTCCTCTTTCCAGGGCGGCCATGACTGCGCTTTAAAATTTGCCCACTGCCGCTCCAGGGTAGTTTTCTTCTGCGCCAGCTGTACGTTAGTAATAGCTTGATAACCTTCCCTAGTGACAGGGAGAGGAGGGCTAAATTTTGACATTTCCCTCAACAACTGAAACTGAGCGCGTTGCTGAAATATAGCTGAACGATATGGGTCAAGTCGACATGGAACTGCTAAAAGCGAAAGGAGCTTGTTATAATAAACAGTCAGACCTCTAATCTTCTTTTCGTAAGCCTCACTCGATTTATTTTCGGCAGAGGCAGTTCCAAGCGTTTGGGTAATCAAAGCTGCTATGGAAGGAAACGCCTGTGGCCATACTTGTCCAGCAAGCCGTATAAGGCGCACAGCAAGGATCATTATAGTGTTGTCATCTCCAGATCTGTTCCAAGCACTCCTTTTGGGGGAAGAGGAGGTTTCCGGGGTTTGGTCGCTGGATGGGCTATCACTTAATATATCCCAGGTCTGGAACAAGAGGATCTTGAAGGCGGTAGCACAGATGTTTTCTCTTCGTAGAGTGAAAAGTAACACAAAAAGTGGAACTTTAGCACTGTCCAAATTATTTTCATGAGCTTTTTTCTCGAAGACCTTGTAGCGCATTGCCGCCTGAAGTGGCTCGGAGGAGGTAAGTATCCAGGCCCACGCCATCACGTCGTCTACCGAATAACCCCTATCCGACAAATATTGAAGCACTTCGTCGTTGAAAACTGTAAGAAGGGCATCGTCAAAGGCTTTGTCATATCTCTGATTTGGGACGGTCCCAGGAGGCTCTGACCCAAGCAATGGATGAACATAACGTAGATAGTCTGCGACGACTGTTGCGCTGGCTAGGCGCGCCTTAGGATACCGGAAGCTCTTGGCTTTGGTCTTTCGCCAAACTTTAGTAGAGATGCGGGATGTAGCATTGGGTGAATTGTACGACAGATCCACGCTATGGCTCTTCGGTTTCGCAATGCTGACATCATACCCGCAATTTTCCAATACAGCTATTAGGTACGCCGAAGGGGACGATGTATGCTTCTTCGCCTTCTCGCGCTTCGTCTCCCGTGTTGTAGTCTCGCCTTGTGCGCCAGGGCCACGAACAGCCCCATGGTCATTATTGGCTAATTCCAACGAACGCTCAGCATGAAGAAACCTAACGACGGTTAAGTTACTGCCATATCTTTGCGGAATAGCGAGACGGCGTGATATGTTCGAAAATTGCCGCGAGTCGCACCGGCCTGCGGTAAGAGGTCCAGAGGGGTCGGAAGCGGAGCGGACAGGGAGCCCATCCTACAGGAGTGTCAGAACTAGTCTCGCGAGAGATTGTACAGGGTGGGAACTGAATACCTGTAGTTGAGACAATGAGAAATAGCTAGATACCGCCCGGCCAGACTGATAGCCTGCCACCCGGCCTCGAACACAGCTGCTAATGGAGGACATCCATCGATCTTTGGTACAAGAGCACTGCAATGGCCGCGAGAACAAGATTAAGGGGAGCTGCAATAGAACAATAGGGTAAATTCAAATCAATCAATCAAAAACGGCAACTCTCCGAATTGCCTCGCTCTCGCTCTAATGCGTTAACTAATTGATTTGCGAGGCGGAGTGGCCTTGTAGATCTCCTGTTCGTTGCAAGAAAATAGGATATGTGCTTCCATGGATGCGATGGAGATGTTTAGTCAGCCGGTAGGAAAATCCGTTCGGGTCTCGTGGTCACGTGTCGAGCTTAAATGCACCACGGGGTTCCTGAATCGCCGCCGCCAGAACAGAACGACGTCTCGTTTAGTGTCCTCATCCAACCTTCTCCGCTGGTGCGAGTCTATTGAATATCTCGCCTTTGTTCTGGTGTCCTGACGATTGGTGTATCACACGCTGCTTGTACTGGTACTCCTGTGTGCTTTGTTGCTGGACGACTTGGCGTCTTGTCACGTCCTTGTCCCTCCCCTGCATGCCTGACTAAATTCGCAAAAAGCCTGGCGTCCCCCATCAACCTAAGAACGCCGAAGATCTCCCTGAACAAGCGGAGCTTATCGAGCGTCGCAACTTCGGTTTGAACGATCGCGCTAAATGCTTTCAGAGTCGCCTTCTATATTTGTGTTCTTTGACCTGTCCAAGAAGGCGACGTGCGAAGTTGACTTTCTCAACACTCCAAACTCTTTCATCCCACGCTGGGGCGTTTGATCCACCAGAGCGAGCGTGATCCAGCATGGAGACCAATAATTCGGCCGCACCGGCGAACACGAACGGGCAACTTACCTCTCCGCAATTGCACTCGGACTCATCCTCGTTCCCAACCCCAGGAAAGCGAAAACGCGTCCTCAGTCCCAACCAAGAATCTCCGAAAGGGGACGGTATATCAGACCCAACTGTCACCTCGAGAAGGGAGTTGCTTGATCAAACGTTGAAAGATCTTCTACGGGTTCTAGAAAAGTAAGTGCCTTCTAACTCCCTTTTTCCCGCCATTTCCGAAAGCGGATCGGAGGCTTGGTTCCTAATCCCATTCTACAGATATGATTCAGATCTTGGTATTCTGAAAATTCCCCTTCCCCTCAATTATGCGGTCGAACCAGATCCTAAACGCGCGAAACTATCAAATGCTACCAACAATTCACAAACAATAGAGTGCAAAATTGAGGAGGGTCAATACAAGTCTATTCAAGAAGTAATTGATGATGTTGAGACCGCGTCCGGTTTAGTTATCGAACGACGTCGTGAGTCAGAAGCCAATGCAAACAAATCAGATCACTCTCGATCTTCGACGGAATTAGTCAACCTTTCACGCATATTTAGAAAGCATTTGGACAACTTTATCCTCCGGAGCCCTTTACAAGGTACTGCCCTTGTAAAGGCTGAGTCTCAGGAGCTTCAGAAGACCGAGCCCCGCAACAGGGATAATAGTAGAAGGGCGTACGATCGGGAGGACAAAATGGTTCTCACGCTATATGGAAATGCCCCTCGCGGGAGACATTTGTTTTCGAGCTTGCAACACTCAATCGCCGAGCAGCCTGACTCTCGCGACCAAGGTAAGCCACCTGGCGCGGGGGTACGGGCTACAATAAACGAAGCAGCGTTGCCAAACGGCATTACTATATCCAAAGTCATCCCTTTCAATGTCAAAATCGCGGAATCGGATAAAGCGAAAGCCAGGACCATAGCAGACGTATTTCCAGCTCGCCCCACCCTTCCTCAGTTACAACCCCCGCTCAAACCTCGGTCATCAAAGAATTCGACCATCACTTGGCTTGACCCATATGAACTTACCATAGCCGCAAATTACTCGCCAAATGAAAAAAGAGGGTACAGTTATTTATCTCTTCCTTCAGGAGATTGGCTACATTACGGATATGAGCCTTCCCTTCGCCCGGGAAATCGAAGACCAAAGAGCGATACAAATATCGGGAGGAATCTTTCAAAACCTTTCCAACACTCCCTTGACGACGGCAACGCAAAATTTCGCGGCCTCTATTCATCATTCGCACCTTCGTTTGATAGCTCTGGGGCGGTTGTACCTGAGGACGCGAAAGAGCAAATTTGGTGGGATAAACATGGCCAATATCGTTTACACGCATTATTGTCGGTTGGAAATGATATGACAGCCGAAGAGACAGACAGCAAGACCACAAACTTACAAATCGAACCATTAGACGAATCAAGTCTCGAAGAAGCTGTGAAGTCATTTGATCCAGAGGACGACAACGTGTTAATCGAGCCACAGAAAAGCGCTGATGGAGGAAACGATGATAAAGATTTGGAAGAAGTACTCGAAAATATCTCGGATCTTTTACGCACATTGAACTCGTATCGCCATATACGAAACCTCGGGCAGACACATCCCGTTCCGTCTGGGATACAGAACGACGCAGTCGCCACACCGTCAGATGCGTCATCGCCCTCAGCTACGGAAGTTACCGTCTATGAAACTCTCAAGTCAAGTTTAATTGCAATGATAGCCACGTTACCTCCATATGCCGTATCTAAACTGGATGGAGACCAATTAGCGGAATTAAACGTCAGCAAGAAAATACTTCTGGAGAGCGCTGACTATCCTGGCATGATGGAGGAAGATGACTACTCTATGCAGCAGAAACAAATACCCAGAGCTTCCCAGATGCCGAATGTAGCCCGTCCTCCCTCTGCGTCAAACATGAACCCGTCGCGGCCATCGCCATACCAGACACCTCCAACAGCACCCAATGCTTCATTGGCCCGGGGATATCCATCCAATTCTCGAACAAAGACTCCAATGGGCCATTCTTCCCACCAAGCCTATGGGACCAGACAGCCGTCGTCATCTATCCACTATGCCCCAAGTAATTCTCCTCAGCCATATAATCAGCCTCGACAGTCATCAGGTCAACGGCCGGGGTACACGCAACCTCAATTCTCACAACCTGCAGCTCCCCAGTATAATCAAGGTAACAACATCCTTCAGCAATTCCAGCGGCCAACCCAGGTCGGAATCGGACCATACCCTTCCCAGCGCATGCCTTCCCCTGCGCAGGCACCAACTCAACCCTATCCCCGCCGAGCAAGCCAGCCGCCTTATCAACAACGACCACAGGATAGCCCATATGGTTCACCTGCTTCTGTCCCGCACACTGCATCTCCCCAGAGACACTCTAGCTTTGGTGCGTCTCCACAACGGCACCCTTACATGAATTCTACTCCGACTAATCCTCAACCGAGATACTTCCAACAACAAACCCCACAACCACCACACTTTCCAACATTCGGTGCTTCCCAAGCCAGCCCGGCGCCAACAGGATATTCCAACAGCGCTGCGGCAATGACTTATTCCCGGAGCGCAGCTGAACAAGCAGCGCTTATGGATCGCAACAAAGCACAGCTAGCCGAGCATCAACGCCAAAAATCCAGCACTCCACAGCCAGGGTTGAACCCCCAATTCAGTGGCCAAGGAAACCTTCCACCAGGTAATCGACAGAATGGTGCGCCAGTGGGGTCTGCGGCAGGCACGACACAATAAAGGACAGAAAAACATTATTGGGGAACATACGATGGGAATAAGTTAAAAAAACGAGAGCCAACAGTAACTATTCATGCTTGTCTTTTATAGAGGCTCTTCTACGCAACTTGATTTTCTATATTTGCATCTTCACTTTTCTGGCTTCAGCACAACGAAAAACGAGACTTGTATTTGTCGTCTGGTCTCTCAATTTATTTTTTTAGCAGACATTTTTGTGTTGCTTTCTCTTGTACCCTTCTTAATATTGGTTTCTGCCCATGTCTTCATCGCAACACTTCTTTTTTTATCAATCCTTTTCGAAGCAATGGGAAGAGTACAACTTTTTTACATTTTCGTTCTAACCTGTTACCTATTATTATTTCCTTACATGTGACAATACGATGCAGAAGTTTTCAGTTCCTCAGTTGAGGCACCTAATAAATTTCCTCTGGCGACCAAAAATACTGGCGGCGGACTTGGCTTTATCTCCGGTTTTGTGTTTTCTTTATCTCTCTTTTCCTCGTTGCTTTAGCTTTCCTCCACCAACCCGACGTGGATAGTGAAAGGGCGAATGGGAGCGTTGGGTCGGACGCAACGGCTTTTTTGATTCTGGTTCCTGCTTTTTATCCTCCCCCCACTCTCCCTTTTTTTCGCTTCTTAACCGGAAGTAGATCTTTTCACAGTGATTCTGATTCAAAAGTAAGTTTTCATTTTTTGAAGAGAGCGCGATGGGAAATGGGCCAGATGGGGCTATATATTATACTATAGGGTTCGTTTGGTTTGACACTTTTTTTTTTCTTCTAATAGTTGTAGACTAATTATACGTTATCGCATGGAGTCCTGATCTCGTCTATTATGTTTTTTACCCCTCTTCTATCCCCTATTAGTTGGAGTTCAGATGAGAACAGCAAGCTATCGGGGGTACATAGCAATTGTGGCCGGCTTATCTACAGACTTGGACGCGCATCTCAGCCATAGTATCTCTAGAAGCAGAAATCAAGTTTGTCAATTTGAATTTTCAAGGGATATTTACTACCAATGACATACACCAACCGAAACACGATGAGGGTATTTGAAGAAAATAGAAATGATTCCAAAAAGACTTCCATTCTACCGCTCAGGGTTAGTTACTTAATCCCTAGGAAAATTGCCCAGATGCCCCTTCTTCTGTTCCAACCCCGCTTTCTCACCCACTTTTTCCCGAATATAACTCCGCATAGAAAAAATAACAAATAAATAAATAAAACGAAAGAAAGGAAAAGAAAAGACACATGTAGTGTCAACTTTTCCACCGGTCCTGACCAGTCCGGCGGGTTATATACATGTGTATTTCGCTGGTGGGCAACAGATACTTAAAAAGTCCTATATGGTAATGTGGTGGCCGTTTGATATGGAAAATATGAATAGAACATGTAACGCTGATGATGCTGAGATGCGTCGCTGGCTATGTACTGCAATGAAGGGAAAAAATGCATGAAGAGAAGGACTGAGATGCTAGAAATGGAAGACGAATACGCCATCAAGATGAGGGGGAAAGAAGACAATAGAGAAGAAATCCAGAGGCAGGAATCACAGGAATCACAGGAATCACAGAGCATAGCATAAATACGATATAGAGACTCGTAATTCGTTACAAGTAAGCTGTCGTTAAATAATGATGGCAGCGGCAGACATAAAGCCAAAATATCTATGAAATTATGAGCGAATCAGCATCTTATACTATAGAAATGTATTTAGTAGAGGGGGTTATAGGTACATACAGTGCAGCACATCTCCATCCATCAGTTGGGTCGATCAAATATTCATTGCCAGGTGGTCCATTCGAAGCGAACAGAGCAGTAGCCCCGCCAACAATAGAGACCACGGCAATGCGTCCAAAGAACTCAGATATAACGCCGAAGGCCAGCAGCGGGAATAGGATGGCTGCTGAAACAGTAGCAATCGTGGAGTATATAGGATTGGGAGTACGGGGGGTGGATGGGCGTTCCCCCAGCAATATAAGGTCATTGTCATTTGCAAGGAATCTTAGATCGGATTTGGTAGTGGAGGAATGTTCGTGGATCCAGGTACGGTAGGCTTCGACTTCTTCGTCGGTGGCAGCGGGCAATTTGCGGGAAACCTCGCGATATGAGCAAAGAGCACGATCTAGTTAGAGAAGGGTAAGTATCACAAATCCTTGCAAGAGGGAAAAGAAGGAAAGACAAATGGAGGAAGGAGATTGAGCTTACTATATTGCTCGGTTTTTGGCACAAGCTTTTCCACTAGCTCAGACTTTCTCTGCTGAAGAACAGATAATTCTTCAGACTGAAGGTCCTGATACTTTGTCGCCAGCAGCTTCTGTCTTCCGGCATTTCTAACATTGGCTGTGACTCGTCGTACTTCTTCAACTTCGTCAAGGATGGTAAGATCCTCTTCCATCTGTGCGATCTCTTCCTGGAGATGACGGAGTAAGCGATGATTTAGCGACTTAAACTTGCGATAGAGTAACGGATGCTCGTCATCGGACGATTCGCTTCGCTTTGGATCTGACTCCACGGAAGTGCGCCGCTGCCTTTTGCTGGTGCTCATGTTGAATTTGCGCATGTCGAGATTCGGTTGACGATACGGGTACGAAGGGTGGATAGAGGAGTTTGGAGGGCATTGAGGAAATGTATGCTTCACGTGGGTGTAATATGATTCAGGAGTAGAGAAATCCAAACATCCGGGAATAGGGGAAGTAGGGCTATCCAGGACTGTCTCCGAATCGGTCATGTACGCTCCAGCCATATTGAGGCGGCGGCGAGTTTGGGATTCATCTGCAAATTTCCAGTTGAGTGTATTCAGGGAGATATCAGGTGGTGTTGCAGGTTGATATTCTGCAGAGGAGATTGATGAAGCTCGATCAGGGCTGTGCTCTCTGAATGACACCCCTGAATCTGAGTTGAAGCTATAGGACGCACTAGACTTTCGTCTAGAGCCGTGGGACGCTGAGGAGGTGGCAGAGGGCTGTCGCGGCAGAGTGGCCTGCGGCCAGCGGGTACTGTTGTCTTCTGAGTCGTCCTTATCCAAAAACTCAAATACGTTCGGCGACGGCTGTCTAGGCTGCGCTTCACTTGGCCTTTCAGTCGAGCTTCCTTTCAGAGTTGGAGGTTCCTTTGAAGCAATGTCGGCCAGTGATTTGATAATAAAAGTTTTGGAACGTTGTCGGGGCCGTGCAATAGGGGCAGAGTTCTCATTGGAATAACTGGAAGATTTAACAGGGGCAGCAGGCGTCGAATCCACGGCAGCATTCCTAGAGGATGATGATTTCTTCGAACCGTCCCTCTTATGGCTCTTCCCGGGCATATTCTAGGAGTTGAGAAAGGATGAGAAGAATTGTGCTGAGTATATCTGAGAACTATCTCAGTTCTGTCAGAAGATAAGGAATATCTGGCTAATCGCTTCTTCTTCCTCTTCTTCTTCTTCTTCTTTTTCACACAGGGATTTCACGTTTCACGGGTAAATGGAAACCCACGCTGGGGTGGAGCTGTTGTGTGTAGAAACTGTCTGGGTATCACGTTATAGCCGCAGGGCTGGCTAGAGGATGGATTTGAACAAGTAGAGGGAAATGGCTTCTGAAATAGGGACTCCGAAAAGCCAGATATCAGTTGTATATAATGACTATGGCAAAAAGAGAATCCTCAGGACACAATGTGATGATGCGCTGATGTTGAAATATTGCTCGGCGATTGAGGGGCAGCTGGAGCAGATAACAAGATCAGGTGAAAATCTTGAGGGCGCAGGGCAACAAGAAGTTGGTTCTGGGGAAGACAGGGGGGGTTAAGAACTACAGCGAGAATGAGAGAAAAAGAAATGCGCCCTGCGCCAGATACATATGGGATGCAACAGCCGGCGACGTACTCTGAAACGCCCCTGGGCGGTGGTTAACCAAATGGAAAAAAGGATGCGACAGTGTCATGAATCATGGACGGGCCTTTGCTGGGTCGACTGGAAACGCTGGCGGTTTCTGCGCATAAATTTCTATTTATTTGAGTTTGCAGGTAGTTATTAGGTTAAATCAGACCCTTGGTAGCGGGTATAGAAACTTGTAGCTATTAATTAAATAATAATAGTGTCAGTCTTGTTCGTCAGAATCATCACTAGTGCTTCCGTGGGGCATAAAAACCGAACACCCTCAGCATGATTATGATCACAGTTTGCTGTATATGCTGCAATCATAATTATAAGAGTGCAGGATTTCATCATTGTATGGACGCGGTACATAAATGGTTGCAGTTGGGCTCAAATTGGCACCAAGACCGCACGTACATACATATTTTGTACACATATATAGTTAGTTAACTATAACTACTTTTTGGCATGCTGCGTTGGTCAACCGTGACTCGCTATCTCACCCACCTCCAGGATGCAAAAAGCTCAAGGGTTGAACAGTTCTTCGTTATTCTTTGCCCTTTCCATCCGCCATTCGTAGCGTTAAGACCCGGTTGGCATAGATTTATGTATGTATAATTAATCCTCATGGCTGATAGCTGGGTGCGTATAGAATCATTATTTAATATTAGCGTAGCGGACTTTCTACTTGTTCCCCGTAATAAGCACGCAAGATGCTGGCACCGCTCGCCTGCCATGGACAACAGGGCACATTGCGCGATTGAGCCCATTCGCCAGAATGCGGATTTAGCTTGGTCGAAATATTTTTGCTGTCGTTCGCAGTAGTTCGTTGCAAGTCATAGCTTGCCATATTTATTATTAGTTATTTAACTACTAGTTCAACTAAGTTAACTTAAATAACTAACTGGGGAAGTCAGCGGGGTCACATACGCAGTAGATGCAACCAAGTGCGACGTGCGACCGAACCACTACGATAATTGGCTTCCCGTTGCTCCAACATCTAGCATAACCGGAGTTGGAATATCCTGGTGACTGGACCGGACCGGTGGCAGCTTCTAATAATTCCAAAAACCCGCCTCTCGTCAGCTAGATATCCAAAATCGAAATGCCTTCTTCAAACAAGCGAGCAAGAGACTAACTGTAGATCCGTAAGCCAACCCCCGCGCCCTCCCCCCCCCCCCCCGGGCTCATCTAGGTGTCACAGTTCGGGTTTCCAATAATAAACTGATTGGTAGATGGGGGCCATGCCAATGCCCGGCGTCAATGAGGATATTTTGCGGGGCAGCAACATGTTGGCGCGAATGGGAATGCGAGGTGAGCTGCCACCAAAGCCACATCTTCCCATCTAAACCCTGGAAACGTAGAAACCCAGACGAGAACTCGTAATAATGGCTTGAAGTTGGTGGGAAGATGGAAATGGGAGATATGGCATTTATAGCAATGATTGGGTTTTGGGACATTGAGAAAGTTGTATGTAGTTCCAATCTACGCGGTACGGTAACTACCGTAATTTTACCGGGTCCCCCGTTTCATGCTCGTTTCACACCACAAATCATCACCCGCTGTCTCGTATTTCCTGTAATCAAAGTTCTTCTACCCTATTCCGGCGCGCGAATGAAGTGGACGCTCTGACGTCCTGAGGGCTTGAAACCTCAGCCTTCCAAGCCTCAACTTCCCGATTGTTCACCTTCCTACATCCGGGGCAAGTGATATTCGAGGGCGGCGCTGACGGCCCTAATTTATGCACATGATACGACAATGCCTATCCCGCCGTGGTGCATATTCCCGTTACCGTCTTGCTGCGCGAGGGGTTGAACTTGCGGAACCCTTCCACCACCAGAGCTCCAGGCCGCAAGGGAGGAGAAATTGGTCGTCTTCGCCGCGATGTTCTCTTGATATCCGGACAGATACCCCGAGAAGCCGCTCAGAGTACGTTCCTTTGCGGAAACAATTGAAGGAAGAGGCCAAAGCGAAACGCGCAGCCAAGCGGAAGGGCAGCGCACCCCCGGCAAAGCATGACGATTGGGAATTGACTGTGGGCATTGAAATACATGCGCAACTGGATACGGATGCGAAGCTGTTTTCAAGTAAATGATCGTTGCTCGTCGGTTGTGCCGTTGCCTTTGAAATCTGACCCTGTGAGCAGGAGCCTCCGCGGCCATTGATGATATCCCAAACTCGAACGTAGCTCTCTTTGACATTGCGCTTCCAGGGAGTCAGCCGGTTAGTATTTCTTTCTGGCTGTGGATTCATTATAATGATGTGTCATTGTTTTGTTCCTTTTTACTGACGATTGGAAAGCTGTTCCAACCCTCCACCTTGATACCAGCCCTCCGCGCCGCCCTTGCCATGAATTGCGATATCCAACGAGTCAGTCGTTTCGATAGAAAACATTATTTTTATCAGGACCAGCCTGCAGGCTACCAAATAACACAATACTACGGTACTTGAATACATCCTACATCTACAAGTCAACAAGTATCTATGCTTACATAGCTTGCCTTAGAACCATATGCGAAAAACGGCAGTATCTGGTTGCAAGAGCACGATGGAATTGCTCGAGAAGATGGGGAGGGTGTTCAAATCGGCATAAAACAAATACAAATGGAGCAGGATACGGCGAAATCACAGGAACTTCCGTCGTCCACGTACCTCCTCGACTTCAACCGTGTCTCACGCCCTCTAATTGAGATTATCACCCTACCACAGATCCACTCTCCTGCAACTGCCGCAGCTTGCGTGAGGAAAATACAGGCGATTCTTCAATCAGTTGGAGCAGTGACAACGGGCATGGAAATGGGAGGGCTTAGGGCGGATGTGAACGTATCAGTAAGAAAGCGAAGTGAAGAGGCTGGCGACCATGAATACCATGGGATAGTGGGGCTCGGTCAGCGAACCGAAATTAAAAACTTAAGCAGTTTTAAAGCCGTCGAAGATGCCATCATCGCAGAAAGGGACCGCCAAATTGCGGTACTTGAGGCAGGTGGCACCATTGAGGGCGAGACACGAGGCTGGACACTTGGCAGCACCGAAACCCGGAAACTTCGTGGTAAGGAGGGGGAAGTGGACTATCGTTATATGCCTGACCCGGATCTGGGGCCAGTGGTAATCGGAGAGGATGTTATTTGCGACCTCCAAATGAAGATGCCACTACTACCCGATGCGCTCTTTCAGATGCTTGTCCGAAATCCAAAATATAAACTGTCCACTGCCGATGCCAAGACAATGATTGAACTTGATGACGGCCAGCGGCTAGAATATTACCAGGATGTCGTTGACATCCTCATTGGCCTTCAAACTGACCTGTCTGCCGATTTTTCGGGGGGCAAGGCGGTTGGCAATTGGGTGCTCCATGAACTTGGCGGCCTACTGACGAAGTCGAGCCTGCCGTGGGACTCCGGGCGGGTTCCCGCACAAAGCCTGGCGGAAATTATAGATTTGCTCTCGCGAAAAGAGATCACCAGCAGTTCGGCAAAATCTCTTCTTGCGATGGTATTTGACGGGGACAAGCGATCTGTTGCTCAGATAGTGGAGGACGAAAACCTCCGCTTCCAGAGTCTTTCCCGGGGCGAATACATTGCGCTAGCGGAGGAAGTCATGCGCCAGAACCCGAAGATGGTCTCCGAAATCCGCGAGAAGGGCCAACTGGGCAAGATTGGTTGGTTTGTTGGCCAGATCAAGCGAATTGGAGACGCAAACAGAGTGGAAGCGCAAAAGGCGGAGGAGATTTTGCGAGAGCTTATTCTCAAGAAAAATAGCTAACACCATCTACAGGATTGGATGCGCTTTCCTCACATATATGTATGTAGATCGAAATGTAATAAATACCATACTGTACATTAGAAGAAGAACAACGGTGGTCGTAATATATAATATCCCATATACCCCTACATGTATTCCGAAAACGTATATACTGAGCGGCATTCCGCTGGTAAAGCGACGATAACCAGCGGGCCGCGTGACTGTTACAATTTCGGTTAGGCGGGCAAGCGGTGTTTCCAGTCTATGACGACACTGCTCTCTTAAACATGTACTTAGGGGAAATGGGGCGGGATATAAAGCGACCGCGTTGACCCTCGCTGCCCTCGCTGCTCCATCTTCCTTCCCCTAAAAGCATGTTGAGCCGGGTGGATGGGATGGGGATGGGATAAAGGGGGAACAGATTGGAATACTACCTTGCAGTAGTTTGGTTTGTTTTCTTCCCTCTCGATGCTTATTATTTCTTGTTATTTTTATTTTTTCCGGGGGTCACTATTTAAGGCGCTTTCCCTCCCTCACCTTTCCTTTCGTCGCTTGAAAGCCGCCGCTGATATCCGTGGTCCAAAGCGCGCTTCGATTTTGTACAGTACAAGTACATTCCCTACGTTGCTCATCCACACAATCTGACGAGGGGAATATCAGAACAATTCATTCTTATTTATTTATTTATTATTTTAACCCGTATTTTTATCTGACTTGTTTCCTAACTGTGTTTCCAATTGGGGTGGGGCTATCTTCATTTTTGTTCCACTCTCTTCCTGTTCGTAACACTACCCTGAGACAGCTACAGAAAGTTGCAGGGAAAGGAAAAATAGAGCAGTATAAAATCTGAATATTTGGACCTTAGCTTGTCTCATTTTTCTTTTGCAGGACGCAAAATTGTCGTTTTAACTTGCATCCTGCTTTTTTGCCTCCCAAAGGTTCCTGACTCTATATATATATCTTAATTATTAGAGTTGGAACCTGCACACTTTATTCTCTCGAGCCAGAGCGGAAATCAATCAAGCTTTCTAGAACCCAGATACCCGCCTTGTCGCTAGTTTTGCGTTCGTTGCTTCAAACAAACTAACCTACTTGATCAACCACGAACAAGCCGCCAACTGAGTATAAGGAAACGCCAAAAATGGCTCAAGTAAATGGCAGCAACGGTGTCCTTCCATCGATGATCAAGAAGCGATTCCTTTCCAAGCCTAATGAGGTGGGAGTGGTGGCCGTTGGTTTTGCTCAAGGGCAGGTATGTAAAATAGTATATAGTACTCCTACTCTTTCCTGCACTGACCCTCCGGCCTACCACCAGTGCAAGCCCGGAGTCGATGCAGGTCCTACTGCGCTGATCGACGCCGGCCTTCTCCAGCAACTCCACGAGGATCTAGACTACAAAGTGTCCTACGATAATACCGTCCACAGCTACTCCGACATCGTCCCAACCACCGACCCAGACTTCCGCGGCATGAAGAAGCCGCTAGCCGTCAGCGCCGCGACAGAGAAGCTCAGCCAGCAAGTCTACGAACATGCGCGCGACGGCAAGTTTGTCCTAACCCTGGGCGGCGACCATTCCATCGCGATCGGGACCGTGTCGGGGACCGCTAAGGCTATTCGCGAGCGGCTGGGGCGGGAGATGGCCTTGATCTGGGTCGATGCGCATGCGGATATCAACACTCCGGAGACGAGCGGTAGCGGGAATATTCACGGGATGCCCGTGGCGTTCCTGACGGGTCTGGCGAAGGAGGACCGGCGTGATATTTTCGGGTGGTTGGAGAAAGACCATCTGATCAACACGAGGAAGCTGGTGTATATTGGCCTGCGCGATGTGGATCGCGGGGAGAAGAAGATTCTAAGGGAGAATGGGATTAAGGCTTTTAGTATGCATGATGTTGATAAGTATGTTTTTTCTTCTACTCCCTTCTTATTTTAGATAAAACATTTTCGTTTTTTTATTTTTATTTTTTGTTGTTCATTATTTCGATCCCCTCACCCGCTAACTAGTGTGACGTCAGACACGGCATTGGACGAGTTGTTGAGATGGCGCTGGCGCATATTGGATCGGATACACCAATCCACCTCTCATTCGATGTGGACGCTCTCGATCCGCAGTGGGCTCCCAGCACGGGGACTCCAGTCCGAGGCGGGTTAACTCTCAGGGAAGGAGATTTTATCGCGGAATGTGTTCACGAGACCGGTAACCTGGTTGCGATGGACCTTGTCGAGGTAAACCCAAGCCTGGAAATCATTGGTGCCAGTGAGACCGTCCGGGCGGGTTGCTCTTTGGTCCGCTGTGCATTGGGTGACACTCTGCTCTGAAGTTGCCACGCGGAGACGTGCTGTTTTGAGGTATTGATTGATCTATTTGGAGGCCTTTTCTTTTTCTTTTTCTTTTTATCGTTTAAATTCTGGGAACAACTGCCGCAGAATATGTGAGTTTTGAATATTGCGTACTGAAATAGTAGCGTGATATTTCTAGTTCTAGCAAGCTCGTACAGAGTAGTTATAGATCGAAATAGATGTTTTGTTGGACCTGTTGCAGTTTTATTTGTGTTTGTCTCCTCGTCTTGATAAATAAATATGCTGTAGTTAATCATCCCATCCCCCCCACCAGTTGTTGCTGCGCAGGTGCGACTTTGGTAGAAACGAAAAAATGGAATCATCAACAAACCAAAATATTTACGGCGTACTTGACAGCTTGTAAACAGCAAACTCGAGACGAACCTGTTCATCAGGCGCTTGGGGGAATAGCTCTGGACAGCCTAACATCTTACGCAGAGTTTTTGTGCTGGGTTGCGCTGTTCCCCTGCCACCGGGTTTATTTATTTAAATACCCAACCTCCTCAATTATTTCCTCGAAAATAGACCCAGGCGCAGCCATGAACCAGACTCCCTTTCAAAAAAGAAGCAGAAAATGAATACGGAGTATACTTTCTATTAATTAAGACTGATCATTAATAATTAGATACCAAAGTTATTTTTCTCTGCTTTCCCTCGCCCCGCGCACGCCTGGTTGCATCACTTCAACCATATCCTAACTTGTACCCCTCACCGTTGACCCGGATTGAATAGTCCACTGCCCCCACAAAGGGCCTTTTCGGTTCATTGAATATACTAGAACCTCTACATACCCCCCGCGCCGCCTCATTAGCTCTGCTGGCCTGCTATCGTGGTCGATTCCGATTGCAACAAAAGCAACAGAGCATTGAGCTGCCGGTCCACATCACCAAGCGTCAGAAGCATTCATCACGCATCCATTCGCCGTTCGCCCAACGCTCTTCTGCGTTGCCTGCATCGAGTTTTAATTAAATAGGCCATTTTCTCCAGAGGCCACACGCACGGAGGCTTAGATTTTTCTCACCCCTCGCTTTTGGGCACTCTCTTGCTCGCATTCTCACATCTCTTCTCAGCGTCTTGTTATATTTATCGGGCGGGCTTCTCTATGTGCACATCGGTCTTCAGAGTCGACTGTTTAGGGGAATTCCCGCTCGAACTGATTAGCTGTGGAGTAGCCTAAATACCTTTTATAATTCCGGGTTCATTCTTTTCGGCTTCTCGCACGCCTCCCGTTTCTCGACACTGCATGCTCCCGACATCTACAAGCTTTGTTCAAGAGGGGTAATAATATCTCTCTCCAAGTCGATTAAACAACCCGACCGTTTGCTGCTGGGTGGAATATCGCCTACGTCTCCAGTACATCTTAAGCTCCTCCTCCAATTTTCTAACGGTGGGAGCAATTGATATCCCTTCAAATACCAAGCGATCACACACTTCCCAACCCGATCCTCACCATGTCAAGCTCGAGCTATACAGCGACAATGGTAATGCGAAAGTTCCACTGGCCAGATATACAACTGAACATATGGTTCTCTGTCGTGCTTGCCGGGTCAGCAACATGCCTGGGTATCTTCAGCTGGTTCATGACGGTGCAGACTCAAATGGAGCTCCCGACACCATGGTAAGTTTGGATAATGGTTTATTATATATACCATTAAAATCTCTCCTAAGGTCTTTTGTCCTCTCTTATCTCGCATTTTATACCTACCGCCTCCCGAAATATATGCAGACAAAATACCACCCCTGGTCCACAACATTGGCAACATAGCGCTAACATATAACAAACAGGGTTTTCCCATTCATGGTAGCCACCGCAGCACTAACGCTGATATTCCTCTGCCTAATCGTGGTCCTCGCCCTACAACACTCCCTAATACCCGAAATGATAATTCTGGGCAGCTTCATCCTCTTCGTGCTCTGGTTCACGGGCCTAATCGGCACCGCCTTACAGCTGTACGGCAACCAGGCGAGCATCAATTCGAATTGTCAGAATTGGGTGACCGGCTACGAGTTCAAAGGCGCCAGTATCAATACGCTGGCGTGGTTGACGAATTTGAATATCTGTATGTTTTACTCAGGGGCTATATTTATATTTCACCCTTTCTCTCCCTAGTCCCCTTATTTCTGGACGTGTTTCCTAACAAAAATGAATGTACAGGTAATTGCTGGAAAACCGCATTTGCATTCGAGGTAGTCATCGCTGTCTTCCTCGTCTGGATGCTTATCATGGCATTCCAGGTCCGGAAGCACACCGATCCTTACGATTGATTCCTCGACTGAGTGCCTTCATCACACCGCTTTTGCATTTTCTTTTTTTCCCTTTCGCTGTTTTATGATTATGGGCCCCTTTTCCATCCTTGTTTATATATATGTGGCATATCACTCAGCATCTTGATGTCCCACACATCATCTGGAGTTCATTTATTTATTTATATTTACATTTTTTTATGTTGAAATGGGAAATGGGAAATGGGAAATGAGAACAGACTGGCTGGACTGGCAACAGTGTATATGGGAAATACCGGGAACGAAACAAAAGATGACTGATTGACGGAGCTGACTGACGGCACACATATATAGATTGTGCTCAGTTGACTTTTTTCTTTCTTTTTTTCCAAGTTGCACGGCGTTTAGGAATGGCAAGGAAGGAACATGATTGATTGTTTATGGCGTATTCATCCTGATCCCGGGAGGGAAATTTTTGGCAGGCATATATTCTTTTCCTATCTTTATTTTCCACTTCTTCCCATCTCTTACAAATTTTTCTGGTCTCCCTATTCGGGTAAATAAAATATAGCCAATAACTATCCCTCTCCCAATTATCTAATTTTGGACACATATGTACCTGGCTATCATCGCCCTGAGTCTGTGCCTCTTACCACAAGCCACTGGATGGTTACCAACTCTGCAATATAATTGCTGGTTCAAGTGTTGGATTCATAGTGTGAGCGCAAGTCATTTTCCTGCTCGCAGATTTTCAGAACCGTTGTACACAGTACAGTACAATTAATAGTTACCTGGAAGGTGTGGTGTTGTTCCTGAGCCAGCTTAAACGCGCCAGCAGGGCGAGCTTCCAAGGTTGTTTGTTGAGCTCCTGTCAGCGTTTGTTGCGTTCGTATTGGGTGGCTAAAAAGAACAAGTCAAAACCTAAAATATAGAAGCCGAACCACACGATATTTTAAGTTGGGAAGACGGGAGCAATTGAATAAGATCCTTCAATAATAGAGACGATTTGTTTTCTAGAAGAAAGTCGAGTTGTAGTGGTTGAGCTTGATAGTAGTTGGCTGTACTGCGTAGATTGTCGCGGTTGGTGTGCGTGAAGTTTCTCCCGGTCATCCAGCCCAGGCAGCCCCGTTTGACGACCCAAAGTACCCTGCAGTACTACGCCAGCGCGGGAGTGACCTCACAGGCTCCCTCACACCCAGCCCCGTTTCGCTTCCCCCAACCCTGGCACATTTCCCCATTACCTCATCCGGATCTCATCCGCCGTCCATCCATCCATCATCATCCATCATCATCCGTTTCTCTCCACACCCAACCTCACAACCTCACATCCTCCTTCTTCCCTATTCATTCCCCCATCTCCATCAACTCCCATCTCGTCTTCGTTCCTTTTCTTTTCCTTTTTCCTTCTCTTATTGTTTCTCTCTACATCTCTAATCGTTCGAATCTCTCTTGATTTCCGTCCCTAAATTGCTCCACGGTCTGACCAGCCACCATGAAGTCCACTCTGCTGCTTGCAGCGGCTGCTCTCCTGGGCACGTCGTCTGCAAAGGTACACAAGTTAAAACTGAACAAACTGTCTCTATCTGACCAACTTGTAAGTAAATACTTTTGATGGGGAGATAGATAGATGGCTTGTCCTGTTGTAATTCGGTTTCTGGGAGGCGATGGCGACTAACCGCGGACGATGATGGACTTCTAGGACAATGTCAACATTGACACCCACGTCAAGGCGCTTGGTCAAAAGTACATGGGAATCCGACCAAATCAACATATTGATGAGATGTTCAAAGGTGCTGCCCAAGCTTCTGGGGGGCATAGTGTTCTGGTAGACAACTTCCTCAACGCTCAATGTATGTGTACCACCAGTTCAACCTCCTCCCTCTGTGATCTACAACCGCCCTATGGAAAATCATCCCACTAACCCATCCCTAGACTACTCTGAGATTACTATCGGCACCCCTCCCCAAACTTTCAAGGTTGTCCTTGATACCGGAAGCTCCAACCTCTGGGTTCCATCGAGCGAGTGTGGCTCCATCGCCTGCTACCTTCATAACAAGTACGACTCGTCCACCTCATCGACCTACCAGAAGAATGGTTCTGAATTCGCCATTCGCTACGGCTCTGGAAGTCTCTCCGGCTTCGTTTCCCAAGACACCGTCCGAATCGGTGACCTGACCATTAAGAGTCAACTCTTTGCAGAGGCGACCAACGAGCCTGGCCTTGCATTTGCCTTCGGCCGATTTGATGGCATCCTAGGCCTGGGATATGACACTATCTCTGTCAACAAGATCCCGCCTCCCTTCTACGAAATGGTCAACCAGGGGCTTCTCGATGAGCCCGTGTTCAGCTTTTATCTGGGCGATGCCAACATCGAAGACGATGACTCCGAAGCCGTGTTCGGAGGCATCAACAAGGATCATTATACTGGTGAACTTGTTATGATCCCCCTTCGCCGCAAGGCCTACTGGGAAGTTGATCTCGATGCCATTACCTTCGGCAAGGAAACGGCTCAGCTGGAGAACACTGGTGTCATCCTTGACACCGGCACATCCCTTATTGCCCTCCCGTCCACCCTCGCCGAGCTTCTGTAAGTTCCAACTGCTGTATATCTATTTAGATACAAAAACGTTGGTGACAAATGCTAACACGTATATCCCCATCAGTAACAAGGAAATCGGAGCCAAGAAGTCCTTCAACGGCCAATACACCATTGACTGCACGAAGCGTGACGGCCTGCCCGACCTCACCTTCACTCTGACCGGCCACAACTTCACCATCGGTCCCTATGACTACATCCTGGAGGTGCAAGGGTCCTGCATCAGCAGCTTCATGGGCATGGATTTCCCAGAACCGGTTGGCCCTCTCGCCATCCTTGGCGACGCCTTCCTGAGACGATACTACAGCGTCTATGACATGGGCAACCATTCTGTTGGCTTGGCGAAGTGCAAGTAAATTTAGCCCACGCTGTCTATTTGGTTTTTGCTTGCGCCTTCTCCCAGTCTGTCGACGGATTGATTTCGTTGGCATTTAGCTAGAGCAGGAGGAATTTGTTAGGGGAGTAGGTAGCTAGTATGGTGGGAAGTAAGGACAATAATCAAATCGTGCTAAGATGTACTGTTTTCGTTTTTCTCCTTCTTTCTTTTTTCCCTTTTGTTCGCATTTTCCCCCTCTTCTGATCCCTGGTCTTTTCTTAATCAGTACGTCAATCTTTGTTTCTTTTCTTTTTTACTTTTTACTTTTTTTTTTCGTCTATTTACTTTCCTAGTTCTTTGCAAGGATGAACGGGAAATCTCATCTCCAGTGGTGTTTTTTCCGAATGTTTGCTGTTTGCAGCTATGGTATCCCTACATGTAGAAGGAGAAGTCCCTTGCTACTGTACTCTATATCTACCTATGTCTTAGTATATATATATATATATATATGTATAACCAGCAGAATCCAGCTACGGGTCATTGTGACTGAAAATAGGTAATAGTCTTAAGTCATAAGAAAGTGAATTGCACATGAATTTATTTGAGATAATAAATAATATATGGTAGCATGGACCAACAGTAGTATTATTATTATTAGATTGGTAGATACAGCTGATAACACCAAGCACGGAGTAGAGGTATACTGCTTCCCAGGTACAACACACGGTTGAAAGGGTACCGGAATATAGAGGGGGGGGGGAGTGGAGTGGAGGGACAGCCCAGCCCGCCCCACGGGCACGGGATCACGCTAGCCGGCACGCCAAGCAGCGGCTGGAGCGTTCTCCAGCGGCGTCCATAAAGCAAGCGCCATTCCCCATTCCCCATTCCCCATTCCCCCCGTCCGTCTTGTCGCCTCAAGCTTCCGCCCGCCGAACATACAGCAGTACAGAGTACTCCGTACTAAAGTTATATATCCCGATTCCAACCACTACCACTACCTTATCTCCCTCTCTATTCTCTATTCTCCATTGCCCCAGACCAGTCCCCTTCCAATTCACTCAATCCCCTCTTTTCATCAAGCAATAATATATATAAGCTTCCAAGCTTCACCTTGACATCACTAGCAAATTCCGCCAAAACAACCCGCCCCGCCCGCCCGCCCCCAGCACAATCCTTTCTTCGCGATATCCCTCGTCGATTCCCTCGCGCGCCCGGCCCACCCGAGAATCAACAACAAAGCTACGAGAACATAAGCTGGACGGACATATTAATTATTACAATCGCAGAGCGGGCTACATAATAACCGAGAAAATTTTTTTTTTTTCATCTCCCCTCCTTCGCTACCTTCAACCCGCATCGAACATAACATATAATCGCAATTGGAGAACAAAAAACCACACTCCCCTCCTGCGTCATTCCGCGCGCGCTACCCTCCTCCTCCTCTCACGCAAAAATAGGACACAACAACAAACTCAAAACACACCAAACACCTTGATCCCAGCACAGAGAGAGGCTACCCTACCCCTACGTTACACTCCGTCCATTAATATTATTATTCACCTAATAATACCAACCCTCCTCCCGATTATGGCCGCCTAAAAGCCCAGGCCCCGCGACAAAAACACAAACAAAAAAAACAAACAAAAAACAAAAAAAAAACAAAACATCGCAGAATATAAAAACAAAAATACATACACACACACCCCACATCGATTCTTATCCTCCCCCTCCTCCTACCCCCCATCCACAAAGGAATGCTTTTGCGACTATCCACCAGCCTCCACTACCCCATCACCGTCACCGAGCTGTTGAAGCGCCCTGGCGACACTATCCAGCAAGGCGAGGCTATCTTCGCATACTACTACCGCACAACGGTGACGGAGGGTGACGGGTTGGGAAACAAGCATGATGTGCTCAAGACTTTTCCGACGAGGTTTGAGTCAGCGGTCGATGGGGAATTGGTGGCTTGGAAGGTTAGAGAAGGTGCGGTGATTGAGGGGCCGTGAGTGTTTTCTTTTTCCCTTTCCTCTTTTTTTTTTTTTTTTCTTTTTAAGATTGATATTAAATTATTTGCGGGTAATGCTAATTTTTGTATTTGTTTCTTTTGGGTAGGATTGATATTGCGGAGATCCATGAGCCGTGTTCACATGAGGTTCAGTTTGGGGGGATGTGTGCGAATTGTGGGAAGGATATGACTGAGTAAGGCCTTTTGTTTTATCACCTATTAACTTTTTTTTTTTTTTTTTTTTTTTTTTTTTTTTTTTTTTTTTTTTTTTTTTTTTGATTTACCCTATATTTGTTTGACATGGTTTCTAATCTTTCCCCCTCAACTTATAGGTTTAACTATAACACCGAAGTTTTGGATTCATCTCGCGCCCCGATCCGTATGGTGCACGATAACTCTGCTTTAACAGTCAGCGAGAACGAAGCGACGCGCGTGGAAGAGGACGCGAAACGCCGCCTGCTCTCATCGAGGCGATTATCCCTCGTTGTCGACTTGGACCAGACCATCATTCACGCAACGGTAGATCCTACGGTGGCGGAGTGGCAACAAGACAAAGATAACCCGAATCATGAAGCGGTCAAGGACGTACGTGCTTTCCAACTTGTAGACGATGGACCTGGCATGCGAGGTTGTTGGTACTACATCAAACTACGGCCCGGGCTAGAAGAGTTCCTACGGGAAATTTCCACATTGTTCGAACTACACATCTACACAATGGGGACCCGCGCGTATGCGCAGCACATCGCCAATATCGTGGATCCAGACCGTAAGATTTTCGGAGACAGGATCCTTAGCCGCGACGAGAGCGGGAGTTTGACTGCCAAGAACCTTCAGCGCCTCTTTCCTGTGGATACGAAAATGGTTGTTATCATAGATGACAGGGGGGATGTGTGGAAGTGGACAGATAACTTGATCAAAGTGCTACCTTACGACTTCTTCGTTGGTATTGGCGATATCAACTCTAGTTTCCTCCCGAAGAAACAGGAGTTCAAGGGTTTTCCACGGGGCGCTACCAAGGCGAAACGGGAGGCTGATTCAAAGGAAGCTGAAGCGGCTGGGACGACTATCAATGGGTCCGGCGCAATGGATGTAGATGGGAAGACGGCTACGGAGGTATCAGCGTTGGAGCAACTGGTTACCATGGGCGGAGGCGATAATCCGGTGTTGCTCCAAGAACAGGCCAACGAACAGGAAGAGGCGATCGCACATCAAGTTGAAGAACGACCACTACTACAGAAGCAGAAGCAGCTCGATGCTGAAGATGAAGCGGCGGAGCTGATGGCAGCGGCTGAGAACGGGGATTCATCCAGTGATGATTCTCACGACTCGTCACGGCACCGCCATCACCTGCTGGAAGACAACGACACTGAGCTGTATAAACTTGAAGAGCGGCTCAAAGCTGTTCACAAGGCGTTTTTCGACGAGTATGATAGGAGGCGAACTAGCTCGCTTGGAGGGAGAGTATCGGCACTAAGAGGTGAACGCGTCCCTACAAGAGATAGAGGAATAGATCTCCGTATCGTACCCGATATCAAAGTCATCATGCCGCAGATCAAGAGGCCTGTGCTCAACGCTGTGGTCCTGGTGTTTTCTGGGGTCCTACCTCTTGGTACCGACACGCAGAATGCCGATATCTCACTCTGGGCAAAAAGTTTCGGCGCCGCCATCTCTACCAAAATTAGCTCGAGAACTACCCATCTCGTTGCTGGCAGGAACCGCACGGCAAAAGTCCGCGAAGCAACACGATATCCTAACATTAAGATCGTAACGGTGCAATGGCTCCTTGACTCGATAACGCAGTGGAAACGAATAGACGAGGAGCCGTACCTCGTCCCCGTGCACCCGGAGGACAGGGGGGAATTGATCAGTGGCTCTGATAACGTCTCGCCAGCCGACGACTCCGCCAAGTCCAATGGCAGTATCGATGATTACTCGTTTCTCTCCTCGTCGGAAGAGGATGACAGTATGGCTGACGATGACGATGACGATGGCGACGGCAATAGCACCATTGAGACCGGCAGTGCGTCGAAATTGCGCCTACGGACCACCAATAATGACCTGCGCGATATTGATGAGGAGATCTTGCAGTCGGCCGGCCTCACGGAGCATTCCCTCATCGGCTACGATGCGGAGCAGCAGGCTGCCGTGCACGATGAGCTAAGGGCGTTTTTGGGGAGTGATAATGATGATAGTGAGAGTGATAGTGATTTGTCGCTCCAGTCGTCGTCGTCGTCGTTTAGCGCGCAGCAGCAGCAGCAGCAGGGGGGGAAGAAACGGAAACGAGGTCCTGAGAGCGAGGGGAGTGGTGGGGAGTCGAGTGCGGGCGAAGGAGAAGGTGGGGATGGAGGTGAAAGAACTGCTGCCGCCGCTGCTGCAGGTGCAGGTGCACCGTCAGGGTCATCGCGCCTAGCGCAGAAGATCAAATTGTCCCACGAGAGGAATACGGGGTTGAAGAACGTGGCGACGATTCGATCAAGGGGTTCGTCTGAAGCACCCCCTACATCTGTGTCTGGTGCTGCTGATGCTGGTGCTGGTGCTGGTGCTGGTGCGACGCCTCCGCTATGTAACCACCCGCCAAACGCGGAGGATGACGACGATGTTGGCGATGAGTCTGATACGACTGAGTATAATAATAATGAGGAGAACAACGATGTGGATCCTGAGGATGATGATGATGATGCGTTAGAGAGGGAGATGTTGGCGGCTTTTGAGGATGGGGGGTGGGGGGAGGAGGAGGAGGAAGGGGTGGGAGAAGGCGAGGAGGAGGAAACAGTCGGCTCGGGTACCTGAATTGTGTATCTATCACCTATCAACCTTGATATCTAGCTACCAATCTGTCCAACAAACTTTATTAGCATAGCGAGGGCGTTTTTCTTTTGTTATTTTCCACTCTCCCCCCCCCCCCGGGCCCCCCGGCGGGGCCCCTGGTTGTGAGATGAGACATATATAGGCAGCTATGTATGCAGCTATGTATGTATGTAGCCTGTCTTTGGCGGTGGGTTGGTTGGTTGGTTTTGCAATTTGCTTCAATTTTCTTTATAGCTTTTCGTCATTTCTTTTTCAAAATTCAGGTAGTACTCCGTTTATTTGGTTGGTTGGCCCTAATTCATCCCCCGTCTCGGATTCAGTTTTGTCAGTCCCCCCTCTTGAATCTTGAATTTTTCTTGCCCTTCTTCTCCTTTTTCCATAGGTGTTTTTGATTTGTCGTCATATTATATTCTTTGGGGCCATCTCTTTTCTTTCCCCCCTTTCTTCTTCTTTTTCTTGTGTTTATGTTAACATTTACGGAGTACATTGCATGCATGATGTATATATGTAATGTATGTATTCGCCCATCTACCTCTTTTCTCTCCATTACTCCTCCTCTCTTCAATCTTCTTCCTTCTCATTTACCTTCTCTAGTTTTTTCCTCACATAGGTTCTGTTCTGTTCTATGCTATCTAACATATACGGAGAAAGGTTTTTGTTGTTCCAAGGTTATAGGTTTCATTTGTTTTTTTTTCTTCCAGGTAGGTAGTGGTAGGTTCATTTTATTCACTGATTCATTTATTCACTTTAAAAACTTCGTGAATGAGCTAGTTTAGCTTGCCTGTTTTATGTTAAACTGGAGCGTTAGAATTCCTGAGAGGTTTCGTTTTTACATCAAGACAGACTGTCTTGTCTCCTTAGGGAGTTGGAGATGCTGCAGTGTACAGTGGTCCAATTTTGCTGGTTACGTAGGTATAAGGTATGTGAGAGAGAGAGAGAGTGTGTGTGTGTGTGCAAAGAAGCACTGGGCTGTTAGAAAATTGTCAGTATAGATTAGATTCTATTTATAAGTAGTTATGTGCATATCAGATATCATGTTTTCATTCCGCTTCTATTGGTGAGATAACAAGACAAAAAAGGGGGGGGGAAGGGCAACGGAGACTTAGTGGGTTTGTTGTTGGTACAGCTTCTAACAGTTATGTGGGATTGATTATATTAAATTTGACAAAATTAGATGGCTTGTGTGGTGCAATTTCTTCTTCTTCGTCTTTTCCTTTCAGTACTTGCTTGCATGAAATGGGGTGGTAAAAGGAATTTTTTAAGAAAGTATACTGCATTTTCTAGCATGGGTAAGTAGCCCCCAACATACATAGCTCGTTTTTCCTTCCTCCCTTTTTGCTTTAGCGGTAGAAGTCGAACCTGGTGGTTAAAGTTAGCAACGGTAATGACATAGGAATGATTGATATGTAATGTATAAAAAGGAAAGAAAGAACGCACTTATCAGCATCCTGAGCTCCTTTCACTTGGCTCGAATAAGCGTCTTCCAAGTCTGACTGGATGATATTATATCTGTTCTTGCGAACTGCCCGCAGACCAGCCTCCTGCATGATAGCCGCAATAACAGCGCCAGACAGTGGATCATTCCTAACAATCAACGAGTCCAGATCTACCTCCGGCGACAGAGACATTTTGGAGGCGATGGTGGTGAAGATCAATCGGCGCTCTCGTCGATCGCGGAGAGAGGGGAACTCAATCTTGCGATCGAGACGGCCTGGCCGCAGCAGGGCAGGATCCAGCGTGTCAGCGCGGTTGGTGGCCATGATTACTTTTACGTTGCTTGTCTGATCGAAGCCGTCCATCTGGTTGAGCAGTTCTAGCAAGATCCGTTGAACCTCGCGATCAGCACCCGTTTGGGCGTCAAATCGTTTCGTGGCAATCGCGTCGATCTCGTCGATGAAGATGATTGCCGGCGAATTTTCGCGGGCCATGCGGAAAACGTCGCGGACCATTCGAGGACCTTCACCTAGGTACTTTTGGACGAACTCGGATCCGACAACTCGGATGAAATTGGCCGTTGTGCTGTTGGCTACCGCCTTGACCAGCATGGTTTTACCAGTTCCGGGCGGTCCATATAGAAGCACACCGCGCGGAGGGTCGATTCCTACAGGAGTTATTTTGTTAGTTCATGAACATAGACGATACTGCCACATATTTTGATCGTACCAATTTGTTTATATAAATCGAAATGCGTTAGTGGTAGTTCGACGGCCTCTCTGATCTCCTGCTTCTGCATATCCAGTCCTCCGACGTCCGCATATGTCACATCTGGCTTTTCATCAACACCAAGCATAGCAATAGAAGAATCAGCTTCAGGCGGAAGTATGTCGACGAGGGAGTTGGAATGGCGATGTAGAGCGACGGAGGAGGAGGGTTTCAACAGTTCGCGGTCAAGCGTAGATAGGATGCGGACGACATAATTTGAGCCTGTTGACGATTGTACGATACCGGTACTATAACAAAGCGATAACCATCAGCATATCTAGAATATGACATGACAGAGAAAAACACTGGTTTGAAATCCTTACTTTTGGTCGATGGCCTCCATGAACTGGCCGATAACAAGAGGAACACTTTGTATGCGCTTAATTTCTTCCTGAGCTCGAACAAGCTCCCGCTTCAAACTCCTGTATAAACATTAGATAATAGAGTATGGCCCGGGGATTGTAGATATCATACCTTTGCTCATCCTTGATATATTCCTCCTGGAGATTTATGTACCTACGCAGCAAACGTCAGTCAGCAACCGATATGCCCAACGCCTAACGATAAAATCCCGACATACTCTAGATGCCGTTGTAGCCTCTTGAGGGTAGCATAGTCATCTCCGTCATCATTTCCAACCCCTTCCAGGGGGTCGATATTTGGGATCGCGTCTGCAGGTGTAGTCTTTTTGTATGGCGGCACCAGGGCCGCTGGGTTCTCAACCACGACGTCTCCCATGGCTGCTGGATTTTTGATATAGACGATGCAGGAGAAAATTTAACGTCGAATAGCAGAAGTTTTATTGGAAAATGCTTCAGGTAAGAATCTCGTGCGGATGTGGACAATGGGGGGTATAAGAGGGCAGGACAGACAGTTGGAGGTTGGAGTTGTCATTGAGCTTGCTCCAGATGAATGAGCTACACCAGATGAAGGCGACACCGTGCCAAGATATATCACGTGGCAATATTACCTCGTCCAAGCTTGCTGCGGGCTATTTTGATGTACGTTATCATGTTGGTATTTCCAGTCCAATAGATAAATTTGATGGGATGGTTAAATAATAGCCTGAATGCTTTCCGGAATATGATTGATCTTTCCGGAGCCTTCTGGTTTTCCTACTGGAATTGGCAGTATGAATCTATATTCATTATCCACCGTGATATATGACGCTTGCTCAGCGCTGCGTTCAAGCTTAATGACCTAACCAACCTCAGGATATATTTCCTATCCACCCATCTGTCCTTACATTACATAGAAGAATTAGCAGTACTTGTTGAAATAACTCGATTTTGACCATCAATCCGAGTATCGTCAATCCGAGCATAAAAAACCAATCTTAAAACGCACCAGTCCCCCACCACATACAATGAGCACTCTCGTAACAATCGGAGCCTGCTATCTTGATACAATTCTAACGTGAGAAATGTGTATACATATCGAGCGAGGCATGGATTCTAATACTAACCTTCCCCATATAGCGTTGACCACTACCCGGGAGAAGACGAAAAGCTCCGTGCATCCCGCATCTCTCGACGACGGGGTGGAAACACTCTAAATACGCTCGAAGTTCTTCAACAGCTCCTTGGATGCAGGTTCGTCAAAAGCCACCACTACCACTACTACAGCAGGGGGTACTAATAAGGCCACCCATGGATTGCTGGATAGGCAGCAACTGAACACGATCTCCGCGCTGTATGCCATCGCAGTGCTACCAGCAAAATCGTCACCGGCCACCAAGGAACTCGAAGCATCATTCGGTCCCAGCTGTCGTGTCGATCTCCAACACTGTATATACCGTGAGGAGTGCAGTGAGCCGGCCTCTAGTTATATCATTAAGAGTACCTCTACGGGTAGTAGGACTATTGTTAATTATAATGAGCTGCCGGAGATGACTTTGGCAGAGTTTGTGGAGATTGCGGGGAGGTTGTCGGCTGCTACTGTTGGTAGTCCTAGATGGTTTCACTTTGAGGTGCTTTTTTTTTTTTTTTTTTTTTTTTTTTTTTTTTTTTTTTTTTTTTTTTTTTCCAGCATTTGTTCTTGATTCCCCAGCAATTTGTTATACGCATAGATATAGTTCCTAAAGCATCCTCTAGGGCCGTATACCAGATGTCACGCTGAAATGTATACAATACATCCGTCAAAACTTCCCTTCCGACAAAATCAGCGTGGAAGTCGAAAAACCCGGCCGGGAAGGTCTGCAGGAGCTAGCCGCAGCTGCAGATGTGGTTTTCTACTCGAAAAGTTGGGCACAGGTAACCTCAAAACAGGAATTCTCTTATTTCAAAAATTTAATGAGAACTCAATAACCACTTACTTACCGGCCCTCCTTTTAGGCAAACGGCCACCAATCCCTCCAGAGTTTCCTACAAGCGCAATCACATCTAACGCCCCAAGCGTATGTTTTTATATCCGTTCAATATATACTTTCATCCCCGTTCTTTGTGTCGGGAGTACCTAACAGGTTTTCTTTTATCTTTCAAGATCGATTCTCTGCTGCACCTGGGGTGAACATGGAGCGGCATGCTTAGACAAGAGCAGCATGGAATACATCCATTCCCCGGCGTACATTGACACGCAGCATGCGGTTGTTGAGTATGAAAAATATCCATCCCATCCCTCCCTTTTTTTTTTTTTTTTTTTTTTTTTTTTTCTTCTTCGTTTATTTACCTCTTCAGCACTGAAAGAGCTCACGCAAAAACTCTAGTACTATCGGGGCAGGCGACACCTTCATAGCCGGAATGCTATTTAAGTTAATCCGTCATCGCGACTCAGGCGACGATGGTTTCAGTCTTCGGCAGACCATGGATTTCGCGAATCGTCTTGCGGGGCGTAAGGTTATCCAGGAAGGGTTTGAGGGGCTAACTTAATGCTGTTGATGCTGCCGCTCTGTTGTGAGATATTCACGTGTATATATAATATGATATTTAGGTCGATATAAGGCTGGCTATATTACATAGCTACTAGCTAACTAGCAAAAATCCCCCGAAAGAAACTTTTTGCAAAACATAGGCTTGAGAAATCAAACAAAGTAGCATAAGCAAAATACCTGCGGGAATTTTGGGTTGGGGGGAGGCGGGTAGGGTAGAAAGCTTTTGGTAGATTCATTTGATATCCATACTGTCTCTGCCTTAAGCATTCTTGCTATAATCTATGCATAACCTCTTAAAAACCTGGAACTTGTAATCTATTTCCTGGGGCCGGCTTAAAATAGGATATATGGTTTCCCATCTTTTGATTCGTGGTTTCGGAATTTTTTTGTCTGCAGGCGATGCCTTGATGGATGCGTCATGATCAATACCTGATGGCGACGGTTCGTACATCGACCAATTGCTTTCTCAAATAGTAATGAAGGTCAAATAGGTAGTTGTAGCAAAAGCAAAAGTTTGATGGAAATTGGCAGTGTCGTACATATATCCCCTGTGAATCGAATCGAGTGTCCTAGCCCGGTTGGAATGTGCTTGTATGTACTCCGTACATGTACTGTACATGTAGGTTATTTATTCTGCGTAGAAGCTCTTGATGCATATAGTGTGGAATAAATACACAGAAGAAAAGAAGGGTTAGTATTCCGTAGGCTAATTTCTATATCATAGGTTTATGTATATAGGATTAGAAGAAATAACAGTGACAATAAGTACGTGTAATTACGAAAATATAAAGGGTTCAGAAACAAGCCAGCTTATGAACCGTTCATGGGTTAATAATAATATTCGGGTGAAGAGGGTTTTCGGGATCAATCAACTCTCCGGATTTTCTATCTTTGTAGCCAAATAATAAAGGAAGAAAGAGGGAGAACTTTCTCTGTTATCACCCATAATTCCTTTCTCCCTAGCTTAGGCTCTTTCCACAGCATAGAATTTTACCAGGGTGGAGGTAAATAAAGGGAGGTGGGGGAGGATATTTCCATGTTTTGCTGGAGAGATATCAAGCAGAAAAAAAAAAAAAAAAAAAAAACCCAAAAGAAGGGTTGTATAATAATTGATAACTACAGTGAAGAGAAGAGGAAAAACAGATATATATACGGCGCAAGTGCCCGTAGCTCCCGTCCGTTCTTTATAAATTCTTTTTTTTCTTCTCCATTTTCTCTCCGTCTCCTTCTTTCTCTTCTGCTCTTATATCCTTCATTTCCCTTCTCTTCTCCGTTGTTATATACATTATAATATTCATTTCCGACCCGACCCGCCGTCCTTCTACACATCGATCGTCTCTGCTTTTTCCAATTTTTTGCTCCTTTTGGAAACCAGAATCCCGGGATTATGCGGGCTAGCTCGACGGACCAGGAATCTCCTTATTGTTTAATTTATTTACACCCCCCCCCCCCCCCCTCAAAAAAAAAAAAAAAAAAAGGCAAAAAGAAAAGAAGGGATCTTTCCCTTTCCTTTACCCATGCCGCTCTGGATGGACAGAAGCGCGCTCTGAAGGGATACGAATTCTGAAAGCGAGAATCCACCTATTATTCATCCCTGACCGTACAAGTAATGACGGGGTAACAAATAATTAACTATTGGAAGAAAGAAAGCACTCCATGGATTATGGCCTGCCAAGAGGGGATCGAGAGCGGCGCTACCGCTGCAACGCAACGCAACCAACGACATCGGTGGGCCGTTGGCAAGAAAGCTGAACTGGGAATTTCTCGGAAGGTTGGTGGTGGTATATATAAACCAGATCTACTACTACTACTACTACTACTACTACTACTACTACTACTACTACTACCACCACCTGCCTATGTATGTATGTATAGTACATGTTTCCTTCCTCTCCCATATGAATCCATTCCATGCTTAGCTCAATAATAACCTCCTAATATATATATCCCTTCCCTTATCCACAGCCTACAGGCCCCCGGTGGTGAGCGCTTAGATGGCGCTGATTCGCCGCCGGGCCAGCCACTAAGTGGCTAGCCTCGGTTTGGTTCGCTGCTGAGGATTTGGAGCCTGGGCATTTGCCCTTTTTTCCCTCTTTTGTGTCTTCTGTCTGACCTAAACCTCTGACCTTTGACCTGAGACGTTCTTCTGTCTTCTGTCTTCTGCGTTTCCTCTGGCCCTGACCTGCGCTTTGGGAGTAATAATAAGTAAGAAAATAATAAGAATAATAATACTTCTCCTCCTTTCGCTGCCGCCCTTATCTTTTTTTTTTTTTTTTTATTATCTCCCCCCTACTTTGTTTTCCCCCTTTCCCCCTCCCGCCAACCCAACCCCCGGCTGGGCGACTCTGACAAGCTTCTGGCCTGTCCCGATTTCCCGGCTTGCAAGTCACCAGTCTTTCTTTTCCCCTCTCTCTCACCACACAAACGCACATACCATACCACGCATATACGCTGCGTACCCACATACCCTCATACATTCACACGCGCGCAATCAACTCGCTCGTACCGTGCCTGGCCCTGTCCTGGCTCCGATCTCCGATCAAAACCCTTACGCCCGCTTTACCTGTCCATTTATTCGACCTTGTTTCTATTTTAGTAGTATTCTTATTTTACGGTTACTGGTAGCTACTGCGAAGAGACCTCCCCGATAATCCAATCAACAATGGTTGAATAAATAATAATTTTATTATTATTTTTGCCGTCATAACCATCCATAATAATTCCAGACCAACCGTCTTCCCTCTCTCCGGCTCTCTGACGCTCGCTCTCCACACACGGCAAAACATTATCTCTGGTAGCAAGCATCGAACAAGCTTTGTTGCTCCGTCAAATAATATTAATAGGTATGATGACGCCCCGTCGTGATGGCTTTTCCTCTATCTTTCCCTTTCTCTCTCTCTCTCTCTCTCTCTCTCTCTCTCTCTCTCTCTCTCTCTCCCCTTCTCACTTTTATATTATTCCCTATCTTGTCCTACTCGCGACTCCTTTGCCACTACTATACAAGTCCTACCCCCCCCCCCCCCCCCCTCTTCACCTGGCCTTGTCTATTTCGTTAGGCCTCACACATAGCAGTCCCCGATCGCTGTCCAGTTCCTAGTTCCGAGTCTAGTCCTGTTTCCCCTATTATTCAATATTCCCCAGTATAATTTACTCCATAATTTATAATTTCTGTCGTCATTTATTTCTTGCTTGCCCACTTTACCCGGCCCATTCTTCAGCCCTATCCGCAATGATCAGCACCCTGCCACCCACGTTATGCATGCATCCTGTTTGTCATGTTCGCTCGCCGTGCTGTGCTGCCCCTTGCCCTCCTTTCTTCTCCCCCCCCCCCCCCCCCAAAAAAAAAAAAAAAAAAAAAAAAACCCCTCCACACCCATGCTTGCCCCCATTCCTCCTTTTCCCGTTGCTCTAATTTGCTCACTCCTTACGACCTGCTTAAATGGATCCCCCAGCCAGGTCACATGTCATCACCCTGATTAATCAGCACGTCCGAATTGGGTTCTGCCGACTCCCACGTGATCGCCGCTTGTGCCGTTCACCGCCTTCTATTTTAGGCAACCCGACGTCCCTTCGTCTCCCTTTTGTCCCAGCGAACAAAAAACAGTTGGCTGAGGCTGTTGAACCCGCGACGGCCTGCCTGACACTGAACCCGATCTGAACCCGCGAGCCTGAGAAAAAAGAAAAAGAGCTCTGTTGCCCTGCACCGACAGAAAGAACGTGCTAGGCCAATCCTTGGGATAAATTATATACGCTGCAGGAAATAATTATTAAGGGCAAAAAAGACGCCGCCCGACGTTCTCCACTCGCACACGCTGACCGCAACCCTCTTTCTCTCTCCGTTGCTTTGCCGCAGCCCGGTAGAACCGATATCGTGTCAGGTACGTCTTGTGCTTTTGATATGTGATTATATTTTTTAGTTACTTTTGATGATTATTATTATTTTATGCTTTGCCCTTGCTTGATGATCCACATCCCACATCCCATCATCCCAATATCCGCCCCAGGACACGCCAACACATAATATTCTCCGACATTTCTTCGCTGTAGCCGCGCTGTCTCGTGGTTTCGCGGCTCATTTCATTCACAAATGCCCTTGATCCTTTCATGTCGTGGCCGTTACCTGTCCTGTATAGGATATAATGTCCCCTCTTTTTTTCCCTCTTTCTCTCCCGATGCCATCTCCTGAACGCGTCTAGTTGCCATGGCCTTTTATATATATATATATATTATTGTTATTATTTTCCTTTTCATGTCATCGCTAGCCCTGGCTACCCAATCCAGGCCGCTTTCTACCCAGAATGCAGCCTTCTGTTTCGTTGCCTTGCGATTATTGTATGCGCCCGAATTGCTGCTGAGCTCTACTGACATTTCGTGGTTGTTTAAGACGGATGGGTTGCTAGAATTTACACGCCATGAATGCCTGGCTCTCCGACGTCGCGACTGCGAACATCCCTACCCACGATAATGGCGCCTTCACCAATAATCCTACCATCGACCCGACGATGGCTTTCCTTCATCAATCCCCTACCTCTGCCGATCCTGCCCAGTTCCAACGTATGTTCAATAATGGCGGCCCCCAGGCTATGTCACCTGGCTTCCACAACCCAAACTCGGTGATCCCTTCGAAAAGACCGCGCCCCGATGATGGGATGTCCATGTCTCCTAGGCCTGCACCAGGTGGCTTGCCAAATTCTCGTTCGCATACTCCTCAAGTGCCATATCCCGGTTACCAGGGTCCACAGATCAATGGCGGCGCATCGCAATTTCCTCAACCCCAACATGCGCCAACACCTTATCAACATCTTCAACAAGGAGGCTCTGCCAATGCCAGCCCCTCCCCCATCCCTGCGGACTTCGATCAGCAAGCCGTGCCACGGGTGCAAACTGCGTCTCCTAGCCCGTTTTCGCCCGCCGGAATGCATGTCGGTCCGCAAATCTCTCCTTCCCACTCAGATCATGGCAGCCGCGTCAATACTCCACAGAGTAGCACGTTCCCGCAGGGTCAGCCTTACGGCCAGGCTGTAGGGTCACACTTCTCGCCATCACCGGCAATGACGTCTGCTGGCATTCATCCGGCAATGCAGGCACAATTCAACCAAAACAATGCTGCCCATCTCCCGCAAGGATTTCCTCAACAACAAATGTCTTCACAACAACGCCTTTACCAAATGCAGCTCCAGAACCAAGCGCGCCAGATGCAGGCGGCCGCCTCTCCTTCAGTAGGACGCCCAATTGGCCCTGGGGGACCGGGACAGAACCCTATGCAACACCCCCACATGGCGACCATGCGACAAATTCAGCAAAATATGGCAAAACCGACGAATCCAGAAGGGTTTTTACATGTACTCCAACGGTTTTGGATATCGCGCGGCCACCCTCAAGTCAACCTATCCCCTGTTGTCAGTGGACGGCCGCTCAATCTGATGCAGCTTTATGCGACGGTCATGAAGATGGGTGGCTCTAAAAAGATTACTGCGACGAACTCGTGGCCTATTGTTGCTCAACAATTACAGTTCCCCGCCATGCAGTATCCAACAGCAGTGCAGGAAATCCGGGAACATTACATGAGGATTCTGGCTCAATATGAGCAGGCGTGGTTAAGTTCTCAACAGAAGCAATTCACAGATCAAATGCATGGTAGTCCACAGCGAGATCCAGTCGAGGGGCCTGTCGGCATTAATCCTCAAACTTCGCCAGTGAAGCCTATGGGTAACCATTCTTTCGACATGTCCGTGTCCCAACAATTCTCCCCCAGTTCCGCCCCGAACCAGCAAATACAAAACCACGCACCTCCAATACCAGTTAATGGTTTCGCGACACCCTCACAATCTAAGCCCCAGCAGAAGCATATTAATCACCAACAACGGCCGAGTCTGTCTCGAGCACCAGAGTCAATGTCACCTAACGGACGGGTTGCCCAGTTTTCGGCATCCCCTATTCAAGCGGAGAAAAAGCCGATTCCCGTCGCAACAAAAACACAACCGGGCGTCGGTGTTGGCGAGGAGTCGGCGAGTACCTCCTGGCGACAACCGATACAAGACCCGTTCAAACCTGCTGTATTTCCTGAAAGCCAATACCATGGGCCTATTATTGTGGATGAAATGTTCCCAACTGGGCGAAGAAAATTATACGGTTGAAACCTAACGTACCTAGCTTCTTGGAACTTGGGGGTAATCGACATTCATGCTCTGACTATGAGCATTAAGTCGGGCATTCACGCGGAGATGCGAATGGCGTTGGACACCTTAACGGAGATATCCAATGAACGAACGATACAGGTTTCACTCGATAATTGCGAGGATCTGGTTGAAGCATTGATCGAATGTGCGGAGGAACAAGCTGAACTTCTTGCGGAGAATGCAGCTGAAGTTTCTGATGTTATGCTGCTACCGTCGTATGAAGAGGTTCTTCGAGGCTGCCGGCAAGAGATGGAAGCCCTACTCGATGTACCAGAGTTTGGCAGTCTAGATTACGAGCTCGATCGCGCCGTGGATCGGTTAATATGTATCACCACTATTATACGAAACTTTTCCTTTGCTGAATCGAACCTGGCTTCACTGGGTATGCCATTTGTTGTCAGATTTATGTCGACTATAATACGGTATTTAGGCACAAGAAACATGCTGTTACGAACTCATCAAAATACCCTCGATTTCATGAAAGACGCCGTCATTTATCTCAGCAATCTGTCTCATTCTATTCAACTTCCTGGAAAGGATGAAGCACTCTGTTTATTGCATTTCCTCTTATCTTTTGCCCCGACTCCTGTTCCAACCTCCTTCGGACCTAACACTATCATGTTCACACCGTACAACCCAAGCATACACAGATACATGCCTGCTGCCGTTGACAGCTTGGCCAAGCTACTTGCACGAGACGACCCCAATCGCACCTACTACAAAGCCATCTTTGCCCAAGACTTCACCTCAACACCTCCTTACGAACTCCTAACCCGAACCTTTGGCCTCTCCATCGCCGCAATCCCAGAACACATGCGGGGAAACATTGTCGCCCTAGTTGACGCCCGCAAACCACTACTGATGCAGGGCATGCTTGCCGCCGAGCTCCTATCCGGCTTCGCAGACAACAACCTCGCGCGCTCCTGGCTAGTATCCTTAGACGGGTTCGCTATCAGTCTTCTTCGCCTCGCCTGCCTCCTGAGCACAGATCGCACATCAGCGGCCGCGTCCTCAGCAGCAGTGTCAGCGCAGCACCGGCACGGCAGCCACCAGGCCGCACGGGCCGCTGAGGCGGAATTCCATGGCTATGGATCCATCACGTCGCGGGCGCTGGCGGTGCTTGTGCGCCTTGCGCGGAAGTCAAGGATGGCAGATTCTGCCGGTAGTGGCAGTGGCAGTGGCAGCGGCAGCGGCAGTAGCAATAACAATGATAATACTGGGGGAGGAAGTGGACATGGACATGGACATGCGCATGGGAGTAAAGGGGGAGAAGTTCCGCTGGGGGTGCTGCCGAAGAAGGAGAATTTCCTAGGCGCGCTTTTGACGCCGAATATTGACCCGAATGTTGTGAGGCAGCTTTGTGAATATGCAGGGTTGGGGGATTGAAATATTCTTCTTTTTCTTTGTTTTATAATGTGTTTGTATCTTGTGTGCGTAAAGGCAGGCAGGCTAAATCTCAATTTTTTGTTTTAACATAAATGGGGGGCCGGGGGGGGGGGGGGTTAAGTTGTTTTGTTTGTTCATTTCTAGGAAATGCTTTTTTTTAGTTCCTTTTTCTTGTTATATTTTATTGTCTTCTTGTATTCTTTTTAGCCGGTTTGGGCTGGGTTGGTGTGGGGCGTAGTTTTATTTTATTTTTATTTTATTTTATTTTTATTTTAGCTATTTGATAGTTTTGTGAGATGGAATGGTAAATGAAATGAGGTTGAGTTGTTCGAAAGGGATTTTTCTTCTTTGCTTTTTGTCGGATTGCCTCCCTTGCGGGCCGACCGCTTCCGCCCACACACTCCGCCAATCCACGTGATCGGCGATCGCAAGCTCCTATAAAAAGGCCACATAGCAGCTAGCTTCTCATAATAACAACCAACTACTCCAAGAACTCCTCCATCAGCTTTGCATTAATCCTTTTTTTTTTTTTTTTTTTTTTTTTTTTTTTTTTTTTTTTCAAATCTATCATAATATTATTAGGTAAAGGTTATATACATACCTAATACCTATAGACTTCTCTGATCCATTTCGTAAATTGTAGCAATACTGTACACGATGAGAGAGAAGAGGGTGGGTGTGGCTGTGGCTGTGGCTGTGGCTTTGTGGTGTTCATCCATGAATAATAAATAATATGCAAAGAAAGACGGCCACAGCAGAGGACTAGAGGACTAAGAAAAAAGTGAAGGAAAAACCAATGTTTTAACCGGGAACCGAAACTGAGAGAGGAAAAAAAAGGAAAACGTTTTTAAACAATTGGTGGGAAAATGTTTTTTTCCGCCCCTTCTCCCCTTTTTTTCGGGTTGAGGATTTATTGCGCTTAAACACCTGCGCTGCGGAAGGGATGGGTTAAGATGGAATGCAATATTAAATAGAACAGGACATGCGAATGAGGAAGTGAGAACTGTGTCGACTGGACAAAGGAATCCGGGCTTGTTTGGTCTCTCATTTTTGTTTTTCCCTCTTTTTCCCCACTAGAATTTTCGGTCCAATAGGAATTGTTGTATTTCCGGTTTCCGCCAGCCCTAAATTATTTCCGTGATTGTCAGCAAAAACGATTGCATTTGAATTTCGTGGAGGTTAGGTAAAATGTTGTTCTTCTTTTTGTTTATTTTTATAACTGGGTAGGGTTTCTGTTTAATCCGCAAACCGAAGATCCTGGGGAAGTAGTAAAAGGGAGAATAAACACAAATACACACCTTAACAACGACATGCCCGTTTAATCGATTGATATAAATGTCCTTAGAATTCGGTTCTATCCCTAGAGTTTTCGCCAGATCTGAACATAGCGCATCAACATCTCCCTCGGTTTTCTGGATCTTGGTCTCCTGCTTGGTGCCTCCAGCTTTGGTCACGAGGTAGACGGGTAATTGGTTTGAAGGGGTACGGCGGATGAAGTAGGGGAGGTTCGTGAGCGGGAGAGGAGGATGTACCGGAGCAGGCTGGGTGGAGGTGGCGGATTTGGTGGCTTTTGTGGACTTGGATTGCGAGAATGGTCGAGGGATTCGGGTTGTGATATGACGGGTTTGTGTGGCGAGGGATGAAAACGACCGCTTTGGTGGTTCTAGGTGCAGTTAGATATTTATTCTTTAAATATAATGCACTCGTCGTCCGAGTGGTTTGTCAATCCATCGTGGGTGCTATGGATGGCACTGCTGGTGTAGAAGGAAAGGGCAATATTTACGAGATCTGTATGTTCGCGTCCGCGACAGGGATTGTGATAGCGACGAAAGTGACCGCTTGTTAGAGAGGCATGACGAGTTTGATCTAAGACATAACGAGAGCATTGAGGATTTTTGGCGAAGCACCGGTGAGATGGATGATGAAGGGAGGAGGGCGGCCATATTGAAAGCTCATCAGAATGAATAGACAAAGAAAGGGCTGTTGAGTTCAAAGGCGGGAATTTACGAATTAGAGATTAGGCAAGGAGGATTAGACTTGAGGAACACAGATGTCAGTACAGCTTGCTGGCCCTTCAGTAGTTGGTAGGAATCCTTTTCCTATTCTTCCCCACGACGCTGGACGTTCTGTGCAGCCGGTTTATTTGTGGTCGTGAATCCGGTCTTTGATATCAGATTTTTTGCCAATCGAAGCTTGGCTGGGCCTTCAAAACTCGCTAGCATGTTCCTGGTCTAGCGTAGACTTCGTGCGGCTCTCACTAACATTTTCGACATCGCCAACTTCAAAGTTCCATTTCGAACAAGTTCGCTAGCAGCCCGCAATCGTATCAGCTAGAGACTTGTATCCCATCTCACCACGCCTGCCGCTACTTTCTGTGCGCTGTCCTTTTCGCCATGGCAGACAACGTACCTCCGTCTGCTGACACCCTGCTAAAGGGTGCGGCTTCGCGCTCCGCAAAGTCCCCCGAAGAGATCGCCAAAGAATATGACCTTCTGCCAAAACTCATGCCCTACCTTGACCGCCATCTCGTTTTCCCCTTGCTCGAGTTTGCGTCTGGCCAGGAAGAAGAAGATGAACAAGTTGACGAGATTACCAAAGCGAAATATGAACTTCTGAAGCATACAAACATGACAGACTATGTCGCAAACCTTTGGCAGGAAATCAACAACTCCGATTCCATGCCTGAGGAATTCGTCAAAAAGCGGGAAGAAGTCGTGCAGAAACTCCAGCAGTATGTCGAGGACAGCAATAAGATCACAGAGCTTTTGCAGGATGACAACGTGGTCAGCAACCTGCGAAACGACAAGGCCGCGAACTTGAAGTTCCTTGAAGAACAACATGGTGTGACGCTGGATATGGTTAATATCCTTTACGACTATGGCCGATTCCAATACAGCTGCGGCAGCTATGCAAACGCTGCTGAACTACTCTACCAGTTCCGTGTCCTGTCCACTGATAACGACAAAGTTGCCTCTGCTACGTGGGGAAAGCTTGCCTCGGAAATCCTGACCACCAACTGGGAGGCTGCGATGGAGGAGGTTCAAAAAGTAAAGGAATCTATCGACACCCGCCTGTTTAACAACCCGCTCGCTCAGCTCCAGCACCGCACCTGGTTGATCCACTGGTCCCTCTTCCCCTTCTTTAACCATGACCCTGCCCGTGACACTCTTACCGACCTCTTCTTCTCCCCCGCCTACATCAACACCATCCAGACCGCTTGCCCGTGGGTTCTTCGATATCTTGCTTCTGCAGTTATCACCAACCGCGGTCGTGCACACAAGAATACCTCACTGTATCAAAAGCAGTTGAAGGACCTCATTCGCGTTGTACGACAGGAACAATATGAATACCAAGACCCTATCACGGACTTCATTAAGGCGTTGTATATCGATTTTGATTTTGAGGAGGCTCAGAAGAAGCTGGGAGAGGCTGAGGAGGTTTTGAGGAATGATTTCTTCCTTGTTGCCGCCGCAGATGCATTTGTGGATGCGGCAAGACATTTGATTTCGGAGAGCTACTGCAAAATCCACCAACGGATTGATATCAAGTATGTTGTTTCCTTTTACCTCAGAAATATTGCACGTCAAACTAACAGCGAATGTGTAGGGACCTATCTACTAGACTTGGCCTGAACCAAGACGAAGGTGAGAAATGGATTGTCAACCTAATTCGTGACACGCGTGTCGATGCGAAGATCGACTACAAAGAAGGGACCGTTCTTATGAACCACCCACCACAATCAGTGTATCAACAAGTCATTGAGAGGACCAAGGGCGGATTTTTCAGAACACAAGTATTGAGGTAGGGTTTTGTTTTAGCCCCCTTCCTCTTCATTCTGTATCAGTATAAACTTACTAATCTAACCGTCGAAACAGTGCCGCTGTCGCCAAATAAGTATAAAAACGAGAACAAAGAAAAGAGTAAAATATAGAAATTAGGAGTTGAATTTAAAGAATGAGAAACGGATAGGAAATGGGATTTAATGATATACCACACGACCTACTCTTATCCTTCTTTATTTTAATCCCCCCGCTTCTATTCTTCTCTTTTGCGCTAGAAAAAAAACTCTCTTGCACGCGACAAACTTTCCTGATTTTGTTTTATTCCGCGAGACCTCTTTTTTCGATCTACCCCCATGAGGAATGGCTGTTTGGCATCTGGCTGGCGTTTCGTTTTCCCTTAAAAAATATTTGTCGTTATTTGACTCGGAAATTTTACATACTACCTGTTTCTTCCTGTTCCTTTGTTCCTTCTCCCATATAATATATGGTTTTCCTAGTAGTTGTAGATATCAGAGGGGCATGGGTGGTAGGAAGGATTAGTTGTTGATTGAACCTACCGAGCTTGCTTTGGGCTATGGCTATTCGTCATTCTTCGAAGAAAAACGTAGAGCATGTTTATGATCATTTGTATGTACATGTACAATGAGGACAACCTACCTATGTGCTCCCAAGAAATGTGAACCAAGCTGGCATTGACTTGGCTTCTGAAGGTGATTCCGCATGCGATTAGGGTCGTTAAATATGGGCATATGCATTATAGCGGCAGCAGTCGTACCTGACCCGGGAAGGGTTTCCCGGGTTTTGAGAAGCCTGAGCGGCCAACCGGCGATTTTGGTCTCTTCCTAGACGGGGGAGGGGCTTCGCGATGAAGCTCTTTGGGTGTTTTACGTAATTGGAAAGTCAACGCTCCCTGTCCCCGAGAGATATGAACGAAACGGAGGGGGAGATTAAGACACTGGAAAGGAGTCTGTAGAATGTACAGTACAGCTCGGGGCGATCCCGGAGGAATCTCCCCATTTTCCAAACAGCTGGAGTTCCCTTAAAACGCAGAAGCGGGACTGTGGAACCTTTAGCAGATAATACAGGGGATTTGGGTCCAGACAGAGTGATGTGACGTTGTATAAGTATCAGCTGCCTCATTTCCATACGGATTTTTTGATAAGGAAATGCTGACATGTCTTTTTTATTCGCCAATGTCGAGGAAGATAAATAGAGGGTTTCGGTTCAGCTATTGTTCGCTGGCTTCTCGCAAGGGCATTAATAGAGCATGTCCGGATATAACCCACGCCGGGCTTAGCAATATTCCACCGCAGTTGTTTTCCTATAGAGCTGCGTCCCGCCGAAAGGAGGGGCCCTTTGATTCCAAAAACGCGAGCCAAAAGGTACTGGGTTCGGGGGCTAGCGGCATTTCACTGGATTCAGCCATGTCAGAAGGCATCATGGCCAATCTACAGTTCGCATCCGTGTTGATAGAGACGGCGTGGGGCATGGATTATCTTGATAAAAAGGGCGTCGGGGTGTCACGGTTGGATGAATGATTCCGCTTGAGAAGATAAACTATAGCAGGAATTTTTGCTGCCTGGTAAACCTTGGAGGATATGACAATAACAAACTGGGTGTCCACTTCTCCCAGATTATCGGCTCAACGTCCAAGATTTCGTAGCAGACCTGGGGTAGTTGTGGCTCGGTCCAGGAGAGGGATAGAACTTCGCAGCATGTAGTGGACAGAAGGTATTTTAAGGTTTGGTTGTAGTATCGCAAGGAGTTGATGTCCTTGTCCATTTTCTAGATGGGTGTAATCGTTCACGAGAAATGTGATTCGTCCTAGGGATTGCGATTGGTGGGCAGGTTTAAAAACCATTACCCAGTGGAGGTCGATGTAAGGGCGCACATCCGGTTTTGTTGAGCATTGGTGGGAATCAGCCTCACTGGCACAAAATGGAGGTGGTTACAAGGCTTTGGCAGGAGGTGTTTAGTCTGGATGGAATACTCCAGGGGACGCAGTGGATGTTGTGCTGGCACAGTTGAACCCAGACAATAAATCAACGGCGCTCATTCATCCTGTGGGAAAGTAACTGGAACGAGTCGTGTTCTATGTTGGGTAGTTGGGGGGGTTGTTGAAACACTTTGGATGATTATTCAAGGCCAAAACGAACAGGGTTATTTGTTTCTATTATAGTAGAGGGAGGAAGGTAAATGGAGCTGAACGACGGCCAGGTCCAAGGAATATAGGAGACCCTAGGAATCAGCATATCACACCGGAACGGGAACATCTTGAGGATTTGGTTGACTACTTCTTCTGAAGCTGCATTAAAGATGGTAACTGTCTTGTACGGCTTTAGTTTCGTTTTCTGTACAGTATGAGATCGTAAGCTAACGGGAGGCTCTCGCCACCATCGCAAGTTAAACATCCCAAAATAATCAGCCAGTATCCTGAAATGGTCCATTGTCCAGTGGGTTGAGAAGTCCAGGGATTCTTCGTAGCCACCTACGGGGTTGGGGGATGATCCAAGTGCTGTATGTTCTGTTGTCCACTGCATCCCCATTTCTGTCAAAGAAAGGCGATGTATTCCGGAGCCCCTGCTGGCGCTTTCCGCGAATTGGATTAAACAATGCGAAGTAATCTTGTAGTCGATATTAAGGTGGAGGATTCGAAAACGCTCATGCACAGAATTCTTTTAGCACGAAAAGTCGATTTGGATAGAAAATAGTCAAACAAGTCGATTACAGATATTTTCGCTATCCAATATCTCATTCGATACTCCGTAACTCCTCCAACTCCGAAGAAACCAATGATATCCCTCCTAATTCCATCCTTGAGAAAATAACCGCGACATCTTCGACTCCAAACACCCCAGGCCCCAAGGGGAATGCGTCGGGAGTACGATCACCTCATTGTGGGCTGGAAGGTTGGTTGGAACTTCGGGGAAGTGCTCCCTGAAGTCCAAACGCCTTTGGCGGTTTTTGAACGTGCATGATCGGATGATACGATTTGTAAATATTGACTTCAAATATTAACTTCACCACGATTGCGTCTGCCGGCTACGGTGGCCTGATGGAACGTATCTATCTCTGTTTCTCTCGCTTTCTCGTTCACGGTCGTCTATTCGATCGGCAGGTCGTTCTCGTTCCCCAACGTTTATCAACTCATTGATATACTGTGCTGATTTCCCGTTGAAAGTTTTGTGAGACATTCTCATGGCGGCGCTTTTCTCATATTCCAATGACATGGTCGCTAGATCCTCGATTTGTTGCTATGAAGAGCGTTAGATAATAGCCTTGATAAGGGGGGGGAGCGCCTGCTGTGTCCTGCGGGTAGAACATACTCGAGTAAGGGGCGTCCCAGTTATAAGATAGCCTTCGCGTCCCTGTAATATTGGTTAGATGTGATAGCAACTGCAACACGCAATGAGGTGTACATACCTGAAGGCTATATGGTCTGGCGGATGAACTAGGTCCCAAGAAAAATTGGATCTGGCTTAGGACGACGTGCCGTGATAGCCCATAGCCGGGGAGCCAATATTGCTGAGACTGAGACATTTTGTAGAAGGAAGAGATAGGAGGTATCAATGAACCTTGAGTTGATCTGATCAATATAGTTTAATCAGGAGGCATAGATAGCAATAAAGCTTGAAGGTTTAACAGGCTAGTATGCAAGCTATTATGTGGAGATTGATTCAAATGGGAAAAATAAATTCATCATATCGACGGCATGAGCGGCCTATTTATTTCTGAGAAGCAACAAGGACTGACCTAGAATCTGAAAGTCTGTGGATATTGGTATTTATTCTCTCGCGACCACTCGACCACTCTGGATGACCTCATCCAAGCTTTCAGCAGGGCTGATGGCACTAGCCTGAAGTTGCTTAGCGGTGCTTTCCCTGTTTTGGAGTTCTAGGGCCGTTTCTAGCAGGAGGATTCAAACAAGATCGCCTCGTTTACGCCGCCTCACTTTGAATAGTTCGATTGTGTCCATCCAGATCGTGCCCACTTGGCCCACACGAAACACGAGAGCTTGTATGCGCTTCGTTTCTTCGTTTCTCCGAGTGCAGGAGCGAAAGTATCGTGTTCTTCCGCGATTTGGTCATTATTGCATCGGTCTCAAATTACCCTTTCATCCTAGAGTTGACTGTTGCAGATATTCTTGTAGGACCACTAGGGGTACTTCCGAACTTTCCACAGATTGATTGGAGACGGCTGCATATCGCACTTTCTCAGCTAATAAACAAGAGGTTTCCCAATGATCGGCCGAGGTCACAGAACATTCGAGAGAGCTGCTCCCCGTTGCTGCCTGACCTTGGGCAGACAGTCGATGGGGTCACAGCAGCCTGGACTTACTCGTGCGAATGGCATGCAGAGGAGCTTTGACCATGCCCTGTTAACACACGGGCTATAGTATTTTGGGGTAGAGCTCGACTAAACAACATATGCCTGCTACTCAAACAATGCATGTAACTCGAGCTTGGGCTCCGGTTGCTTCCATTCGCGTCATGTCGTACATAACCGACGAAACTCGCCGCTTTTGACTTGTCTTTGCATTGTTCACAATCTTGTTCTCCTCTCTCCGCTTCTGATAGGCGTGGAGGGCTTTCTCTCTCCTAACGGCCTGTTCAAACGTACATTTTTTGCCACGATCTCTGGCAGTACTTCTTTGTGCAAGGTCCATGTGACAGACACGGCGCGTTATCGCATTTAGCACTCAAATAGTGACTGAAGGTCGATATTTGCCATCAAGCCTGCTGGTAATGTTTCTCGTTTCTGTTTGGATCGCACAAAAAGGATGACAGGCGGGGATTATCGCCCTAAAAAAGATCATTCCAGCCCGCGACGTCATTGGCCAATCACGTGGCACGCATGCCCTAAGTCAGACATCTTCCTCTCCCCTCCTGGTGCCTCTGCAATACAGAGATGATCGATGCTCGCTCTCTTGAACCTTTCGTGGCTATCCTACTGGTCAATGATTACATCCAATGATTACATCCAATGAGACTACATATGACGTCCGTTTAAGACAACCTCAGTTTTCCCCTCTGTTTTCTTTGAAGATGAATCCTTTGTCATTGTGGCCATGAGTCAAGTTACGGTAACTGGCCACGCTGAAGGGCATCAAAGCACTAAGCGAAGGGCTATTGTTGACGTACCCCTATCAAATAGCAAAAGCTGTTGTTGTAGGGGGCGCTCCCCCTTCTCGAGTAGAAGATCGATGGTACGCCTTGTTCACCCTAGAAACAGATATCAAAAGCCTTATTTCAACCGTGGTTAGGTCGTTGAGATGCGAATGTTTATTTCGTGGAAGCAAGGATCAATGGCATTCTTCAAGTTCCGATTAATGAGATTACAACATCTATTATATGGTTCAAACCGGGAATTTGGAACAAACATAAAAAAATCTTCATCTCAAATGGATGAAAATTGAATTGTGGTCCGCTCCCGCCAAAGTCCTACTTAAATGCTGGGACCCGCGCCTACAGGGCGGGTTGACCCGACACCTAAGATATTGGAACTGGGCAACTTGAGATATATTCGGGCGGGTTTGTTCGGCCATTTTTGCGGTGCTATATGCTTTTTGGAATATCACCAATTCGACTCAACCTGCGCCCCAAAAGTTATAACCCGAGATTCCTCGTAAAATGGAAAGGGCTACCAGTCACGGTTTATAGTATCGTTGATACTTCCAATGGATGGCCCACAAAGTCCCCAATTTGCAATATCGACTATAGAGCTACGACGTGGGGCTGAATTGTTCTCCAAGGGTGATCTTCAAAATCGTGTTCGACTTCAGCGCGACCCTGTTCCACGGCGCTGTATCGAGAAAGCTCTGTTAACATGATTTCAAAATTTTTGATAAAGGGCTCGCTACAGCAGCCTTAGAAACGTGACAGTGCTTATCATTAATATCCGATGGAAGGAACTAAAAACATAGCTATCATTATTGCTGAATCGGAGCTCGTTGCATCTGCCTCTCCTGATATGTTGAAAGCATTTATAATTGGTTCGTACAACATGCCTTAGTACCTGCCCCTGAGGATCGCAGTATGCAAATCACCAGGTATAAACAAAATATGCTAAGCAGCAGAGGGGCCTATTAGAACAAATAATAATCCATTATTGTGAGGAAGCACCGCCATTACGGCGCAAAGTGAATATCCTGGTGGTCAACTTTGCAATCCTCAGGACAACGCAAGATCGATTTTTAATAAACTAATAAAAGCGGCGCGCCTTGTAGTCTAAATTGTAATAGTCAGCTCCTCAGTATTCCGCACTATTTAACGAATTCGGGGTCGCTGGTTTTTCCTCACCGCTGACCGAGCCTCCCGAGCCGTTGGTACCTGAGCTATTTGAAGTGAGGCGACACGAATTGAAAGGAAAAGAGCGAAAACAATGCCGATGTTTAAGCAATGCACGGATTGCCATAGGTGGCCAATCCCCATTCGAGAAGTAGAAGGGGGCCTGCATCTAGATTCCAGCGACATACAAGCTACCAGTCACAGTTCGCAAAATTTATGGAAGAAGATTTACGGTTGATCAATTGGATTGATTTTTAAGAAATAAATGGAAGACGAGACGAGATCAATTGATAGACGCAGCCTAGATTTTCGCTGATTATCTTTCGCAACTGTGCGTGGAGTCCAGAATGTGGATAGCAGTGGTTACCTCATATTTCTAGCAGCCAACCCATAAAAGCACCGACTATATGCATCTGAATGGGGAAAGGTTTCAAATTGTCAATATTGCTTATATCATTTGAGACTATCACAGTCTCTTGGAGATCCTGTTTTGAGGCAGAACTGCCTTTATAAATGCAAGCTTGATATGTGCTGCAAACTAATTGAGACAAAAGCGGGCGCGAGATATCTTGAATGCTGAGCAAAACCAGGGGACATTCACAAGAGACCATTTTTAAGCGAAATCACGATAATAGTATCCCTAGAGATCTTGAGAATGGGATATTGCTCCAGTGGTTGATTAGTTATCTGCTGGTTTCCCCTCATACCCCCCCAGGCTGAGTAAAGGATTACTTGAGAGATAGGTTAGGAGCGCGAAGGAGAGAGGAAATGTGGCCATTTAGCTCATGGCTCGGGAAAGAAACCTAACCATCTTGCATCGAGTCTATGCTGCCAAGGTTGCTAGCACACACATACGCACACATACAGATGAGGGCATTTTCTTTCGTTTTTGAAAATAAAAGACATTGGTAAAGTAGTCACCGGATGCAAAGGGATTTGTTTCCTAGTTCCCTTCAATGCCACACAGTTCCTATTGGGAGATTCGGGCGCACATTTCGTGAAAGTGGGGGAAATTTATAAGAAATTAGAAAGTGGGTGTAGACCCGAAATAGAAGAATTCAAGATACTCAATCAGTGAATGACCTCTTTATGCTTGCTTGTAAAATGCCACCCACATGGCCTTTCAATTCCAAACTTGGATACATGCATAGCTACTACATACCTTTCTCCTTGGGAGCCCCTCTCTTCCTTTCTTCCGCGCCATGCACTCTTCTTCGGTAAGGGATGATTTATAAATGTCGCTTCCGGGTAGCCAACCCCACGCGTGTAACCCCAGAAAATTTCCATGCCCTTCTCCTAGATGCGGCATTATCAACAATAAGGATGTGTGAAATTCATGCAAAAGGAACATCATCCAGGGGTTGGCAAAGTTTGTAATATGCGCCCCGGTGCTCTGGGGACCCGGAAAGGAACCCCCCGGCCGAAAAAGTAGCTCTTGTCTCCAATGGCAAGGTACATGTTCATTGACACCGTGACTTGTTTGCATATCCATTGGACATGAAAGTCAGCCGACATAATTGAAGCACACGATATAACTAACCGGGCTCACCGGAGGGCCCCATGTGGAGGGCTTGCGGTTCCTTTCACAAGGCCGGCTTGAAACCTGAGGAATGTCTTCCGATAAAGGCAAGGGAAGTAAGGAACCCGCTCGCGGGGGATCGGAGCCACGATGGAATCTAACTCATATCGACATCAGAAACATTATGAAAGAATTAATTGAATATTCAAATCGCATGTGGCAAGACGCAGTTAACGTTGGTTTCAGGAAAACAAGGACAATGAGGTGAAACGCAAAACACGAAAGAAGGGGGGAAATGAAAAAGAAAAAGAAAGAAAGGAAACAAGAAAACCTCACCGTTGGGCGGGCGTTGGGGATGAAAACTGAAATCTTGGAACATCGCCTCACTTTCACGTTTCCATCACATACTAGGAGAGGCTTTTTTCCAGCGCGTAGCCAGCCCACGGAATATCCCGTCATATTTCGATTCCAGCAACAAAACCCGGAAAATATGATGTTCAGCGAGGCGCCCCAGGCCCCTAGTTCCTCAGTTGCCCACAGAACTAGAAGTTGCCGGAGAAGAGTTCGATAAGAAACTATTTTTGATCGCCCAGCTATGCCTCCGTGGCTCCAGGTGGCTCAACTGGTCCCTATTAGAAAGGGGGAGGGGGGAGGGGGCGGAGAGACAGAACAAGTGAGGCACTCAATGGCAGTGGGAGAAGGATTTGGCAGGCTGGGTCCTTCTTTTTTTAACCCTTTTCATTCGTCGGAAGGTGTGGACGTCTGGTATCTCCCTCACCACTAAATCCTCGCGACGAATTGTTATTCTTTCTTACCTAGCGTATCATTCGATTAATCATGATGCCACGGAGCTGTAGTTCGAAGAGTAGCAGAGGGTAAAGATTCCTTTTGTTGCCCCCCCAGGGAACGAACCCCCACCCCAAACCCTCAATAAATTATATCTGTTAGCTCGCCCGGGCAGATCTGGGAGATTTTGTTGTGTGTGGGGGGGGGGGGGGGGTTCTAAATAGTGGCATAGGTTAGTTTGGGTGAGTTGGAGCAATTGGCTGATAAGGAGAAGAGGCCGTTCTGGTCTCAGAAAAAAAATATAGGCTGCTTGTGGATGCATTTGGAATATAGCTGTTGGTTCGCTTATGGATCTTAATATCTTAATATTGTGATATATACCTCATAAGACGAAAGAAGCATGGGAACTAGAAAGTGCAGGCACAATTACAACGATAAGGAAGGAATGGGATTGAACATGTGTATGGACTGGAAGAAGGAAATAAAAGCTGTTCTCGTTAAATATTCTTTCTATTTTTCTCTTTTTTAATACATGAGACCTAGGCTCATTCTGGTCATTTGTTTCATAAATTTAATGAATCACTCTTGAGGTGGTATGTATGGGTTTATAAGCATATTGCTAAACCTAAAGAGTTTGAAAGGAAAGGGTTTTCTTGTTAGCAGGACGTCCTTCATTTGTTTTCGATGTTCGTTCAATGTTCCCCTCTTAGAGCGTAGAAACCACACATGCATACGAAATGACTTACTTCTCAAGTTTCTCCTTCCCCCTAACTTCCTCCACCAACATGGGCATCCGCACGACATTAAAGTCCTCATACAGCTCTTCAATCTCATTCAAATACTTCTTCTGCATTTTCCGTCTGGCCTTGCACTGCTCGCATGAGCTGTCCTTACCGGGGAAAAGCAGCTGGTTGACCACGATGCAGTGTGTATCGATTTGATAGCTTGTAAGCTCTTGAATCATCCGCTCGGTCTCATACAGGGACAAGAACTCCGCGATGCACACGCAGACGAAAGTCGTTAGGTCGGCATCTTTAAATTGCGCATTCACTTCTCCTATGGTCTCTCGTAGCGATTCCATCTTCGAGAGGATCTCGTCCAGGTTTTGGCCACCGGGGAGCCCGCCCCGTGCTCCAAGTACGGAGTTCAGCATTGGGCCGAATTGGGAAGATAGTTGAGATAGCTTGCCGAGGGCCTTTTCAAGGACAGTAGGGAATTGGAGGAAGCGGAGGGTATGACCTGTTGGTGCGGTGTCGAATATGATTACTTCGTATGAGAGAGATTTGACTTGTTTCAGGACTTCGGCGAACGACATGGCTTCGTCAACACCAGGTATCTATATGATATTTTGAACGTTAGAATCTTACCTGATAAAAATACTCCTCTCCAAAAAGGCAACTTACACTAAATGCCAAATCCTGCATCATGCCACCTAGCCCCAATCCACCCATGGGATCATCTGCCTGATCACCCCCCGCAGCAAGGAGATCTTGTATGCTTCCATTAGGGTCAATTTCCATAGCACTCAAATTATCGAAGCCGTCGATCAGTCTCGCTTCCTTTCCAAACTTCTGACCAAAGGCATCACTCAGGTTATGGGCCGGGTCGGTGGATATGAGCAGTACAGACTTGCGGACTTTGGCAAGCTGGATCGCTAGCGAACATGATGTAGTTGTCTTGCCGACACCACCTTTCCCGCCGACGAATACCCAGCGAAGTGTCTTTTGGTCTAGGAGATTTTGTAGGGTGGGCTCAAGCGACTCGTCCCCGGAGACTATGGCGGTGGATGACATTGTGGCTGTGAAATTTGGATCTGTTGGTTTGGTGTAGATGTAGAGGTAGGTGCTTCAAAGCGGGGAGTTTTGAAGGTCAGATGTATGTGGCCAAATACGTCTTCGAGTGGTGTAGTTCAAAGCAAGGGTCTCTTATCAAGGTGTATTGGTGGGGCGAGGGAGATGCGGGGTGGGGGAGACTGAGCGCTCGAGCTCAACAAGCGTCGCGAAGGTTGTGAAGGACAGAAGATGACACGAAAACTAGCTCTTGACAGTTAGTTTACGTTCATTTGTTGACTCTCCCATGAAGTCTGTTGGCTTGAGCAAGCGACATCTTCTGGAAGATTCTCTCTAGATGAAAGTTGATCTTGCTTTCGTCTAGTTTAGAGCTGGCTGCTGGGCTTCGGCTTACCTGGAATTCAAGGTTTTTGATAGGGGAAACAAGATGATGGGATATCGTCTTTACACTTTCTAAGATTATTGTTTTATATCCTAACCAATAGCTGGCCACTTATGGAGTATACCCAAAGTCATATATGATGTGCTGAGGATAAGGTGGGCGGTATTATGATCTTCCGGCCCGTTTAATCGACGACAAAGCGTCATAAGCGCGCGAAACAAGCGGAACTCATCACACGCGGATGAAGTCAACTTGAAACTTCTTTTCCATCGATTTGAATCTCACGGTCGACGCAGAATTAAACTCAAAACATGGGGTCTTGTCTTGCTTCCGGGGCGTATTTATCCACCCCAACTTGAGCTTAACTCTATCTATCCATGAATGTAAAACCCAGCGACCTTCACCAGCTCAAATCATAACTACTACATTATATCTAGCTTGCAAAATAACCTAGGAATTTAGAGGTAGAGGATTCGACGCCCCACACAGCGTCATTGCATTGAGTTCGGAAACAGTGATCAAAGGTGTACAGTCATCAACCCCTCGGCGCTTCCCGATGGAGAGCCCCGCGGTTACCCCGGATATCGCAACTCAACACCTGCATCCATTGCTGCTACTCCACTGTTCCTGTCCCGCTTTTATCAGGTATTATAACTATATCTGTGCTACTTCTTTCCAAAAATTGTTTGATTCTCTATTTCTCACTTCATCCTTATCCATGTAATATTCCAAGCTGATTACCCACGAAATTCAATTCATTCGCCCCCTGGCCACCCACCCTACATTGCCGGCCCGAAAAGCTCTCCATCGGGAAAATATTACCCACTGCCGAAAGTTGAAGCAAACGGACAATTAAAACATCCCGGAACCGAAACCGAGTGTCGAATTTTACTACTGAATAAGAAAAATTAAAAATTAAAAATTAAACCCTTGAAGAAGCAGCGCCATAGCTTCATTCCCCCAGAAACCGAAAACAAACCACTCCTCCACATTAAGTAACCACCGACCGAAGGGAGAAAAAAAAAACAAAAAAAGGGAAAATGACAGACCGCGACCCTATAACCTGCCATGTTCTGAACACCATCAACGGCACCCCAGCCCCCGGGCTCGCCTGCACCCTCACCCTCCACAGCATCCTCCTGCCCCCGGGCGTCCCGCAACCCGCCAACCTCCCCGTAACCCTCCACGCCGCCACCGACGCCGACGGCCGCATCAAACACTGGCTCCCATACTCTACCTCATCGTCTGCTTCCACATCTTCCCCAACCTCCACGACCTCCCCCCCCACCACGGGAACCGCAACGACATCCCCAACAACCACCCCCTCAGCGCCAACCACGGCAGCAGCCACCGCAGGCCCCTCCATCCGCTCCCTCCTCGCCTCCATCCACGAGCAGCACAGCGGGCAGCAGCGGTCGATCTGGTCGCTGCGTATCCGGAATGTGGGCGAGTGGTACGCTGAGCAAGGGGTGGAGAGCTTCTGGCCGGAGGTTGAGGTGCGGTTTTTGGTCAAGGGGAGTGAGCGGTGGGATGGGTGGAGGCATTATCATGTTCCGGTATTGTTGGGACCGTGGAATTATGGGACGTATCGGGGGTCATAAAGGGGGTTTTAATTGTGCTTAGAGGAGTTGGTGGGGGTTTCTTCCCTTGAGGGGAAGGGGAGAGGGGGTTCTTTTGCTTCTTTCCTTGCTCCCCTTTTGTGTGAAGTGTTGTTTTCCTGGATGAGATGGATAATGGAGGATTGTTGCGTTGGGTGGAGGTAATTATCCTTTATTCTTTTGTATCTTTCTCTATTTCTTCCGCGCTTGTTATCAAAAAATTGATGGGAGTATTTTGCAGCAGGGAACTGCAATCGTCACAACAAAGTTACGGGTAGTTTCAACTTGCGCAAGTCGGGCCCGATGTATCTGCTACTATTTAATTTCCTCCTGATGAGCTTTGTTGAATAATAATAATTATTAAATAATCTATGCCTCGTTGAACCGTTTGTATGCATGCGCTAATGCCCTTCTTTTTTGTCTATCCAGGTAGCACATGTTGCTTTTCCCTCTGTCATGGCAGGGAAGGTGACACAGTGCCTGAAGCGTTGTTTCACTCAAGTTGAAAATTAACAGTGCAGGTGAGATTGATGGCTTTTGATAGCAGCTGTACTATCATTACTTTTAGACGCGCATATTAAGCTAGAAGGGTAAGTGAAAGGGAAGCTGCAATGAACAGATAATGCAAAGCATACATAGGAAGCTCTACCCTTCCTCTACATAATATAGCCAATAGTTAACCTCCCCGATCAAATATCAAATGCCCTTCTCGATCAACCTTGTACCGCCACACCAAAATTTGTATGTAACATTTGAAACAAACATAACAAACAAATTAAGGTACTGCATATGAATTTTGGTGTGGCAGTACAAGGTGATTGAGGGTTATTGGCTGTTATAGTAACATATATTTCTTATATATTTGCTAAAATTGTTTCTGTAGTTATGATATTTTGAACCCTCTACAGCATACTCCCTCTGTATTTCCCCCAGATTCTTAACACAAACACTTGCAGCCAGAACACACGTCATCATCCACGGCGGGAAACTGGTTCTGTTGGGGTCCCAATCGGACAATAATCTAGGCTAATCGTGCCCAACATGGCCAGTCTCGCTAGCTTATATAATTTAGCGTGACCCCGCCTTATTCTTCCGGCATATTTGTGATTAGAACGTATTTTGCAAGGCTCACACGGAAATTACCTATTTTGCTTACTCGGTTGCACGAAGCCTGCTTTTTAAAATTTGCCAACAACTCTCATCTAATTGGAAAAATATCTTAATGCACACGAGCCTCTGTGTACAAAGACATTGCAGAGCTAAGCTCAAAACAGAAGACTCTGCAAGATTGATTTTACAGCTTATTAATAAAAGAGATAGAACTGTAACTGCAGTGAAAGTATATCTCTAAAGATGAAATAAGATTAACTTGAGAATGAGTTGAATGATGATATAGATAATTGATGAAAGACTGAAGAGAGATCTGCAGAACTGAGAGATAAATTAATTATCAAAGATAATAACTGCAGCTGTTTTCTTAATTAAGTTAAGAATAAAGTTAATAAGAGATATTCTCTATAATATCTGATAATACAGTAAGCTCTTTAAATGATAGTTTTCTTTTTACAGACTACTGTTAATAAAGATATATCAGAACTATGAATCTCACAGTAATAAAACTTAATCTCAGATAATATATCTATTTCAATTGTGGCGGGCTGCGCCCGATCAATCATATAGACTATTCCGTTACACTCCACAGATTCCAACCGCTCCATTCTCGAACGCGTACGCTCCGATTCTCGGCCATTCTCGATCGCCGATCCTCGGCCACCACGAACGTGTTCCGCCCCGAAGCTCCACCGCGTACGCCACCACATACGCGTATAAATATCCACTTCAATCGCCGATTCTCGCACTTTCTCTTTCTTTTCCTTCTCTAACGTTTTTCTCTTTGTTATATAAGACCTATCAATATAATACCGATCTATTCGGCGTAGGCCTCTTACATCAATAGACTGTTCACAGACTGTAAGAAATTTCACTTCTTACAGATTCTTTATCTCTATTTTCTATCTCTTATATAATTAATAGAGTTAGCAGCTCTTGACTATATTATTATATAACTATATAGACTGAAGTTCATGAATACTATTTATAACTCAGCTTAAATACTATTATATATTTAACTTCTATATTTTATCTTTCTATTATGAATACTTCTAGTAGTTAACAGTATATATTATATCAAGCTGCAAATATCTGAATAATTGTCTGTAAGCACTTATTCTTACACAGACTTAAGAGACTGCTATTAATTACATGAAGTGTTAATATATCTAGAATAATAGAGAGAGTTCAGACTCATTTATCACAGAATCTATAACTGTAGAAGAATCTGATTTCACTGTATATATTCATTTACAGTTCTACACAGTGTAAAGAGATAATCAGTGATAGAAAAGATATAATGAGAGAAGATTATAATATCTGAGTTCTCTGAGTGTAGTATAGAAGATAGATAGCTGTAGAAGTAGTAGAATACTATAAAGAAATGAATTGATTAAGAGACTGATTTTATAAGCAGTGAACACAGGCTTTTGACACATTATTCATTCTTGAGAATCTATGAGAGATGGTTGATCAGATGCATTATCTATTCAAGAATCTGTACAGAGTAGATGATTCATGAATATGATAGTGCAATGTCACGGGATTGCACTTCACTTAATTCTACATCAATCAGTGAGCTGTATTCGCGCCAAGAACCTCAAAAAGGAAATTCTCCACTTTTAATGACCAGGGTTTTCATCATATATTTGCTTTGCTTCGCTTCGCAAACAAGTTGGTGCAGCCATTCATGTGCACTCTTACACACATGTATATTCCAAATCAAGTTAGTGAAATCCAAATCAGGCTAGTGACATCTCATTGTAGCTCTTATTATAACTACTACGTACCTACCACAAGCTAGATATTCACCCCCAGTTTATGAATACACCAAGGTTTGATTTTACAAGCCCTTTGGATAGTGCAATTTAATGAAACCCACCTTGTACTTGGCAACTTAAGCAGTTATTTATAGGATTTTATGTGCGCCAAGAATTACGCGCGCGCAAGCTCTTGGAGTTCTAACTCGTGCGTTCGCTTCCCTCACCACATCCGTTGGTTGGTGACTTGTATCTTTTGTACTCCATAAGCTCACCCACCATACAGAAGATATCTAGATAAAAAAATCAATATCTTCAACATAACATCAGATATGAGTAAGATATTAATGATAGAAGTATATTTTTGAGTAGAGAATATAGTAAGTAGTAGTATTAAAGAATTTAAATACATTAAAGCTTTTTACTATTAACTTGAAATCACTAGTAGATTCACTACTTAAAATATAGTTATTTCTAAAAACTAAAATATTTTTATTTTTATTTTTATTTTAATATTTACATTCTTTGAAGAATATACTTATATCTTTAGTATTACTCATATATAATGTTGTGTTGAAGATATAGTAAATTCTAGTAATTTCGTCAACAGATATCTTTGAGAAGTCATACAAAAGATACCTGTTTTGAAGAAGTAACATTGTGGTGATAATAACGTTGTGGTGAGGCGCACCCAAATGCTAAGCTACGGACAGATCTGGAAAAGGCCATAATGGTGGGTAATTACATATTTTGATGTGACGTGAGAGAGAATGTCATTAGAGTGAACTCATATCTCTCAAGGAGAATGATGGAATGCTTGCTGAAAGATTGATTATCTAGAATCTCTACGGAATATTCAGTTCAATTTGTGGTCTTTTCTCATTATTATTGAACAATCCATGGATATATATATTATATATATAAATTCTATGTATGAATAAATACTAAAGAAATATTTCACAGCATTGCAGAATGCCTGAAGTTTTTTGTGGAATGGCAGCGAGCAGCCTACGTCATCACCATCAAGAATCACTGTTCCAACGTTTCTCGGAGAAATGACGAAAGCTTTTTGAAGGTAAAAATTAGATGCACTAAATCAGTGTCAGATTAACCTCAAAAACGAAAGACCATTCAATTCATTAACCACACAATTGGACATTTTTGTATTTCTTTCTTTGGAACTTCAAATTGACAAAAAGCAGGAGAAGTTACTTTACAAAGTATCATAGCACAACAACCGTTTTTATCTGTCGTGTCTTTTGGCAAGGTGGCCGGACAGGGTTATCTATCATTGTCTATTCACAAGATCGGAATACCTACCATAACTTTACTTACCCTGGTCTGGAACACAACTTCCGTAGCGTAAAATGTATGTATCGATAATCAACCCTCGCGCTTCATCGCTGCCAAAACAATTCAACTTCAAGTCATTGAACAAGGCCTTTGTTTGCCCCAATCATATTCCATTATTATTAGTTGTTCTTTGGCGTAATCGCAGAGGACCCCACAGCTTTGAAACGACATCGAAAATCTTGGATTTGATATGGTTGTCTGGTTACTAGCTTTTACGGACCAAGTACGAACATCTCAGACCGGCTTGGCGTTGAGAGGTCGAGAATTCGAAGCAAAAAGAAAAAAAAAAAAAAAAAAAAAGGAAAAAAAGTCGCTTTTCTTGTCTTTTTTCTGGGGTCGGATCAATCAGTTGCAAATTGTGGTTTTTGAGCTCTTCTGTTTGTTCACACGAAGCCAACACGAGCGTGGTAACTTATCTTCGGCTCTTTTCTGTTTCTAATCGGGGACACGCGCTCCAACGGCCGGGCATATTTTTCCCAGTTGTAGTCGGGACATTCAGACATCCCTCATCCGTACCATATAGTTTATATATTTTCCCGTGTAAAAAAAGGGCATCCATATATATATATATTATATACTCCGTATATATACGCAGCGTATACCTAGGTAAATATAGTGTTGTGTTGATTTCCAATTTTTCTTGGGGCGGAAAAACGAAAAGCTTGGTCTGTGGCTTACGTAACAACCACATCATCGGTGTCGTCAGATTTTCCCTTTTTTTCCCTCCCTCGACAGCCCATTTTAATTTTTTTTTTCTTTTCTCTCTCCCTCGCCGTCATCATCACTATCGCATCATTAAGCCATCATCATCCCATCAATTATCCGCCCGCTTTCCATCAAATCGCCCGGCCCTCTCGACGCCCACAATCCAAACTTCACCGCTTCTGCCCCTTTCTGCCTTTACTTTCCCCTTTTCCTAATTCCTTCCCGCGTTCTTTTGGGTCTTTATTGGCTCGTGCTCGCTTGCTGGGCTGCGTGATTGCTCTCGCCCTTCTCCTGTCGTCATCCACCTCCTCCCCTCGACAGATCGAGTCTTCCCGCCCCCCTCCCGCCTCACCGTGGCTCCCTGCCTGTCGCTGCTACCACTGTCTTCAGTGTGCTGCCTCCTTTGTCGTTGTCTTCTTGTTGCGTGGTGCGATGTCCGCTGCTATTGCTACCAGACCCTCTCCTCGGATTGGCCGTCCGGCCTCCCGCACTGACTCCCCCATGGACTCCAAAAAGGGCCCCTGGAAGTCAGAAGGTATGTGATTATATCCCATTATTCATGGCTCCTGTCGCAAGTTGAGAAAAAAAAAATTCCCCCGCTCTGTATTTTCATTACTTTTCACGATTTTTCCCCTTCCAATTGCTGCTGTTCCTTGGGTGGCGCAATACTCCTACCTTTTTCATCTCATAACTCCCTACATCAACCACAACCATTTTATTTTCACTCCTCCACCCAAACACTGTCGTCTTCTTAATCTATTCTTCCCGCATGGGCGTATACCCTTATTGCGTCCCTTCCCTTATTGAGTATTATTTTGCTACTGCTATTCATTTATTTTTCCGAATAGTACCTGGCGCGGGAGATACTGGTCAGGTTCTCGTTCCATGATGGACAAACATGTTTTCAAGCGCGTCTAACTGTTCCCCACCTCTCATTAATATAGATGCGCAAAGTACAACCTCTGATCAAAAGGACGCAGCTCATCCTAGTGATGCTGAAGGAACCCAATCCGTCTCTAATAATCGTCGCCAGGCACAACAACAACAGCAGCAGCAGCAGCAACAACAAGCAGGATCTGACACACCCGATTACTTCTCCGGCGTCCATAGCACCACTCAGTTCTCCCTAGAACCTAATCCCTTCGAACAATCCTTTGGCAGCCAACCCGCTGATACTCCGGGAAAATCTCTCCTGCCACCTGTCGCTGCGCTCACATCGCCCGCCTTACCCGGTACAACCTCAGCTGGTGGTTTCAATTGGAGCAATTCACTTCGCGCCGGACCACTCAGTCCCGCGATGCTTGCTGGGCCTGCTGCCTCCAGTGACTATTTTGACGGTATTGGCCGCGGGTTCCCTACGCCAAACGAGTCATCGTTGCGCACCGGGCTTACCCCTGGCGGCGGAGGGTCGATGTTTCCTGCCGCCTCAAGTCCAAACACCCAGGCTCTGATGCAGCAGTTCCAGAGCGGGGGCGCCACTCCATCGACCATTGATTTCCACCGTACGGCTATGAATGCTGCAAGGAAGAATGCCCGGACCTCCAATCCACAGGATTCAGACCAGCTGCTCCAACAACCCACCAACCTAGAAAGCGCCAAGCCTGATTCCCATGTAGATCCTTTCGCACATCATGACGCCACGGATGCTGCCAATGGTCTTTTTATGCTAGCCAAAGGAGGTCAACAAAATAATGGCCAATTTTCCGTTCCAACTTCGCAACCTCCCCCCCAGAATCCATCGAACGAATCGGGCGCAAATCTACAGAACGGGAATAACCCTGCCCACGATATGAATGGTGGTGTCTCGGATAGCGCTGGTGACCAGCCGAAATCAAATCCTCGTGGCGGTAAAGGGCGGAAAGCCAGTTCTGGAAAAAATAATGGTCGACGAAAAGCAGATGATAACACCAATGCCAACAAGGGTGCGAACAAAAGGGCCAAAGGAAATAGTGGCTCCGCGGTGGACCAAAGTGTTGATGGGTCAGAGGAAGAGGAAGAAACTAAACCCCAACAACCCGAACCTTCAAACACCAAAAAGATGACTGATGAAGAAAAACGGAAGAATTTCCTTGAACGGAATCGGTATGTGTTTTTTTTTTTTTTTTCCTAAAATTTCTCCTGCTAAACATTTTATTTGCACTACTAACATGATGCTCTCTCGTTAAAAGTGTCGCTGCCTTGAAATGTCGACAGCGCAAGAAACAGTGGCTCCAGAGCTTGCAGACCAAAGTCGAATACTACAGCAATGAGAATGACGCCCTCTCCTCAACTGTGACCCAGCTGCGGGAGGAAATCGTTAACCTAAAGACCCTACTTTTGGCCCATAAGGATTGCCCCGTTTCCCAGGCTCAGGGACTAAATAGCATCATGGTAAATGGCATGAGTGGTGAATATGCACAACACGCCAATCCTTATATGACCATGCAGGCAGGTGGCCCTGGTATTGCTGCACAACCCATGCCACGACGGTAAGGAAAGGGGGTTAAAATTAAGATAGGAGGCACAAAGGTAAAAAACGAATGAGTCACCCATGCACTCACCCACGCTTGCACTCCCACACTCCCACCCGAGGAAATGGCGGCATTTTTATATATAGTTAATCATTTGAAACCGCAAAAAATCTTCCGGCCGCTAAGATATATACAACCTTACCCTACTCTACCTTACATGCCTGCCTACCTATACCGATGTTCGTTATGAATGTTGACGTTTTCTCCCTGACTATGGACGAAGGGGGATTACCGGGGATTACCTTTGCCGTTTCCCCCCTTCACTCAATTCTTCTACCACTTCTTTTTCTTGGAAATAATTTTTTAGATTGGCTGCTACACAGTGATAATTTGTGTTTCTTCCTTCTCCTTGTCTGTATGTCTCTGGTTTCTCTTATTTCTCTCATCTTTTCTTTTTACTTTCCTCTTATCTCCTTTTGTTTTTTTTCTCCGTTGGGGTAGTTGCTCTTTTTGGGGAGGGGAACATTAATTGGGTTTGGTTGGTGGAGTTCCTAGTTGGAATTTTCGTGTGTCTTTTTGCTTTAACCCTTACTTTTTAGTGTTCCTTGTTGTCCTTTTCGTATGCTTTATATGTTTTGTATCATGGAGGAGCTGTTGGGTAGGAGTTAATATGGCAAAGGATTTTTCATTTTGATCTTCGTTTTAACTTTCAAGTTTCCCCCTTTTTTTTGGGGTTTTTTTTTTTCTTATTTTGTCCTTCTTTTCCTCCTATTCAGTTGCTGGCCATTTTTCTATCTGTGTGTATGTATGTCCGGTTTAATTGCTGTACGATAGATGCTTTTAATCCCACTATTTGCAATGAACTTTTGACGACGGATAGTTAACTAACAAATCAAAACAAGCAAGCTTTTTTTTTTTCTGTCTTTCTCTTGACCTTCCTTTATTTTGATTGATGTATTTTTTTATTTTAGTCAATTGTACCGAGTATGTTTCTGAAATCTGTAGCAGTTATATTGCCCAATTCCAATGCAAACAAGACAAACTTGACACCGGTCCCAATCGCGAAACTCGAAATTCAAGACAACAGTTAATCAATGGACGTCGTTCTACTTGGAACTTTCGCTGGGCGACAGCAGAACTGACGGACCCGAATATTTATTTCGTTTCAAAAAGGAAAAGGGAACAGGAGGAACCTGGAAAAAAGCGAAAGAAAAGAAGAAAAGAAGAGCCGAGGAATGCAAATCCAATATCCGACTCCAATCAACTCTCCCCATCCGCTTCCCTTTCCCCGCATCCCGCGCCGTTCGTCGTCGACGCTCGCAACACGACATATCTCAGCTCAACGGAGAAAATTGGGGGAAGCGCTCATTTATGGAAGAGTTGGACAAGGGACAGTATCTATCTCTTTGCTGTTGAGTGGTGGGATGGTGGTGACAGACATCCAATCACTTAACGCGTGTTTTCTTGGAGTTGTCTCATCGCGAACAATTTATTGCTGCTCAACCATCACCTTGATCAATTGAGGGGAGATAAGGGATTGCTTGCTCGGTTTTTACGTGTCATTTTTCTATAGGGGAAAGGAACGGATCAATTTGGAAGTGGTTCATCTTCGCCATTCGATCAATTTCCGGCCCGCCGTCAGTTTCCAATATACACAGATTCCACACAAACTAAGTAAACGATGCCACCACCGATCTCCTCCACCTCCTCAACTCCCCACCCTCACCACCGCTCCCGCCGCATCGAAGATGCGCTGAACCAACTCGTCGACTCCCTCATCCCCGTCACGTCGCCATTCCTTTCAAACCCCCGCCGCAACGAAGACGATGAAACTCTCTCCGAAACATCGGTGGACGAATATGCGCGTCTCGAAGCTGCTGAGGCAGACGAGCGACGGCATAGGCGCTGTATGGATATGGCATGGCAGATTCTAGATTCTCATGCGGCTGCGGCTGCCACTGCTAGTTCTACGGGGATAGGTGGCGGTGTTAGTGGTAGTGGCGGCGTGGTCTCAGCGGATGTTATCAATAACGCTCCAGACCTGATTAAACGCAAGTTGCTGAAGGAGAATGCGTCGCCGGACAAAGCGGTGCGGTTCTCGAATTTGTATTCGCGGCTGTTGACACAGCCGGTTCTCGGGCAGAAATGGGCTATTTTGTATCTGCTTTATCGGATTGGGGAGAACGAGGGCGTTTCTGGGAGGACTGAGGCTGGGAGTGGTGGTGGTGCTTCTGGGAGGGGTGGGACGGAGGCTGTTGGTGGTTATGGTCCTGGAGGGGGAAATGCTCGGCGCACCACCGTTACGACGTCCGTGGAGGATTCGGGTTGGAAAAGGGATGGGGCGAGGAGTCCGTTGATGGACGAGCATCAGTTGGACCATATGCTGTTTAAGGATAGATTTGGTCGGAGATCTGTGGTTGATGATATTGCGCCCGGTTCGTCGGTTTCTGCCGTTGGTTGGGATAGTCCCTCCGCAGCTGCTGCGCAGGATGGCCCGTCGGCGTTTCCTAGGAATGGGAAAGATAGGGATGGAAATAGCCCCAGGGCAGCGGATCGGAAACGAGCCGTTGAAAGGAGAGAGAGAGAAAAGGAAAAAGAAGGCCGATCTAGTACGAGTCGGAGGCCTGTATCTATCGCTACGGACGGGGAATCGAAATCTAGGAGTCAAAGTCAACCTGAACAGCGCCAGGAACAGCAACAACAGAAAAAAAAAGGAGAGGCTGAAGATATACCTGTTGAATCGATTTTATTACGGGACTTGCCGTTCACTTTGCAAGGGGTGTCGTCTACGAACATGAAGTTCGCATCGCCTACGACTATAAAACTACCGCAGACCCTACCAGTTCCACTTGTCTCCCTTCTACATACGTTAGCAGAGCCTTGTCTACTGTATCGTGGCTTGTCAGCCTTCGTCGAAGAATCGGAAGGCGGCCTTGTGAAGCAGAGTGTACGAGCGGCTATTGGCAATGAGCTTCGATCGTACCTGGGCTTAGTTGCCACTCTTGAAGGCGAGATCAGGTCGGCATTGACAGCTGTTTCAGACAGCGCCATTGAGCCCAAGGGAACATTGAAAGCTGGCGTCACCTTGAAACGATGCGTTGTTTGGATGAGAGAGGCCACAATGGCTCTAAGGTTAATGAGCTTGATCGTGGAAGAGTCTAAAGGTAAGAGGGGCGGGCAGTTAATCACCATGATTCACGAATTTTCTTCCTCTCACGGCGACCCTTTCGTTGGGGCCTTTGCTGAGCGGCTTCTGGCTCATGTAACTCGACCCTTCTACGGCATGTTAACACAGTGGATTTACGATGGTGAACTTTCTGACCCGTTCCGTGAATTTTTTGTTGTTGAGCCAGAGGCTCGACCAAGCGCTGATCCGCGACGCATCGCGACTAGCGTCTGGGATGACAAGTATAAGCTCGACGATGACCTGGTGCCGACGATTATGACGCAGGAATTTGCAAAGAAGGTTTTCCTAATTGGCAAGTCTCTGAATTTCATTCGATATGGCTGTGGGGATTCGGCGTGGGTGGCGGCGTATTCGAGAGATGCATCAAAAGAATTGAGATACGGCGATACGGCGACGCTAGAGACATCGATCGACGAAGCATATAAAACAACAATGGCGCGCCTGATTTATCTTATGGACTCGAAGTTCAAACTCTTCGATCATCTCAAGGCGCTTAAAAAGTATCTTTTACTTGGTCAGGGGGATTTCATTGCGTTGCTCATGGAATCGCTAGCGTCCAACCTCGACCGTCCGGCGAACTCGCAATACCGCCATACCCTTACAGCACAACTGGAGCATGCCATCCGATCATCAAATGCGCAGTACGACTCTCCCGATGTCCTGCGTCGCCTTGACGCTCGCATGTTGGAGCTCAGCCATGGGGAAATTGGGTGGGATTGCTTCACCCTTGAATATAAAATTGATGCTCCAGTGGACGTTGTAATAACCCCATGGGGGTCGACGCAGTATCTGAAGGTCTTCAATTTTCTCTGGCGCGTCAAGAGGGTCGAATTCGCCCTGGGAAGCACATGGAGACGCTGCATGACTGGTGCCAGGGGGGTGCTAGGGAGCGTCGATGACAAAGTCGGCCAGGATTGGAAACGTGCCCGCTGCGTGATCTCTGAAATGAACCATTTCATCAGCCAGCTCCAATACTACATTTTATTCGAAGTCATTGAAGCAAGCTGGGACCAATTGGAAGTAGCCATCTCGAAGCCAGGATGCACCCTCGACGACCTCGTCGAAGCACACACCAAATACCTCAACTCCATCACTCACAAAGGCCTTCTTGGCTCCTCCTCCACCAGCAACCCAGCCAGCAGCAACAGAGAAGACTCCTTCCTCTCCCAACTCCACCAAATTCTTAAAATCATGCTCGCCTACAAAGACGCCGTAGATGGCCTCTACTCCTTCTCAGTCGCAGAATTCACCCGCCGCCAAGAATTCACTGCGAAGATAGAAACACGCACCGCCCAGGGCCAATGGGGCGTGACCGAAAAGGATCTCCTCCAGCAATCCCAATCCCTATTCCCTCCCTCCACCACAAGCACCACCACCACTCGTCCCGGTCGCTCAGACTCCGCCGCGCGCAGGGCTCCCGGCTCCGCTTCCGAATCCCCCTCAACTGATTCACCGCTTCCATTCGGCGGCCGCGGAGGCACACATTCGAAATCGCCTTCTGAACCCATAACCCCAACAGCGGCCGCGGCGCTACTTGGCGGTATTGGCGTGGCGGGCGGTGAAGATCATCTCCTCCCCTCCCTACGCACGCGCCTGCGCGACCTCGCAGCGGACTTCCGCTCACGCCTTCTCACGCTCCTTGGCGACCTGGCTTATCAGCCGGATGTGGATATGCGGTTTTTGGGCGTGGTTATGAATTTTAATGATGTGTATCAGATTGTTAGGCGGAGGAGACGAGGTACGGGGGCGGCAAAGGATAGAGAGAGGGAGAGGCGGCGGGCTGGTGAGGGGGAGAGTAGGGAGAGGGAGAAGGAGAGGGAGAAGGAGAAGGAGAAGGAGAAGGAAAAGGAGAGAGGGGGTGGTTGATTCTGTTTGCATTGTTGCATTTTATGTTTGGGGGGAGGATGGAGTTTTGTTCGCCTACTTTTGATGCATCTTGTGTGTCTATTGGGAGGGCTTCGGTTTCTGGGATTTTTCTATGATCTCTTAGTCGTGATTTCGTTCTTTTTTTCTTTTTACATTCTTTCAAACTTTTTGACTCGCGAGCTTCTACATGATACCTTTTGGATTTTATTTATTACATACATGCATCTTATGATGATATTTTCTTGTTCAACGTAGATACTTATATACAGTGAGGGAAGGCTGCAAAAAAGAAAGTTATGGGGGATGTAAGGTTGAGCACGAAATAGAACCCAGAAGGCAAGAATCCAGTGGACGCTTACTTTCTAAAGGGGGTATACCGAGGAAGTGTGCCATTCAAGATTTCGTAGACGCGGCGAGGAAAATTAAATAATGAATGTTTATTCCCGTTTGGGACGCCCCTGAAACGGAAAAGGTTCCCCGTACAATCTAGTGCTGCCACTAAAGAGATGTATAAAGCTGCGTTGAGATGTTGAGCGGTTTGTAGCTGGTATTGTTTGCTTGCAAATCTGCATCCTTCAATCCGAGTCTAAAAAGCGGAAGTGTTAGTGTCCACGTAAAAGCTAGAGGTGTTGAGACAATCGAGAAAATTACCTGAATCCGAGCTTGAGCCCGACGAAGTTTCTGATCCTCGCAAGGGTATTATGTTAGTTATTGAATGTTTATGTAGGTAGGAATGGTATACCTGAATCTGAATCCGAGCTTGAATCAGACGATGATTCTGACTCATGGTCAAGTGTGCCCTTCCCGTTCACCTCCTTTGCAGCAGGGTTCGAGCTAGCATCATCACTTTCGCTGTCGCTGTCGCTATCACTATCACTGTCACTCTCGCTGCTGCTGCTGCTACTGCTGCTACTGGCGTCATCCACAACGGCCGTTCTATTCTTCTTCTTTTTCTTGGTCACGACCGATTTCTGCTGTGGTTGGGACTCCGCCGCTGCGGTTGTTGGTATACTGCCACCAACAAAATGGCGAACCAATTCCGCTCTCCTCCTCTTTTCGAGTCTTTTAACCCAAACGGCATTTAGGTCTGTTGCTTCGTCGCCAACCATGTCTCCTTCCAAACTGTGCGGGTCCGCCCCTTGTTCCGCTAGCAGTTTTCTGAACGATGATATCGAATCCCTATACACATCCTTCTGAGACGCATCGCCACCATCAATCTCCTTCTCCGAATCGACATTGGCATCATCCGCCTTGATAGCTTCCACGGCAACCTCCGCAACTCTCTTCTTCGCCCCGTCACCTTTTATGCCGGCAAGATATGCAGCCAATGAGGCATTGTATGCCGAAGGTATGCGATCCACCGATAGCGCGTGCTTAAGCAAATGGGTTTCGCGATTCTTCTGAAATTTCCATTGAGCCCGAGATTTGTGGTAGAGGGTAAGGTATTGCAGGATTGGGTGGGTGTGGGAAGCAGGGGAATCCATTGACGAAGCTAGGGTAGGGCGATTCTTTGCGCGCTGTTGTCGTTTCAATTTCTTCTTCTCTGCTTTCCTTGTAGCGGCTGGGCTTGGTTCACGATCATCCTCGTCCTCCTGTTCAAGATCTAATTCGACGTCTGCATCTCCATCTTCCGATTTTGTATCCTCAGCGAAGGAGACGGATTTTCTTTTCTTGGATTTAGGTTTTGAGGGGGGTTTGTCATCTCGCTGCTCCACGGAGGATGGCTCAATAGATGATTTCAACTCTAGATTCGAGGCATTCTTTTTCAGTATTTTTCCATTTATATCCTCTTCTTCCCGTTTGGTTTTGTCATTAATCGTGCTTTTCTCCACCCGTTGTTTTTTGACGTTTGGTTCCTCGTTCTCCGACGTAAGAGGCCTCTTTTTAGTTCCTTTGGACGGAGAAGAGACATGCGAAGTGACATGCGAAGCGGTATCTGTTTCGATAGCGGAGGTAGTGGAATTCTTGAGCTGCAACCCGAGCTTCTTCCACGCCGGAATTCGGGAGGTCATTTTCGGAGTTGTTATGGTTGGGTTGGCGTTTGTGTGTGTGTGTAGATGCCAGCGAGGAATTTTTGAAGGGAACTCGCTGAGCTTAGGCTATTAAAACAAGGTCACAGCGAATACCTCATATACTATATCCGTGTTCGCGGGAGAAACCATGTTCTAATTCCTGGTAAATCTGTTCAGAGGAAGTATCATTCCACTGAAACGGATTGTTTTTTTTATTTTTATTTTTTATTTTTTTTGAAGAATATCATCATGTTGTATCTAATACCGTACAATACACCGTACAATACACCGTAATCTAAAAATTAAAGTGGAAGCTCCGAGAGCTGATACGTAATAAGGCGTTTTCAATACGGTTTGCTTGAGATCTAGCATTAATAGTTTAAATGTGCACAAGATGCTAGTAATTAGAGGGTTTAATTTATATAAAATGGTACTATAGCTCCCAGATATTTTTGTATCCCGTTGTTGCGGCTGTTTGCTGATGGCTAGCCGATATGTCCAAAAGCACGCCTTACCTGATTGGGCGCTAGTCCTCCAACCTCAACTCTGGAGCTTTCCCCGTTCAAGGCAGCTTCACCTACACGCGTTCACCTCCCAGCTTCATTATTTACCCAATATCTACGTCTCACCACTTTGTCTCTATTAGACTGTTGCCATCTGTCGTTTTAACATCTAGTTTTAAATCTTTTGCCTTTGTTCATTGCCCTCAGCCCAGCTACTTCAGCCACTATGTCAGGTCAGTAAATAGCGGCTCGGTCATCCTTTGTTGGGCGACAACTGACCCGCTTTGGTCCAAACAGGAAGCGCAGGTTACGATAGACACATTACCATATTTTCGGATCAAGGCCGGTTGTATCAAGTCGGTGAGTAATTTTCGGATGGTGGGATGTCCCCAAAGCTGCTAAACCACTCTGGAGGCTAATGGAGCTTTACTCCAGAATATGCGTTCAAAGCTATCACCGCTGCCAATATCACATCGCTAGGGATCAAGGGGAAGGACTGCGCCGTTGTACTATCGCAGAAGAAAGTCCCAGTGCGTATAACCTGGAAACGCTGTGATCATCCTAAGACTCAATTAGTTAACGGCCCTTCTCTTGAATCGTAGGACAAGCTGATCGAGCCTTCATCCGTCACCCATATCTTTCAACTCTCACCATCGGTTGGATGTGTCATGACCGGGTCGATAGCGGACGCTAGAGCATCAGTAACTAGAGCCCAGAGCGAAGCAGCTGAGTTTCGATACAAATTTGGATATGAGATGCCATGTGATGTGCTTGCCAAACGACTAGCGAATATCAATCAAGTCTACACTCAAAGAGTTCGCAAATAAACCCCCACTCCCTCCTAGAACCGTTACCGACCGTGTTTGATTGAGTTGGACTGCTGCTGACACACTGCGTGGTTTTTAGGCCTACATGCGACCACTGGGTGTTGCGATAACCCTCGTGTCCGTTGATTCGGAGTTGGGCCCACAACTATACAAGTGCGACCCTGCAGGATACTACGTGGGATATCGAGCCACTGCTTCCGGCCCCAAACAGCAGGATATCCTCAACCATTTGGAGAAGAAGCTTAAGAACAAAGAGCATGCGGAGGGATCGTGGGAGGACGTGGTTGAGCTCGCCATATCGACGTTAAGCACTGTTCTAAGTGTAGACTTCAAGAAGAACGAAATAGAAGTGGGTATCGTTGGTGGGCCTCGAGCTGATGGCAAGGAAGGGACGCAGACAGAGTTCCGCTCCCTTACAGAGGAGGAGATCGATGAACGGCTACAGGCAATTAGCGAGAAAGATTGAGAGCCGTCGACGTATATTTTTTTTTGACTTAACTCTTCATTCTAAGGATGAGCCTATAAGGCTGGGGATGGCAAGAAAGGCCTTGTGATTGCCTGCAGATATCCTTGATGAAATGAGGAACCATTTGCTTAGATTTCGTGATGACCTCCTTCCCTCCCTCCTTTTCTGCTGTTTTAACATCCAATACAAATTTTGCAATTCATACCTCTAGGTCCCTCATAATTGTGGCAATTATTTCCTTTCACCCGTTTCTCGTTCATCTCTTGTTTTGGCTGATTCTCTGAGGCTACATCCCTATTGTTATTTACTATGGCTGGCTTTCTATGCAGTCTCAAACACATCTCAAACCAGGCTATGCAAAAGTCACATCCAATCGATTACAGCACCGCCGATGACGCAGTTGGATTCGATATATGATTTTATGTTCCTTTTGCTATTTGTCAGTGATGGGTGATGATAGATGGACCCATAAGCCGCTACTCCAGGACAAGGATGAAACGGTACATCCGAACCGAGGGAAGTATGCCTTCTTAGTTGTGGTTTGCGGTTTGTGGAAACAATAGCCGGGATAAGAGAGCATCGGCCGGATTAATTGGACCCTAGAAAGGATCATTCAGCTATGATCAAGGGCCAAATTGCCTCAGGGTACGATGTGGTGTCAAGGTCGTGCATGAGCTCACGGGTGGAGTTCTTCGGCAGACACAGCAGTTCCAAGTGCGATGCAGAGATAGGCGCTGTTGCTTTTTGGCCACGCGGGGGCAATCGATGTCAGCTCGTTGCAACCTGCGCCATACCGGATGGGGCTAGCGCGGCCCAACACAGGCCAGGCCCCACCGCCCTGGGTGGCGTTGGGCCAGTGTGGCTTGCCAGTCTCAAGCTGTGGCTGGAACACCAGACAGTGCGATTTCCACTTTCGGCGCTATCGATTCTCCCTAGTCCGCTCCGCTCCAGTGCGTTTCCAGCTCCGATCGAGCACTGTGCGTTGGATTTGTCGTGACGCTTCGGCCAGAGTTGCTTCTTTGCTATGCACTGCTCCCAAGTTGCTTCTTTGGCTATGGCTTTGTTTCCGACCCAAAACAAACCATTGGATGCTCCACTCCAATGTTTGCGCGGTGGCCCCTACGTGCCTGCGTGTCGGGATCTTCTATTTCCTCCTTAGTTTACCTTCTCCTTGTCTATATTCTATTTTATATTTAAAGGTGCCGCAGGCTCCATCATGTCCTTGTTAATGGGAACCTAATCACGAATAAGGTGAGGAATCAATGAACATCACTGGCTTCGATCAATCACATGTTGGCATTTGCTCTACCCTCCGGGGACCCTACTCCTATTATGTCTGACCCTCGTGTGTGCTCTCTTCTTTGTCTTATACCCAAACCATTGGGACTAGTTTATAAGGTTGCTGACTTCGCCTGCTAGTCAATGATGCTCGAGCTATAAGGGTCACCGAATTAATGAATGATTTCCGAACTATACACATCAACATCGCCGGACTTAGAACGGAGCCTACCCCCAACGAACAATTCAGTGAAGGATATGTTGTAATGAACCAATGTCTTGCTGATGCGCAAACCCTCCTCAATTCGTCACTTGATATACCCGAAATCCAAGGCTCGTCTAACGAAGGTGAAAGTGTGACACTAGATCTCCAAAGGTAATGAATTCTGTAGCCTTAATTAGTAGGAGAACCACTTCCTATTCCTAATTACCGTTCAATTCTTTAGGTTAATCATCGATGCAAGTGCTCGCCGGTTCCAAGCTCACAAAATCTACCTCAGAATGGCTGCCGCAAGCCGATGGGTATTGCGCCGAACCCAAGTGCTTCAAGGACAAAAGATGAGCGCTCAGCATGTTAACGACTTACGAGCTGCGAGTGAAGCTCTTCATACTGTGAGATATTTCGCTTTTCGACAGCTTTCGTCTCACCAGCAAGCAAACCCTGAACTAACAGTAGCTACTGCTACTAGGAACTTGCAGATATTACTGACAACGCCGTGGTCAATGATTTACGATCAGCCGATATGCGTTCCGGCTACTGGCTCGGTGAAGACCCGTCATTAAGTACCATTCAAAGCTGGATTCGTTCGCAAAACTAGCCCGTTTGAACTTGCTCTGCCCTACTATCGGGATCCCAGAGCCTCTGCTGTGATGTCATCGACTTCTCACGATTGTTTCTTGCTCGTTTCCTTCGGTGACTGGAACGGAAGGAAAAAATCCCAAAAGCTCCCAATTTTTTGAGTTGCTGCTCTATACCCTCGGTCGACTTTTTATATTCACTTGCATAATGTCCTCGGCACGACCGCACTTTCGCGTTCATGGATTTGCTTCCCACTACGCCATTATTTTCTGGATATTTTTTGGCGCATTGTATACCTACATACCCGGATGGATTTACGTCGTGATAGTTATATTTACGAAGCTGCTCATGACTACATGTATACTCTAATCTGACCGTCACGACGAATAGTATAATTCTTGGGACGGTGGGAGAGTGGTGAGACGCGTTAGGAGAAATGCTGGACCTTTCTCATATTACGTTTTTTGCTTTCTTTTTTTAGATAGATTTGGTCTATCCTTTTACTCCTTTTGCCGCTTTTTTCTTATGAGTGTTTTAATGGATCATTCTTTTTTCTTCTTCTTGCTCTGGAGCATTATTTCCTTCTTGTATTTGTCTTCTGGGATTGGGACAGGATCCATGGGTTTACCTTGCGTCAATCTTCCATTTTGGCGGATTAGATATGATTAACAACTTCATTTTCGGCTACGCATTTTTGGTATGCCTTTTTCTCTTCTTTTCTTGTCCTATTTCGTTCTGGTCTAACCCGGGTGGCGAGGATCCAAAAACTTGTTTCTTTCCTTTGATTTTATTTGGGTCATTTAGCGCGGAGATCTTTCTATATCGGTTTTTTTTTTTTTTTTTTTTTTTTTCTCCTCCTCAAACTTCTCGTTTTATTAACTGCTGGACGGGATGAAGAAGATAGTTTAATAGAATTGATCCTAATTTTCGTTAATTGGTTTTATTTACTTGACCCACAGGTGACTACATTTGGCCGATCAGCGTCTGAAGGCCCAAAACAATTTCAGAGTCCAAAAAGTCAGGCAAGTAGCCAATCAATTGACTTTCCGGGCGCTTCCTCGGTTCACATTCTTAGCTGGAGAGGAATAGGGAATTCGCAAGCGAAAACCTTCACGAAATGATTAGGTATATTTATGGGGTCGTGTATATCTTCGCCACAGCTGCACGATGCGCTAAAATTGATCGGACCTTACTGACAACATTACTAATTAGTTGCGATTCCGGTTGATGTTAATGTTGCCACAAGCTATGGTCAGGGCGTTTCGGGGCCACTTGGAGAGCTCAAAGCTACGGATTACGTTCGTCCTGTTCATTTTTCCCCTTCAAGCTGTTCTTGTTTTCATTTTCGCCCTCGCACTTATATGATCAAAGCCACCTACAGTTCAGGCAGAGTCTGCTGGTCCGTTTACAATGATGCAATACAGCAATTGCTTGAAACTGAAGAGCTTCGTTCTCAGTAGTAGCTAAGACTACTGCATACACATTGCTTGACATTAGGCGCGGCATTGGGTTTGTTGAGTTGGATCTGGTTACCGAAACCAAAATCACTGATGCTCTTGATACCCTCAGCGTCTCCGGATCAAATCTATCAGAACCAATATTGATTAACCCGAGCTATCTCGTATTAGTATCATAGCCAATCAAACTAGCAATGCATTTCACAGAATCCGACCATTGGCACCGAAGTCAAGTACACATTCATGGAGGAAGTTGAGCACTGAGAGTATTATGTTCCTGAACATTGTGTATGTTATCGCTCATAAACTTGAGTCCAGCGGGTCTGCCGCAAACTGGCTGGCACAAGATAGAAAGCAACGTCGGCTTGTTGGTCTCAAGATCTCCACAGCAGAATTGGCTAGATGAACCCAGGATGAGACGCAGATTCTTTCACAGCTAGCTAAGGCTAAATCTAGCCCCTCTAAAAAGGACACTTCTTTCACATTGACCAGGCCCAAATCGCACTCATCATATCTCAATCTTTTCTTCTCTCAGCTGCTTGAACCATCACTTCACAACTTATACTCAATCTGTAATTTATGCATTTACAAGGTGTGTTATTCATGGTGATATATTCAACAAGTCAAAATCCCATCTCATAATATAGCATATTTATTTCTTCACTAAAAGCAATGCTTTTCCTTGGGCTGAGAGTCCCCTCAGAAATTCAATTCCCCCCTCAAACTCAAGCTCAAACTTCTGTTACAAGCATCAGGTTGGATGAACTGTCTTTGCCACACATGATAGCATGAGGATCTGCACAATATGCACACCCATGGAGCTTATCCATATGTGCAGTTTGCGAAATCGTCCCAGCTGAAGGTAAAAGTATAAAATCGGAACTCATCGCCAAGATCGCTTGGGTGGGCTCTTTTCCACCCCTTGCAGCATCATTGCGACTACTTCATAGCCAATTACGCCATTCGGTCTAGAGGTAGTAGTAGATGGATTTAAGATGATGGGAGGTTGATTCAACTCATGCTTAACGTTAAAAAAAGAAGTCAATCGTTGAAGAGCTACTAGCTTGTTCAGCTAGCTTAGGGGTTTGAAATCATAAAGATCATCTAAATATCAAATGAGAAACTGGTACTCAACTTTCTATCCACGGCATGCTGTCAGGCTTCTGGCCTATATGTAGCTAGTAGCTATTTACTATTATATTAGCTGGTTGTGGGCCGGGGATACAAGTGCATAGAAAAAATTCAGATTCCTCGGCTAACAATCGGCGAGAGCGACGCTAAGAAAAAATCATTATTCCTATTGAAGTCTAGCGCTCTTACCTTAAAAAATTGGACATGCCAAGCTTTTTTCAGATCCATGGATAGGATTGGCTATTAAACTGGCTAAGCCACAGGTGGTCCGTGCCGAAATCAATACGTGAAAACAAAGTTGTGGCTATGTGGCGGTGCACTCTATCTGTGACGAATGTCCTGGTGCATTTTGATGGGAGTATCAATAGGGATAGTGACAAATATTGATCATTGAGGCTGGGAAATTCCTCTTTCCCGCTGCTTGTTCAGGTAAGCCATTTCCCAGGCTCGACCGTTTCGGGGAGAATGGGGCAGGGCAAAGGTAAGTAGTCAGAGTTATCTTCAGACCAATTCATCCCACATCACATTGGAGGCAGTACCTAATGAAAGGCATATTCATGGCTTTGTTTGATCTTCTCCTGAGGCTGAGGGTGGGAAGATTTTAGATCTTCGGCCCTGGCTTCCTCCCAACATTGGGGACGGGATGAAGAGGTTCGATGATAGACACGATCTAACCAACTTCGGGCGTCGTTGAACCAGCCTCCCGTTGCACTGATGTGACCACTGTGCAATTGCCCAATCTAAATGTTGAGGAGCGGGCATTTCCCAGGTTTGCATTTTTGAGAGGCATGGGTCGCACGTGGGAAAAGTACGCTATCGGCTATTACTGCCTGTGACATCAGCCGGATACCAAGCAAATGGGCACTAGGAGGTAGGAGGGAGGTTAAACGTAATGCAATATATCCCGGCAATACGGGGATTGGAACGGTGGGAAATGGGTGGCGCTTAGATGCTTCCCCGGTATTCATTGATTTTTATGTCCTCTCACCGATGAAATCCGAGGTTCTACTGGCGCTGATATGGTTTTATTTGCCGCTCGCTACAAATATAGAAGAGATAGACATGACTATCCCAAGAATTCGCCTCCCAATTATTTCCAGAGTGAAGTCGTCAGCGTCATGGGATGTTGCCGATCTTCAGATCATATTATAAATGCGAATTATCAATATCCTGAGTCGAGGCGTGCGTAGATTGCTTCTCAGTTTGGTATCCTGCATGGGGTAGAGTTACGCAGAGCGCTCACTTTTCTCATATGACGCCATGAATATGGACCAAGGACAGAGGCACAACTTGTTTCCGAAGGTGACGGTTTAGCGATTTGCAGCTTGCTATATTTAGGCGTTGGAAGCGACTTTATCTTCATTGATCTACCTCAAGCTCCTGTCAACGGCTCGAGTAATAGAAGCGCAATGCTTCACTAGAAGCCCTACAGCCGTAATATATATTTGGCCTTGAGCCAGAGACCAAACTGCAACCATTGAGGGGATAGCCGGGATACCGGAGGTAGCTAGCCACCTATATGCATCTAGGCAGTCGGCAGGACACAAAATATTGCCGGGCGTCGGATTTGGGTTTCAGATGAAGCCGTTTCCATCTAGAGTCGCAAGTTCACGAGTCCATTTGGGAGATAGCACATTTCGTAGATGCGGTCCTCCTGCTCGACTGATACCGGTTACCTGTCCACACGCAATAGTTGTTAAGGTGGTAGGCGCTAGAGTGGTGCATTGCAAACCATTGGCTGAGAAGCCGATATAACGAGCTGGTGGACAATGGTTTTAACGCACCAATGGAAATGGTGCTGTAGGAATGAAATTTGAGGCAAGCAACTCTGCTCCGTTTGATATTAGAAGAATGTTTACCTTACCATTGGAATGATAAGAGAATATCACGTAAAAGTAAAATAAGAAGGTATATCATAAAATATCATTTGCATAGTTTTTGTTTTTGTTCTCAAGAGATCCTTGAGTTTTCTGTGTGTTGTTTTGAATCTGCTATGCAGTGCTCCATTATTTTGCTATGGTGTATCTATGCATAACGCAGAAACTTTCATGACAAGAAGAACCCATCCCAAGCAAAAAGAAAAACTCCCATTTAGAATCCTGGAAGGTTGATCGATTAGTCAATTTCCCCTGACAATGTGATGATCCCTTATGATTAAAAGAGTCACCCTGTGGGGTTATACGTACTCAAAGGGGTGAAGAACCATCTGTTCTTTCCACTGGTGTACCGTTCCTCCAAAGACTTCTTGACGACTTTCTTAGCCTCCTCCCGTTGCGACACCTCCTTGAATGTATCATTTGTGATAGCACCCTTGAGTCCCTCGAGCTCGAGCGTGTAGCGGGTGGGCATGAGATGGTTGTAGTTGATGGTCTTGATGAACGGCTTGACCTTGCTTCGCTTCGCGACCTTCTTAGCTCCCATCCGGCGGGTCACTTTCGAGGGATATCGCTCAATACCGGCAACGAGGGCGTAGGGGAATGGGTGGGCTTTTGTGCCGGCATCGTATGGCTGAATGATTACGACCTGAAAATGGCGGAAAGACGATGAAATTGTCAGTTTGTGGTTGACCGGGATATTATTGGATGAGCGCATCCTTTATCTCTGCGATTTGATATCCGTATAAAAACACGCAGTCTTGCCCGCGATTCTCCTTCATTATTTTTTTCAAATTCCCGCCAAATAGTCCCACAGCAGCTATATCCTTAAAGCACCAAGGTGAGAGAATTTCTTCGTACCTTCTTGCCGGCATAACGTCCTCGTGTGATGATGGCCACACGGCCCACTTTCATGACTGTTTTCGCATTGTCAGCAAAAAAAAAAACAGATACCTCCTAAACCATGGCAGACGGAGCAAACGTACACTTCATTTTTCAAAAGTCCTGGCGGTCGTGAGCGAGGTCGACGGGTGGTGTTGGTGTGCTGAGTCGGTAGTCTGTCGTGATCCTCCGCTCTCTTTTTTCTCGAGGTTGAGCGGGAGGAGGAATTTGTGTGCTCGGAGCTGATTGGCCCGCTTACCGACCAAAGACACCTAACCGTGTACGGCAAGTTTCCCCATTGGGAAGGTTTATATCACGTGAACAAACTCACATCGTTCCTTGTGTCTTGGCACTGCAGCTGGCTTGGTGTCCCGGTAACCTTGGAATTTGTTTGTTTACATTGGCAGCCGCCAAGCACTGGCCTCTATCAAACTATATCCCTCCACAGTGTCGCTGCTTCACCTACACAAACAACCACCCGCCCTCTACCCATGACTTCTGCCTCACCTTTTTTGAATTATTTGCCTGTTCCTGCTTATTTCTCGTTTGCACACTGCTTGTTTATTGTTTATGTACTGTTTTTCTCTTTACGAAACCTCTCCCATCTAACTCAAGACACCCCTGACTACTACTTCTTCTGTACGCTGCAACAATGCTCTTTGTGGCATAAAACAACCACCGCTACACCTGTTCACACAATAGAGATAAACGTGTGCTCTCTCGATTTTAAAGAAAAAACTGGATTTCGGCGTTATTGTTTACAACAAGACGAATTGATTATGAAACAAATTGATATGGAACCGCCTCGCGATCGAGAGCTTGTTTTGAAGGACCGGCACTCTTTCTCAGAGATGTCCAACCGGCCAGCTATCCCAATGTACGTTATCATATATCGACATGTTTATTCCATTGTATATACCTCAAACTGAAGAAAGGAGCTAATTTCATTTCGTTTTGCGGAACCATAGGTGGGATAGTGCAGACCCAGAACGAGCTCCGCCTCCACTTCCCTTAAACCCAGGCCCGGGTAGTCCCACAACCCGGCCAAATGCTTCCGCATCTATACAGGCAGTTGCCGCTGCATTATCAGAGAGAAGCAATGAAAATGTTCCAAGCTCTTACACAGTTAATCCCATGCCACTGAAGTCATCGCCAGAGAAGTCCCTGGTCAAAGGACAATTCCATAAGCGCATACAATCACTTCAGCCAGCAACGAACAGCCGCGAGCTTACAACATATACAGAACGGCGCTCCCCTGATCGAAACCCCAGGGCAAGTCCATTTGATGCTGACGGGGGACGAACGCGAGAGAAAAGCCCCACTCGAGTAAAGACACCCACTTCCGCCGGGAAGGACCCTTCCAATTTTCGAGCGTCCAGCCGTTATCTCTCTAAACCTATCCTTGGAGAGAACACTCCCCCTTCTGCTACAATGCTTGCCTTGCAGAATATGCATCTCCCAATTGAGATAGAATCTCCTACCAGGGGCGCTAGCAACAACACTTCACCGCAACAGCCTCAAGATTTGGGTTCATTATCTGCCCAAATTTCGAGTTTAACCTCTATCGCAACGGCCTTGCAGCAAGAAATGGCACAGTTGAGCAGGCGCAGTAAAGATAATGCCACCGATCTAGTCAGTCTCAAAGCTGCGACAAATGCGCGGGATGAAGATATACGCCGAAGCCTCAAGGACCTGGCAACAAACCTAACTGGCAAGTTACTGGAGAACGAGACTTCCAGGTCTACCGCCTCATACATCCATTCCGGTTCGAGCGGATTTATGCTTGATAGCAAGGCCCATGACGCGACGTCTCCCTGCTCGAGGAAAAGCTACACAATCCCTCGGATGCAAAGCCCTAGTAGCTTCGCAGCCGCTATAGAAAGGGAGTTAGCTGCCTCCCCTTCTATTTCGACGGATGGCTCTGCAAGCATCGCTTTGCTGGAGAAGGTCTTGCGCGAGATGGCCACAAAAGAGGGTCAGGAGAAGTTGCTAAAGCTGATGGACGAAGTAAAATCTAGACCCAGCGGAGGCCAGAATTCTGACAACGCCATGTCCCAAATGCTAGAAGAGATCCTCAATCTAGTCAAACAAAACTCCAACAACCACGCTCTTGTCCGTGCAAGGCATGTTCCTGACAGTCAAAATTCCCCATCCCTGGAGCTTGGTTATGAAACACCACGGTCAGGGCCGTTGAGCCGTAACGCAGAGACAGAGACCCCTATCCAAAACCAAAACCAGAGCTTGGAAAATGGCTCCCCGACCCAAGCCACTGATGCTCTTTCCGAAGAGATCCTGACCATCCTGAAAAAGGTCAAAAGCAGTGTTGCCGACGGTGGTGGTTTGACCAACGAGGTCAAGGCGCTCGTACGAGAACTACGTGGCGAGGTTTTGGGGATGGGAAGGGAGATCGCGCGGAAGTTAGAGGAAGCCGACGCGGGAAGGGCATCGGAGCAGGAAATACCACCAGGTGCCAGGGCAGAGGAAGTCGCACACATTGTAAATGGTGCTCTAGCCGACCTGAGGGTACATATGGAACAGATTATAAGTGACACTCAACGCCAGTTATCTTCGAGAATACCTCGCGTGGTCGACGGCCAAGAAGTGTATATGGCTGTAAAGAAAGCGCTCGAAGACCACCCTCTACCGGAGCCTGCTCCTCCCCAGATAACCGGATCAGTCTTGGAACGGGAAGAAATCCTCGAAGCCGTCCGGGAGGCTTGGGAGACGTACAAACCTGAGATTGAACTTCAAAACTTTGGCCTTGAGAGGGATGAAATTTTAGAATGTTTGACTGAAGGCTTGAAAGCATACCAGCCCCCGAAAGAGCCAGCTGAGCCAGACATCACCTACAGCGAAGTTCTTGAAGCTGTCCAACAGGGTTTGGAAAACTTTACGCTGCCGCTTATGGAGCCTGATGGAGCCATAACACGGGAGGAAATAACCGCAACAATAAGAGATTGCTTGGAAAGTTTTGAGTGGCCAGTTCCCCCTGCCGTGCTGGATAGAGAAGCTGCTATCAACCGCGATGATGTCTTAAATGCTGTCAAAGAGGGATTAGCTACGCGAGACAATTTTTCTAAAGAGATTGAATTCAACCGGGACGATATCACAGAAGCCGTAAAGGCCGGGATCGATGAGGTTTCTGGGCTGTTGCACAACAACGTCAGCGATCAGTTCTTGGACCAGCTGCATTCCTTGCTAGGTGAGATGAAGGATGAATTTAAACAGTATTCTGCCACCAACGGAAGGGATACGGAACAGGTGCTGGATGCTATCAAGGACGGACTCGAGGCTCTTAGAGGCGAAATCGAATCTTATGTAGATCGTGCTTCAGATGTGACCGGGAAAGATGAGATTATCCATACTGTTAAGGATGGATTCCACTTGTTGCAATCGGACCTTGAAAAGTCCATTGCCGAAGCTGCTCGAGTATCTGATGGGGGCCATTCTAATACAGTCGAACTACTCGATGCGATGGAAAAAGAGTTTGAACATCTCCGGCAAACAATGAGCAACCTGCTGATTCGAAACAGCGTTTCAAGTGAGAAGGACGAAATTCTGGACGCTATTCGCGACATTGCAGAAGGTGATAGGTCAAAGGATAACGGCTCAGAAATTTCCCAAATGGTTAAAGAGGAGTTTGAGCATCTGCGCGAAACCTTGACTCTCATGATTATGAAGCCGAATTCTTCCCTTGAAAGGGATGAGCTGGTGTCCATTCTCCGGGAGAGCTTTGAGGCAATTCAGGACGAGAATAGCAGGAGGAAAGACGGAAATGAGAGCGTTATTTCCAACACTGGGGAACTCCTTGACGCCTTCCACGACGGAATTGATATCCTCCGCTCAGATTTGGAAAAGATTATGAATAGACCAGCGGATACCAGTGAGGAGTTTCTCGATTCGCTAAGAGATGGCTTAGCTGGCGTTAGGGCTGAAATTGAACAGCTCCGCCATGACCAGAAAGAAGCCGAAGAGACCCAGACCATACGCGGGCAAGAGGTTATGCTTGCGAGTGAATCCTCAATCGGAAGTGATATTGAAAGTTTGAAAGTTCTCGTTACGCAGCTCCAGATCAAAGTCGAAGCGATTGAACCTCGGCCAGCGGACTCGGAAAATGAAGCCAACATTGTGAAAAAAGATGACCTCATCGATGTCCTTAACTCGATTAAAGAAGTACAAGAACTTGTGGTTGAAGTTGCCAGTCGTGAACCGCCCGCCGCCGTGGTGGACGAAAATGCCGCTAAAAAGGAAGATACTGACGCAATCGAAACTCTGCTCGTAAACATGAAAGCGAAGGTCGACGAACTGGCAGAGACAGGTGGCTCGCATGGGATGACGACAGAGCGAGCAGATGCGTTGGAAGCACTCACAAAGGAGACCAAGGACATCTTGGATGGTTTCGCTGCTCACGTGGAGACACACGGTGCGTCGAAATCAGAACTGGAGAATCTTGAAACCATCGTAAAGGATATCTGGGTTGCTGTGGAAGAGATGAAAACGAACTCTGCGCCGCCTGAAGACGCCTCCGAGAAGGTCCTCAAAGAGGATGTCCGCACCCTGGAGGCTATGCTACTTGGAATCAAATCCCAACTTGAGGACTTTGTTCTTCCAGATATAGAAACTCTTCCGACAAAAGACGACATTGGTGCCGTTTACCACATGGTAACTGAGTTCAAGGAAAAGGTGGAGGTGGAAAACGACCTCACGGCTCAGGCGTTTGAGTCCCGAAAGATCGAACACGGTGGACTGGCGGAAAAAATTGACGAAGCTAAGCAGCTAATCATTGACTTGAAAGATGAACTCAAGAGCAAACTTACTAATAGCGAGGAAGGACTTGTCGACATGAAGACAATTCTGGAGGCATTAAGTGATTCGTCAAAGTCATTCGCTACCGCTGAAAGCCTCAAGGAACTTAGTGACCTCATCACTCGCGAATTCGACCGCTCCCATGGTGATCGCGAGGCTGAGAAGATGGAAACGGCTGAAAGAGAGACTGCTATGTCGACGAAACAAGAAGAAGCCCGCGCAGCCATCGTATTGGACCTTGGGACGAAAATCGACGAGAAGTTTTCCGAACTTTTGTCTAAGTATGAGGACGCACAGATGCTGGTGGATTCGAAATTCACGGCTATCGAGGAGCGAGATGTCCAAAGTCTGGATACCTTGACAAGCACCAAAAACATCGCGGAAGATCTCAAGCTCGTTATCGGTGGTATGGGAGATAGCGTAACCCAGGCTTGTGAGAGGATGAGCGATGATGCAAAGACCTTTTTCGATCGTGTCGATCAATCCTTCTCGAAGGTGGATGACCTCCGCGCCGACGTCCAGTCGCAGCACGACCAACTCAAAGGAGAGTTTGCACGGGCGCTTGAAGCAACAGATCGACTGGAAAGTCAACTCGCGAACTCACATCCTGAAATCCTTAGCACTATCAATGATATATTGTCCATTGTCGGCCAACACTATGAACACTCGCAGAAGACTAGCGAGGAACTTAAATTAAATGTCTCAGCAATCCCATCAGCCATTCCTCCTTTATTACCAGCTCTTCCCCCACCACCTCCTCCACCAGAACCTCGGGTGATTGTCGTGCCCGAAAAGTACGACGACACAGAATTGCAGGGCAAATTAAATTCTCTCCTTGACCATGCCTCTAGTGATAAATCGATGTCCCAGATTGAAAAGCTTGACAAAATCCAAGATCAGATTACGTCTGCGGCCAATGAGCTGCGTGAAATGATGCTGGCCCAATCAGCCTTGTTGATCCAAGATTGCGAGAGAAAGAATAAGGAGGCTGAAGAAGTGGCCATCGCACTCGAGAAGAGGCTGGCACAGAAAGAGAGGGTAGAGGCAGATGTTGTCGAGCTGAATGAAGAAAAGGAGTCCCTTTTCCTTATGGTCCAGGCACTGAAAGAAGAGAAGGAAATGCTTGGTAAACAGAACATGAAGCTCCATAAAGAGGTGGCAGGGCTGGAAACTGCGTTGCGCATCCGGAGAGAAGAGATGCAGCTCATGGAGGAGCGCGCAGAGGGATTGGAACGGAGAATTGTCGAAGGTGTTCTTGATCATGCCAGAAGCCTCCTCATCAGTCGACCTGGTAGCACTCAAGCTATGAATCTGAAGCGCGTTCCCAGCTCAGCCAGCACCGTGACGCGCGGAAGTGTTGCAAGCGCCACAAATCCGAGTAGCGTTCTCACCAGTGGCGTCGGCATGGCTCTCAAGCGGCGACGGAACCCTTTGAAAACAAACGCGGGATCCACAGCGCCATCGAACACAAAGCAGGAGAGAAGAATTCTCAGCCTCAGCAACGTCACTGGCAATCAAAAGTCAATGGATCGGCAAATGCTCCCTGCGGCAAGGGGTCGATTAACCAACCTGAAGCGAAGTCATTCAGTCAAGTCAAGCTATCCCATACGTAAACCTTCGTGGGATAGTCGAGGCTTCACCGCCAACAAAGAAAATGAAGTGGTCAAGGAGGAAGACGAGGAATGTGGCGATGATGAAAGCGATACTGGAACAGAAAGGAGAACTAGCTACACTGGAACTTGCACGGATAGCATGTCCTATGCGACTGGTAGTACACTCTCAACTACAGATCGCCAGTCGAGTTACAGCAGCTCCACCAACGGTTTGGTGGCTGCAGAGCCGGGAACTTGGGTTGAAGAGAGTGAAAGTGGAAGCGAAGACGACCAAAGCCTAGGTGAAGACGGTGATGGCCTCCGAGGGTTAGGCACCAAGAGCGTCGCAAGCACAGAACCTCTAGAATCGCAACCCCGTGACGATGAAAGTTCCGTGGACCCCGGTGGCATGGTAGTCTATGCACAGGCTAGTGACAGTGGCCTGGGAACGGATTTGCCTAGTGTGGTCAACGAAAAGGAGTTTGAGTTTCGCCAGGAATCGATTTATGGCGAGTGTGATTGATAGGCAAAACATAAGTATTTTGCCCATCCTCTCTTTTATTTAACGGTTATTATGGCGTTTTCTTTTCTTGTTCTTCCTTTTGTCTGAATCTCTCTTTTTCAAGCTTTTTCTTTTTCTTTCTCTTTTGGGTTTTGCAAGTCTGATAGCGTTCAGTTACGTGGAAATTGTGGATATGAACGTCGCCTACCTACAGGTGACTATGTTTTGTGACGAATTGATGGACAATTAACAAATGGTGGGAGTTTTCTTTTGCCTTGGGTTTCATTTTCTTGCTTTTATTTTCCCTCTTCCCCTGCTTTCCCCTGTTTTTCGGTTGACATGTTTCATTCCCTAGCGTAGACGATTATTACTAGTTTTAGGACGACATTCTGATTGTTGTTACATAAGCATGCGAACTAGGTTAGGTATGTATTCAGGTTTTTTTTGATACTTCATCAACCGTATAACATAATCTCTGCCCACACTTTGCATAACAACTTTGGAAATAGCATTCCCAAGTCCAAAGTTGTAGCTTTCTGTGGATTTAACTGGTAGTTCAATCAAGGTTTTCGGGAAATCATGTGATTCAGAGTAAGCTAACCTAAATAATCCTAGCGGGGTGTCCAACGTGCTAATAATGTCTTCCCCAACATTCTGGATGTCTTGGCAGGCTGTCAGCTGTTTTGGGTAAAGCGCACGCGGCCGAGGCGTGGCGGTAAAGATACGCTGACTTGCCGGAACACGAGACTGGTATGGTATACCAATAATGCCGAACATCAGCCATTGACCATCAGACACCGGCATCAGACCTCAGCCTCCACACGACCAGGCAGCATGCCTTGAATTTAACTGTGCTCTTTTCTGTCTCTGTCCGTTCTGCCTCGATGGATATCTAATATTGTCCTTCCTTTGAACAGGAGATTACCACCTCACGGCTGCCTCCCAACAGGTGCTTCACCCGCACGTCCTACTGCCTATACGAGACAACAAAGGGGGAGAACGAGTGTATGTGTAGGAGAAATCAAAGCAGGCCACCATGCTGGATCCTATCCCACCACCACCACAATGGTTGCAAGATGCCTTCCGGCCTGTTGCAGAGAAGTTGGGCCTCCATGCCATGACCCTTCACATCCATGAGGTCATCTTCTTTTTCGTCTTCTACCAGCTCATCCAGTCTGTGGTGTCACCCATTCTCTCGAACGCCCTGTTCCCCAAATTCTACCCTCACTTCAACCGTCGAACGAAGCTGAACTGGGATGTTCATGTCGTCTCTCTCATACAAAGCTCTCTTATTAACGCTGTCGCACTTTGGGTTATGTATGCCGACAAGGAGCGCCAGGCGATGACCGCGTCTGAGAGGGTTTGGGGCTATTCTGGTACTTGCGGTCTGATACAGGCTATGGCAGTGGGGTATTTTATTTGGGATCTAATTGTTAGCACGCGGTATATTGGTGTGTTTGGTATTGGGCTTTGGTTTCATGCCGTCAGTGCGTTGTGGGTGTATAGCTTGGGATTCGTAAGTTGGCTTCTTTCTTCTATAGGTCCCCGAGCTTCGAGATGCCAATTGTTCTGGTTGGGTACCTCATAATTCGATAGCCCGATCCCTTCGTATTAATGCTATTTTCAACTAATCACTGTCACTTCGTTTCTTCATATTTAGCGGCCTTTCGTAAACTACTACGCACCAACCTTCATCCTTTATGAGCTCTCTAGCCCATTCCTCAATTTCCACTGGTTTTTCGACAAAGTCAACATGACAGGCAGTAAGGCGCAATGGTACAATGGGATGGCATTGCTGTCGGTTTTCTTCTGCTGTCGCCTTGCCTGGGGCACATGGCAGTCCTTCCGGGTCTTCGTCGACATCTTCACAGTTTATTCACAAGCCCGTGGTAACTCTACCTGGAACCCACCGGATGGACATGTATCAGCAGGTGCAGAAGTTTCCAAATTCGCAGATACGACAATGGCTTATGGCATCCCCCTCTGGCTTGTTATAACATACCTTAGCAGCAACCTCACCCTCAACTCCTTAAATTTCTTCTGGTTCGGGAAAATGATTGAGACTGTCATGAAGCGATTTAGGGTACCTGCGCCCGGCGCTGAGACAAAGGTGAAAGCGGAGGAACAAATTGCCAAGATCAAGAGGGAAATCTCAGATAACAGTGACGCCGTGCTGGAAGCGGCTGCGAAGCTTGAAGAACAAGAGAGACTCTTCAACAATGGCGGTATGCTTGAGTATTCCGATGGGGAGAAGATGACAGTACGAGCCTCAACTGCGACTGCACCTGCTCCTTCGGCCAGGAGGCGGAAAGCATAGACTGGTTTCTCAAGCATACCCATCTCTAAAACAGAGATTTATTCACGCCCGCCCGCCTCCACCCGTTTTCTTTTAGCTCACTCGTTCCTCTCACTTTTGGCCTACCTACGGTAGCTACCAGTCATACTGATGCTGCTATATTCTACTGATGTTCCTGTTATTTTCTTTTATAATGAATGAGGCCCACCACCCAGTTTCACATAGATTCTTTTTTCCCATTCGCGTTCAAACTTGTGCCTCTTTCCCCTTTCGTTCCGGAGCATGAATGAACCAAGGTGGTACAGTTATGGAAAGACTAGTTCTCATGACTTTATTTGTCTTTGATTACTCATTTTTAGTATATGTCCATGCTTACGGGTTATCCATTTCAGCTTTGGTCCAAGCGAGTATCTCTCTATTTATTTATCTCTTTTTCTTTCTTTCTTTCTTTGTCTATACCAGATTTCTATCTAACCAAGTTGATCCCTACTATCATTACACTGCGGAGTATTTTAATTAGAATCAGTTGCATTAAGATATACACCTACGAATATTTGAAGCTGTAAATGGCATATCAGTACTCGTACCAACAGTTTCAGGAGAAAATGAATGAAGTCTTCACTTCCTTATAAGCGACTCATAGGTAAGTATACAGCTAAAAGCTACATAGGATAGGGGAATAAAAGAACTTGGTACAAGTTTAAACCAGCTTCCTCCCAGAAAGCCAACGAGCGCCTCACAGTCACAAGCATGGAAAAATGAGATTAGAACTATGTGTAAGCCTCAAACTCCCACCCCGACAATGCATCATGAAAAATAGTCGCTAGCGAAAGGCCGATATCAAAGAACTTTACGCAGCACCACTGACAACCACCGGTAAGCCACTTGCTCCCAGCATCCTTGCCTTCGCCGGACCATGGAAGGAGTGACTGAAGGTAGTGCATGCGGGATCTTCAAGGAGCATGTCCAGATCCTCTGAATCGGGGGGTAGGCGGAAACCATTGCCAGCCTTAGGGTATAACCGGTGATCTTCTATGTAGATATATTCTTCGTCGTCGTCGTCGTCGCTGGATAGGTCGTTGTTCTTTGAGGGTAAGAAAGTTTCCTCTGTGATGGAGGGGAGATCAGTGATGGTAGGTTGTACGTATTGGTGGCCCGCGACGGTTGATTGAGGGGTTGTTAGGGAATTTTGGGTAGCGAGTGTTGAAACCGAGGTGGTGGACCTGCCGGATACCAGTGGTGGTTTTTCACTCATGCTCGACTGTATTGTTGGTACTTGTGCGGTTGGTTGGAGTAAGGTAGATGATGGTAAGTCTGGGAGGTTTTCAGGGAAGATGGGTAACTCAGGCGTAGAGTTGGAAATATCTAGGAGAATGTTAACGAGGTGAGAGTGGGAAAGACTGCATAAATATCCTCGTTTCTGTTCTAGGGAGAACTGTGCACCACCAACTTTTGTCTCTAAAGGTAGAGTAGGTAGATAATTGGAAGTATCTATCCTATTGATAGAGGCTTGTTGGGCGTTGGACGTGGCCGACATCTCGTCTGACGAAGCGTCAGCAGGAGGCCGACACTCTTTGCAGAACCACTTCAGCTCTTTCACGGTAATCACCTCCTTCTCAATCGGAGGGTCATGGCAAAACTGGTGCCAGGGGCGATTGCAGTCATCGCAAAACACAATCACATTAGCAGCAGGGCTATGGCCTCTCTCGCAACGTTTGCATACTACATTCATTTCTTTGCCCTTGCGATAGACTCTCCTCCGCTTCCGTGCTGGTGACGAAGATGACACATCGGCGCCCGTGGGTGATCCTGATCCTGTAGCAGCTAGCGCGGGATAAAACACTGTTGGTCGATGAATTTGCCGACCTGACTTGGTTTGTGTAGTGACCGAGGCAGCTTCATCGCAAGACTCATCGAAGCTAGAATCACCAGCTCTAATTACCCCGTCGTCATCGTCCATACTATTGTTCCTCCCCGTTCTGCGCCTTTTGGATCCCTTCTGGCCACTTTTGCGACGACGTATTGTTGTCGTCGTCGTCCTCTGCGGTTTCGATCCGGATGTTGGAGTGGCAAAGGGGGTACCAGGACGTGGAGCAATTTTCCGCAGGTGCGTACTTTTGGCACCAGCTGGATTGGACGCTGTTGGGGTAACATTGTCGTTAGATTTTCGGGAATTGTGAATACCAATCTGGCTTGGTGTAGCAGGTGGTTGGGGTTGCTGTTGAAACATGATATCCGTAGAAGACAATGTCTCATTCGGCTGATCTGAGTCGGATTGGAGCATCCATCCATCTTTTGCACATTCCTTCTCATCATTTTCACCGTTTTCTAGAGGTTTAGAAACAACCAGCCCAGCGCTCAATCCACTGGGGATGGAACATGTAGTCTCCCCGACGCTATTGATGCTGTTCATAACGGTGCTGGCGCTGTCGCTCGCACGGATTTGTGGATTTGTCCAACTACTATTTGCACGGGCTAAAAGCTCCGCAGTTGCAGCGGAAAGTTTGGGGATGCCGGGAGAATCTCCTACAGAAGAATCTGGCGTGCCAAATGCCTCAGAAGAAACCTGAGAAGCAGTCGTGGAAATTGATACAGGTGTAGATGTGGACGCTCCGATTCCCTGAAGCGAAGGTAGATCTGGTTGAGGGTGGACGGACGGAATGGGCTGGGATTGGTCCGGCGACGCCATGGCGATAATAGCAACATGAGAAGCTATACTGGATATGATCTTACTAATATATCTTGAAAAATGCAATGGAAGACTCTTTTCTACCTATAACTATATTATTCTCTCCTTTACAATTTGCAGATAGAGGGAATTTCGCATGTTGGTGATTACTACGCCTAGAACAAGAGCCAAGGATGGGATGGCCACATCGGAGACTACACGTCAGCTGACCCCTCGCATAGGTCAGCTGACCCCACACAAATCTTGTAGCGTCCGCCCCAGTGTAGCGACCGCTCCGCCTACACGTGATCTCATATGTAATATATATATAGCTAGCTCTTCTCACATGAATACAACAGATTAACCATTCCACAGGTTATAGCCCAGATAGCACATTTTTACAAAGAATTACATTATTTTTATTTTTAATTTTTATTCTTACTTTTGTTTAAAAACACCTGTGTAAGTATTGAATGTGTTTATCTTAAATAGAAGAATTCTTTTATTACATTTATATTGCATATTTCAAGTATATCTACTTAATTAGTAATTGAAATAGCAGAACTCTATAATATAATATAATACATTTTTTTTTCAATTTCTCTATTTAACTCTTCTTTGACTAATGAGTGATTTGTTTACATTACAGAGTAATAGAAGAAGAACTTTATATTTATATTTTTATACTTAGATATCTATTAATAAAGAATCAGAGAAAATAGATACTATATAATATATAAAAGTTATAGAAGAGATTATGAAGTTATCTGTAAATAGCAGAGTATATCATGAATTAGATGATAGTACTTCAAGCTTATAAGTAATATATATAGAAGTATAATTAAACTGGCCGCTGAAATCATGAATTTCACATTTAATTTCATTTAGTCTGATCTCATACATTTCTTGATGTGAATTCTGCTGGGACTGACTATCAAAAAAACATGTAAAGTGACTATATATCAGATCTTAAAATGAAATCATGACTTGAAAACAATGAGAAAGTGATCTCATTTGATCTCATTTAGTCTCATTCTTGACATAAAGTTACTATTTTTAGACATTTTAAGGTTTTTTTTAGACTATTTTTAATTTTTTAAAAAGTAACACTTTTTGATAATGCTTAAATAAGATTTAAAGTCATTTAAAGTAATAAAAATAATTTAAATTGAGAAGTGAAAATCATAGTTTCATTTGAAAAATGTGATAAGAGTAGACAGTAAGTCTCACTGAGACAGTATGAGACTACTATCTAATATTAAAACCATGTAATGAAATCAGTCGAATTGATAATGAGACTATTAAAAAATCTAGTCCTGGTCTCAGACACGGTCACACAGTCAGTCTAAGTATAATATAGAAGTATTATATCTAGAATAAGTTTAAATAATATAATTTTAATAATATTTAATAATCTTATAGTATTCTGTAATAGAATAAGTGTATATTAAATTATTATCTCTGCAGACTGCAGCAGATAATTTCAAATCTGAAATTTATAAATATTAAAAGAATGTTTAAAAAGTTATAAATATTAAAGCTGTAATTATATTTAATAGTAATAACTATAAGATCTGATGTATAGAAATTCTTATAGATACTAAAGATATTAACAGATCTGATATTCTTATAAAAAATCAACAAGTCTGCTCAGAAGATATCAGTTAAGACATATTAAGTACTGAAAAATAAAGTATTTATATTAAAGTACTGTATTACTATATGTTACAGTTCTTATTAGAGTCTGTATATATAATCATTGAAACTCTTAAGTCAAATAACACAGCTATATTATAAGAAAGAATTAAAGTTGAATATACTATCTCACTTACAGAGAAATATATAAATATTATAAAAGAATTGATTATCTTACATATCAAAGATAATAATTATCTAGTATTTCAGAGAAGATTTCATTATCTAGTTACATATTATAAGAAATTAATAAATAACTTGAAGAACTTCTATTATAATCTCTTTCTTATTAATCTGAAGAAGTATTAAAAATCTTTTATTAAGATATATTTAGATAATTTTTATACATCTGATCAGAACTTTATATATAATATTAATATTAATAATTTTATAACACAGTTGATAAACTGTATAAGTAAGTTCAGAAACAAATATTCTAAGTCTTAGTAAGTTAATATAGTTATTATAACTTTTACTACATCATCTATATAAAGTTTTAAATGTGAGATATGCAGTTCAAGATAATATTAAAAAAACATTTATTAATATCTGTATTCAGAACTTACTAATGAACAGTGATATAAGTTAAATAAGAAATATATTATTATATCTGAGAAGAATAATAGTAATAATATCAGCAGATATAGTATTATTATTATTATTATTATGGCGGGCTGCGCCCGATCAATTATATAGACTATTTCATTACACTTCACAGATTTCAATCACTTCATTCTCAATCACTGATTCTCAGCCGCCATGAACGCGTACACTTTGATTCTCAGTCATTCTCAATTGCCACTTCAATTCTCAGCCATTCTCAATCATCAATCCTCAGCTGCTACAAACATGTGTATATTCTTCCATCTCAAAGCTCCACTGCGTATGCCATCACATACACATATAAATATTCATCTTGATCACTGATTCTTGCACTTTCCTTTTCTTTCCTTCTTTAACATTTTTATCTTTGTTAAATAAGACCTATCAATATAATACCGATCTATTCAGTGTAGACCTTTTACAATTATTCTTCAATTATAGATGTATACAGTCAGAGACTATGACATCTACCTGAGAACTAAAAGTTTTCAGAGTTTTTCCTATATCTATAAAGTTAACTATTATACATTCATCAATTTCTGATATGCAAAATCAGAAAATTTCAGCTCAGAATATAAAAACTGTTTACAAATTACAGTATTTTAACATCTTCTAATACTTTGAAATTATTTAACATGATAAAAGAAAAGAGAACACAGTCTTAAAAATAGACACATTAAATAGATAGATAGAAAAGAATAGAAAGAAAAAAGTAAAGTAACATAATAAGAGACTATAGTGAAATAAATTATTGAAAGATAGTATATAGCTGTTTTAACAGACTATATCTGATTAATTTCCTTCTCTTCATATTCAGATATTTCTGAATTCAGTTATTTTCTTGTAACTGCTTAAGTTTCTGATAGAAAGTCTATTAAGTATTTAATTTCTGTCTCAGTTGAGAATAAGAATCTTATATTTAATTAATTTAGATTATACTTCTCTTTCAATCTGACTCTGAGACTATTATATAATGCACAGTATATTATAATATACTCAGAATTCTCATTTACATTACAGAATGAGCATTCTATTGAATTAAATCTATCATCAAATCTTTATATATAAGATTTAAAATAGCCATGTTCTAATTTCAGCTGTATTATAGATGAGAATATTTTCTTTTTACATTTAATTAAACAAGATTTTCACTTGAGCTTTATTTCAAATCTTGAATAATGTATACTCTTCTTTTGTTTCTACTAGCTTTCATTTCACTTGTTTAAATAAGATTCTTTTATTTTTCTCTTTATAAAAGATCAGAATACAATTTTTTGAATAAATCTGCTTAATTCTGAATTTTTTTTTACAGCTGAATTAGTCAATTTATTATCATGAATATTCATATAAGCAGAAACTTAGTGTAGATAAATTATCAGCTTTAATATTCTTCTCTTTTGAATTTTTAAAATGAAGTTTAAGATCAGTTCAAGATTCATCTGATTATTATAAATCTGACTATTTCTAAGTCTTTTTAAAGCAGCTTGATTATCAGAGAATATTCATATCTCTTTTAAACTATTTTCTCTTTTATAAGATTTTATTTCAATAAGTTTGAAAGCTTTCACTATTATAAATAGTTCAGTATCAAAGACTTCAGATTCACAGTCTAAATTTCAGAAATCTGAGATAAAATTAATATTATCTTTAGTATAAGTAATATCTGTATCTAATCTATTCAAATTCTCATTTTTTAAGTCAACTGAATAAATCAGAATAGAGTCTTTTATATTAATTATAGAAATTCTCTTCAAATGCTGTTTATATTCTTTCTCTTTAGATAGTTTGCTTATTTATAAGTCTATAAGAGATTCAAGCTTTTCTCTTCAGAGAGATAACTTCTCATAATTAACTTTTTCAATATTTAAAGAAGAAAATTGATTTTTAATCAGTGAGTATAGTCTATACAGTTGAGAAGACATTTTCTTTAAAGAATTATTTTCATTTCAATCAAGAAATCTATTTCAATTCAGTTCATTTTCAGAGTTAACTAATGAAAATGAGAAAGAAACTCTTTCTCTGATTATATAATTTAAGCTTATCTTTATAACTGTCAGAGCATAGTTCATAAAGATCTTTTCAAATCTAATAGTAGAAGAAAGAATTGAAGCTTCAATTTTCATTACTTTAATAGAAGATAATTTGAATGCTTTCAGAATTCTTCTCAAAGCTCTGTTTTACAGACTTTGAAAGAGTTCAGTGAAATTTTCTTGATTATTTCATTAAACTTGAACTTTATAATCAGCTACTGAGATAATACAGACTATATATAACTATCTTATACTCTGAAAGAATAGATCTCTCTCTATATTTAATAGTCTGATAATGTTATTCAGTAGTCTTTCTGTCTTGACAGTTCTTTATTAAATATGATATTTAAAATTTAACTTGAAGTTTAATCATACTTCTAATCATTTGATATTTAAACAGAGTTTAATCTCTCTATTTAAAAGAGTTAGAGATAGTTCTTTCTCATTAAATCTAGAAAAGAAATGAATTAACTCAGTTTTATTCATATTAAATTGAATTTAATTGATATCTACTCTGACAAAGATTTTCTTTACAGCTTTTTCAATTACTTTCAAATTCTCTTTGATAGTTTTTAAGCTGTAGACTAGATCAATATCATCTACATAACTCAGAGATCATACTATTTTCATATTTCTATCTTTGAATAGATATACAGTGTATATTACAAATAAAATGAGTGAGATTGAAGATTCTTACAGCACTTCTATTTTTATCTCAGTCTTTTCTTATTTTATTTCATCAAAGAAAAGTTATATGATTCTTTTAGATATAAAACAGTTAACTTATTTTATTAGAGAAAGTGACAGTTTTAACATCTTCAAAGTCTGA